GAAAGAAACAAGTGAATCCAAACGCAGGTTTAGTTAAAATGCACGTCATGCTTTTTTCCCACCGTTATATATACGGTACTGTGATAGTAAAGGTGGTAAAGGTGCAGCCATGAAATTGGTTTCCTCTGCACAATTGCTGGTGTTGCATCCTCCACTAGAGGAAGCTTTAGAGAGCCCTTCCAGAAAGTATTGTGAGATACTGGTGTATTTATACCATACTGCACAATTTTGTTGTTAATAATGATGTCATTATCAGTCCGCTGTCAATCCACTGCTGAAGGCTTCCACATTTTAGTGTCAGTCACTGTGTATGTTTCACCATACCTAACCCCATTGATTAGTGTCAATTCCTGCAGTATAGTTCTTACTTGTCCACTGAATTTAAACACATTCCTGCGGAGGGAGCTGGTAGGAACGTTGGGTTGCTCGGTCAATGGCTAGGGTCAACGGCGACGTGGTGTATTCCGCTAATATGGCCGACTGTGAGGGCGGGCACAAGCCGGCGTGAGTAGGTTAAACGTTGAGTTTTATAAGGGCACCACAAAGTGACCAGCCCCTCCCCACCCAGCCCCATCCCTCCCTCCCACCCCCCACCCAGCCCCACCCACCCCACCCAGCCCCTCTCCACCCTCTTCACCCAGCCCCTCCCTGTACGACGGACACAATAATCCCCTGTGGGCTGGTGTAACCAGGAGGTTCCTACCAGTACCATGCCCGATAACTGACCGATCATTATCGGTGTGCTAACCACTGAAATTTTTTCACCCACATGTATAATACGGTACTCCTTTATAGGAATTTCCAAACCAATTACATTACTACAACTGTATCTAGAGCTAAATTCTAACACCTATACATTTTTGAACTTACAATATGGAAACATAGTTACACACACAACCTTGTTATTATACATCCAACCAATAACCGATCATTTATGTAGAAAATGTTCAATTTACTCCAGGAAAATGTCTGCCCCATAATAAAATTATAGCAGCCTACAATTTGTACATTAATGGGAACCTGCTCATTAAGATGCACCCCGCTGTGCTGGCTGGCATGGTGCCACTTATGGTCCACAGAAATTAGTGTGCCATTTCATACAATGCCCTATTTGTCTCAGCGGTTGGCTTGGCATTTCTTGAATGGTACACAAAAACAAACATGATATCCTTCACATGTACCTTCCTACACGTTGAAATAGGAATTAAATATAATTAACTTAATGCGGTGAAGTACTGCATTTCCTCTAGTTTTGTTTTAACTATAATTTCTACAAACATTTTTTAACAGGGCCACTCGAACCCAACTCTGCTTTGTGTGCAACGGCGCAGATGGTGTGTGCCCATTTTTTTCCAGTGCCATAATTGCACAGCTGGAATCGCTGTTCGCCCGAAGTTTACGGCAAGGACGTGAGCTCACGACATAATGAGTTGTGCTTGCGGTCCATGTACACTTGCCGCCGATTCTCTGCCCGTCCTCTCACGCACGTCTCCCTGAGCCTTTCATCTGTGTATTCCCTTTCAAGTGTGTGTGGTTTTTTTTCTGGATCCCGTGAGCTGTGCGGAGGTGGGGGGGGGATAAAGTGGCAGCAGGGCAGTTGGTGGTGCATGCACGGATCGGTGAATGTGAAGTAACCCGGTGAAGTGTGTGTGCGCCTTCACGTTTTGTCAATACAAGATTTCCGATAGCATTAGAAATGCTCGCGCTTGGAAATACGTTTCCAACCAAACGTGCGCGGAATGCTTTTTTTCCCATTTACCTTGACTAAAAACGGATAACTATATGCACACCCACATGCTCTATAGTACATACATACACTTTCATCCAGCAATGGATTGACCGAGGTTGTTGATGGTAGTATAGTATATGGGGAAGGAGTCGTGACATGGTGATTAATACTCCCATGGCGCTATGACCCTGGAGACCCGAGTTCGATTATTGGCCACGGCGAACATAAGCGACGAGTGGTATCTAAATGCGTTCTGTAGCGCCCTCTTTTCAAACAACACACTGATTAGTTTGGTGAAATATAGTCAAACAAACCCCCATGACTAAAACAGCATGGGCAAGCCTTCGTGCAGCGATAGATTGATCGTAATTCTAATTATTATATGCAAGCGTAGCTGTCAGTCATTAATGTTTTTATTTTATTTTCAGAGATCAGAGCAGCTGTTGTAGAGATTAATGCGTCACTGCCATTTGCTTTTAATGAGCAGCGTGTCATTTTGTTTTTTTCTGAGCTACACAAAAAGATTAACAATGATGTCCCAGAAATTCTGTCTTGCATATCTTATGACAAGTTGAAATGCGATATACAAGTGGTGATTTGAATTGCATAATAACTTCCAGCTCGTTAATTACGCGTTCATTTAAATGTGATAGTTATGGGTGTCTGCATTATACTAAATTGCCAACTTAGTTCCAGGTTCAGTGAGGCAAAATTGTAAAACCAAATTCGCTCGGCAAAAGTCGCCTAGTTTTACTTTCCGCTATTCATAATCGAAGGTTCCGTTGATTAACAGTTTCCGCAAACTTGCCCGAACTTAAATTCCTCTTATTTGGTGTTGGATTCCGTTTCGCATGCAAACAAAGTTTGTCTTGTGGTCTACAGGTGCCTGGTAGAGATGAATGGATAAAAAAATGTAATTCCACACAGTAGTGCAGTGTATATGAAAGGAGCAGTAACATATTCTTAGACCATTGCTTCTGGTCTTTTTGTACATATAAAGAGTTGTTCATGTGGTCGCTGTGATGTACGTATTATATTTCACATTGAGTGTGCTTAACCTTTTAATGTTATTACAAATTTTTTTTTTTATTTAGTTTTGAGTTGCATCCCGTGTACGCAATAATAACAATAATTCACAACCGCTTGCCACTCAACTGCTGGGTTTATAGTATCCCCAGACGCCGTGTCGGTCATTGGGATTGGTTGACCACACTTCACCACGCTGGTCAGAATCAAACTCGGGTTGCTCAGGTTCATGGCGTTAAGCACTGTGCCACCGCTCCCGTACATTTTGTGGGTGCCTATATTTGACCCTCACCTTCACAATTGTACAGTCCTTGTATTAGCACTGGCTATGTAAGATGAGAGCATGTTGACCCCCCCGCCCGCTGCCTTGCTAGATACTGGATTGTATTTTGCACCCATTTGTTGACGCTGTCCCTTTGTGACCCTGCAGGCATGGTGCCTGATGGTGATGAGCCTGCAGGATATTGAGTGTTGCCACTGTTGACCCTTGGTTGACCCTCAGTGGCTTGGGGAGGATTGACTTCCCACCAAGCCTCTTGGTCTATCGAATACTGTACTACTGTAGATAGTAATTCATAGCAATATAATTGCAGATATTATATATACACTCTCCTGCATACACGTGGCATACCATATCAGGAGGATAAGGTTTTTTACAGTATAACAAATACATCATTAACCTTTTTCCAAAGCACTAACTAGGCCATGGAAGCATAAAGGAGTGTGACACGCTTGGCTGTGTTGTACAATTCATTTTAAGGATAAGGAGGCAGAGCTGCTCATTGCAGAGCATCGCCCACATCTCGCATTTATAAAAGTAGTTATTTCTACGTCTGGTTCAGGGTAAAAATTACTTTACAATCTATCTTTTTAAAATATGATCATTATCGTTATGGGCCCTGTATATCTTTTGCTTAGCTCACGCAAAATAATTGTTCTCTGCCTCTCCAATTCCCTATGCCCAAATTATCTAGAATGCACCCAATTCCATCAGACCTCGGAAGCTGAGCAGGCTTGACAATGCCTGGTTGGGCAACAGCAGAGGGCAGTGGGGAATACTCCATTGTACTGCTCTTCCATGCTCCCACGTTTATGCTCCCCACCTTCAACCCACACTTACCACCAGCGTGACAAAGCAGGGTCAATGAATCCCCATGTGTACGTATGTTGAAGTTCTTTCGCACCGTACGTAGCCAACCGTGCTAATAGGGGTTGCTATGGAAGGACAACAAACTAAACAAAAAAAGCAGTTCTAAAGAAATTAGTTTTCAATTTAGATTTAAATTGCTTTACTCCAGAGGCTTCTTAATATCGGAACGAAGAGCATTCCAAATGGCTGCAGAAGCGCATCTGAAAGCACATGATACAGTCTTTGTTCGACGGATAGCCAAAAGCCGCTGTTGCAAGAATAACCGGAGTTTGCATGATGGGTTATGCTCCTTGACGAGATTAGCAATGTATTGTGGTTCATTTGTGGCAAGCACTTTCTATGTAATGAGTGCGACGTTATAATGTTTTCGTTCGGCAACGGGGAGCCAATGTAGCTTGGCGAGCACTGGACGGACACAGTCGCACAGTGCGGGGATGCCCCTCGTACAGCAGTGGATTGACAAACTTGTGCACTTGTTCACGTGTATAAACACATCTGGTCAAGCACACCAACGTTAGCAATCTTACATGTAGCGTGCTGTAGAAGGTAAGGTGCTTTCCTTGTCATTTCCAGGCCATGAAGTTCTGTTACCCTTCCAGGTCGCTTCAACCGTGTGCCCTCCCCCCCACCTCAGTCTCGCTCTGGTCCTGATCCATGTGCTTCCTGGTTGTGCATGTGAATCCCTGTGTGGCAGCTCCCCGATGGAGCCTGCAGCGATCAACGCGGCTGAATTGCAAAAGCAGCCGTTGCATAAAAGGGGATGAAGTGGAGGGATTTGGGGGGGGGGGGTCACTCGCACCCAGCCTCGTTGTAATGCTGGCCCTGTTCCCAGTCCTTTACAGTGTGCACAGTGTTGCTGGAACATAGTGTTCTTTAATAGTGAGAATTTACCTTGAAGGGTGGAGAGAATGTACTCTAGAGTTCTGTGTGCTAAAAAGCCTGGCTAATTACAGAACTGTTGTTGAACAGACGACGAAGGAAAATGATTCATGCATTTCAGTGTCATTTGTGATTTAATGTATTGAATTTTGTATTTTATTGCAAGATTATTCGATTTGACACGATTGAAATGTGTGTTTTCTTCCTCCCTCCTAGGTGAGATGGATGATGTACTGGATTGTATTTGCACTCTTTACAACGTTCGAGACCTTCACGGATCTGCTGTTGTCATGGTAAGTCCCGTTTTCATTTATTACCCATGGAAAACTGGCACGGAATTCAATTAAGCATTATTAGAAAAAAATTAACTGACTGGGTTTGTTTCCCTGAGTGCTCATATCAGGCATAGCCAAGGCAGTCATCTCAATTATTAATACAGTTCCATGCAGTCGCTGAATTAAAATCCATTGGCCACACCTGATTTGTTCAGAGCTTGAGTGGTCTTGTTTTGTGAAGCAAAGTAGCCTCTCATGTTGCTTAAGTTGGGGAGGAAATGCAAATTTACGTGCACATATTAAACCGTAAATTGAAATATTTAATTGGTATTTGAGTTACACTAATTAAAACTTCTCCGATTTCCAGAACACGTTGAGGTTAAATAATACATTAGTCAATTTCCCACATGTAATGCTCTTGCATTTTACATAACATACAGGATTTTGCCATGGTGTAATGGTTAGCACAGTGGACTTGCAATGCAGAGATCAGCCGGTTAATCTCCCGATACGGCTGTTAAAACAATGGGCACGTTTCTTATTTCGCCCCACTTTCTGTTCACCGAGCAGTATAAATGTGTACAACACAGTTGATCGGCAGGTTGCATGTGGTGGCAGTAAAGTGTGGGTACTCTAACCTCTATCGAAATGTATAGTCAGCTTGTAAGAGCAGGCCAAACACCCTCTCTAAAGGGTGCTCTCTAGAGCTCCCTTTCGTGGAAAGCCCTTCCACTAACAGTTGCGTGAGTGAGCAAATGCAGGGCTGCACATTTGTCTTTTATGTTTTTTGGGATTTTGTTCCTTTGCCTCCGCAGGATCCCTTTTTACTACGAACTGAAGATAGCCCTTGTGGTTTGGCTCCTCTCTCCGTACACCAAAGGCTCCAGCGTTCTCTACAGGAAATTTGTGCACCCTATGCTTTCATCTCGAGAACAGGTCAGGAGGTTCTAGCAAATACAATGAAAATTATATTGAATTGTGTTTTGGACTCCTTAAGTATGCATTTCATCTGCTTTACACAATTTCCTTTCGTGTTTGGAGGTCTTATTCTTCCTTTGATTCAATGCACAATCACCTCTGTATCTGTTTCAAACAATGTAATGAATTTGGAACGTTCATCGTCACGTAATGTGGAGGCCAAACAAAGATTTGACAATTGTGTATAATTCCTATTCAGAACTGAAGGGGGGGGGGGGGAGCAGGGGGGAAACCATCCACAGTCAGTTTTTTTGAAGCTCGAAGATTAAGCAGGAATGGCCGTCAAGGTTTTCACCCACAGTTATTGGGTTCACAAGCATCTGGGTGCAATTGAGTGCTTTGTGTATAATTCAGTCTGTCAGATGAATCAAAGCGTGGTGTCTTTGTCACTTTCCAATGCGCACTGAATTGCCAAGGGGGGAAAAAACAAGATACTGGGAACAGCACATGACGCATGCAGTATAACAAGTAAAAAAAAGGGAATTGATTTAGGATTTCTCATCTCAACAATGAAAACAGCAAATAAATATCCCGTGCATATTACTTGAAAAAACACACGTCCCCCTCGTAACAAATATTTTGGTCTTGGCAGCTGATGCCTTGGCAGTAAAATATTTGTTAATGGGGGCGACAAGGAGGTGAGCGTGTAAAAGGCCTCTTTGTTTAGTGTTGATTCTGTGTTTATTTCCAAATGAACAGGCACGAACTGCAGCAACCACCAGCAAGTGCAGCATAGAATAAATTATGAGGGAGCTGAGAAATTAGTTTGATACTGCTGCTCTATTTGGGAAACGCAGCCTGCTGGCACATCGGTGGAATGCGCGTAGCTTGCAATCAAGAAGGTTGTGGGGGGAAGTCACTAGTGGTTGTGCTTTGGAAATACTCTTCCCCCGCCATAGAAATGTGGACCTTCCACTACTGCCTCAGGACCGTAAACAGAAGATGAGTACTGCCGAATTGACCGGAAAACCACACATTTTTGTTCTATATGTCCATTAATCGCTTTTTAATGGATTGTCTATTCATGTTTCATAGGTGGCCAGAGTATCGTACAGTGTTACTTTTTATATATATTTTTTTATAAATTGACTAAATGTGGCCGAAGCATGGTCATGCATTTACATACTTCCGGTTTAACCCATACATGGTTTATTTAACAAATTGAGACGCGGCTGTTTGGAAGGCAGTAGTATGAGTCTGGTGTGATGTGAACACGAGTGAAAAAATCTAGATCTTATTACATGCACCCAGAAATGGCTTTTGTGGGCACTGGACCATACATTTAATTTAAATTATGTAGCATGGTGTGTTTCACCGAATGAAATCTAACACCGTGATGGAAGCTTTCTGTATTGCTGCTAAGGATGTGTGTGTGTGTGCACGAGTACAATACAGCAATGTATATTTTATTGCTATCGTAGGACAATTGCATTTTAACAGGGATAGGTAATATGGCACTGTCTTTTGGCTATCGGCGTTAGTTCGAAATTTTAATAGAGCTCAACACTTCCATTAAAATAACACTGTGGTAGATGAAGATGCTGTAAAAATGTAACATTTTTGTTAATGAAACCTTAGATTTGACAATGCAGAGCCTGAACTTGTTATCTACTTTTCGTAGTTGCATTATGCCTTGCTGTAACACTTTAATTACTATTGGTAGCGTTTGGCGTGTGACCTTCAGTATATTGAAGCATTTAGTACTCGCCCATTCTTGGCACTGAAGATTAAGTGCGTCATGTGGACTGAAGGCCATTCTAGTGGGCACTGTAAAACACATTTCCACCAAATGATTATGTTAAAAATCTTTAAACTGTATCAGCTATTTTTTTTTATCTTGTCAGCTGGTATCTAATGTACGAGTCGTACAAAGAGTAACTTGCCTTAATAATGGCAATTTAAGTTTGATTTTTCACTCTGTTACCATTCCCCTCACAACCGTGTTGAGCTAATGCATTGATAATTTGCAAATTGCATCTCATCTTTGCGGTAAGGGTGCTTCATCATTACTGGCTGTAGTTTGAGGTATTTATAATATCTGATTAAATTCCCCAATGCCATGAATTAACTCTAGAGGTTTGTAACCCTTTGTGCTGGATACCCCGAGACTGATTTATATGCAAATTGTATTACACCCACTTTTCGAATGAGGAGTACTGTGGGCATGTCGTATGTAGATCAGCCATGCAAACTTTTCAACGCTCTACAGGAACAGCTCATGAATTTTGCATACATACCCCCTAGGAAAGCATATGTACACGTGAAATAAATGAATACTGTGGTGACATCCTACCCACCCCTTCCCCCCACGCAGTATATACCAATGTTGAGAATTTAATATAATCATTACCTGTGGGAAAAAAATGTTTTTAGTGTTTAGTTTGTTGTCCTTCCTCCGCACCTCCGATTATCATGGTTGGCTACACACGGTGCGAAAGAACTTCAACATACATATAAATTGCTTTTACATACATATAGTGTTGCAGTGGTGAGCATACCCTGCTACGAATCTGGCCACCCGAGTTCGATTCCCGCCCACAGCCAACGTAAGTGGCGAGTCCTATCTGAATATGGTCAAACAACCCCCATGGACTGACAATTTTTGCTGGATGCCTTCATCCAGCAGTCGATTCACAAAGGACTGCAAAAAATTATGGAAACAAATTTATAGAAAACAAATCGATTTCAGTGGGTTTGCATGGTTGTGTTGTATAGGTCACGTGGAGCGAAACGTCGGGCATCATGCCGAAACAACACACCTTATCACCCGAAAGCACATCGGAGACCTGATAGAAAATCTGTTTCCAAGGGGGGTTGTCTGATTCTATCGTATCTGATGCATTCTTTCTTTTCATCTCTTGTACAGTATCCGCATGGCACTCGATGGTAAGCTACATATTGCTGTGAGATTGAGTCGGCATGCTCCCCCTCGTCTCATTCGTCCGCCTGCTTTGTGCCTCGCAGGAGATTGACGAGTACATCGTGCAGGCAAAGGAGAAGAGTTACGAGACCATGGTGCGTTTCGGCAGACGTGGGCTCAACCTGGCAGCAAATGCAGCCGTGACGGCAGCCGCCAAGGTAATGTAACGCTCCCCCAGAGGTCAAGCAGCAGCTTGCGTTACAGAGCACAATTTACGAGTCCATCATCATTACCGTATTATGATTGCCAATGTGTGAGTGCAGATGCATTGCGTCTGCATAATTGGCCCATGTTTTTGTTTTTCCTCTGTGAACAAATTTCCAGGCATTTGCCAATTGACGACAAAAATATATTTTGATAAAACACTACGGTACTCGAGTGCTTCTAAGATTTCTAGCTGTGTTGTATTCATAAACACGTCTCATGGAGCCCATAGATTGAAATGCATCGGTGTGTAATTCTTTGAATAATGCATATGGTTTCATATGGCACTATACGGGAAAGGTTTGTGTGTTAAAATTAATGGCATGGCCGTTCGTTGTTTAATAGTCCAGATAGGAACGGTGGTCATAGTTACTATTCATATTGTAATGTTTTAAAATAAAATGACATCATCAGTATGGCCTGTGCACATTTGCATGCAGTCCACATCTGTGGCAAGTGACAGTCCTCCTCTGACCATGCTGTATCAGCGCCCACTCGTGCCACTTTAAAGTAGAGACTATATTGAACGCTGAGCTGCAGTACAGGAATTCCTCGCCAACAGATTTGCCAACCGCGGATTCATGTATGCACGGTTTATTATTTGTATTCCAATTTACCAACCGTGGCCTGGAAATTTGAGTATCCATGGGTAAGCACAGTGTTAAGGAAGTCGCATGACGTAGGTAATACATCATTGTATTAGTCAGTCCCTCCAGAAAAACGCGATTATGCGATCGCAAGATTCCACGCAAAATCAGCCAAAGTCCGCATATTTATGCGGGGGGGCGCGTTTTTTCAAATACGCCGCACTTTCGCCGCATAAATTGCAGATTTCCGCGCGCAAAATATGCGGGCTTGCATGATTTCATAAGCCCCGCATTTTCGTTGCAAAAAGTCACATATATCTTAGCAGAAAGTTGAAAAATGTTGCGTTTACTTCACACAAGCGCAGCCATTTCCCCTGTTGCCATGGGAACGTTATGAAGTGTTAGAGGCTACGTAGTTAGTTTTATTCAGGAGTTTATGCAACTTTACAGTTGTAAGATTGCACTTTTTTGTTAGTAGTATGTAAATTTACATTACTGTAAGACTGTACTGTTACTGTATTGCTTACGTTACTGTGCACTGAAAACACTTATTTTAACAGAAGATGTCTGTTTTGTATAGCTACCTCTGTAAAACAGGAAGCACACATTTATTTTTTAATATTTTATTTATTCATTTTTACAGAAGTTGTAGCATATTCATTTTGTAAAGCTACAGAACTTGTTCGACTCAATGTTTTGTAAGTTTGAGCCATCTGTTTGTTAAGGTCTGAAATAAAACAAGATGAGAACTTAAATATTCCCAGCACTTTCTGTGATGTAGTATGCTTGTTTATCATAGGAAGTAATAAGAAATGACTTTACATTAAAGTAGTAGCCTAGTGAATAGGGTGTTGGGGGAATCACTTTTTTTTCTCTTTTTCATCAAACCGCAGTTTTTGCAAGTTCCCGCAATTTTTGCAAGTTCCCGCAATTTAATCGCTTAAAATTGCATAAATATCCCGCATATTCCATCGCATTTTTTAAGAAAACGTGCCGCATAATCAACGATTTTTGCCCGCAACAATCACCAAAAAACTCCGCGTTTTTCTGGAGGGATTGATTAGTGACGGTATTTTCACGGGGCCTTGGTTCTCCGTGCTCCAGCACCACCATCCCTTCCCCCGTCATCTCATTATCATCATCATCGTTAGTATTAAAGTGTGTAAGTTAATGCAATGTTTATTTATGTTTTATTATGTTGTTGTGTAATGTACTGTATTTTATTTGGCGTTTAGTTAATAAACAGGCAACTTATTTAAGCTATGACGAGTCTGACCGCGGCCGTGGTTCCCCTAACCCGCTATTACCCGTAGGCCCCTGGTACTTTACCAACCGCGGATTTGCCGACCGGGGCATTTTCCAGGAACCTAACCCCCGCGGTTGGCAAGGGATTTCTGTATATTGTTGTTGCCTTTGATCAATTCACCCAGGGTTGCGCCTCGATATTCCTTAGATAGGTGATCGCCACGCATAAAATAGGTGTTGTAGGCTGCTATAATGCTGTGTTGTCAGCAGAGAGCAGTAGAGCAAAATCCAAAATTGTAATGTCCTATGCTCCCTTCCTTCACTAATCCGCACTGACCAGCATAGTGTCATATGTTAAACTTACCCCAACAGCCTGCAAGGCATGCAGAGGCCTTCATCCAGCAGTGGATTGACACAAGGGCTGTACATGTACTTATTTTTTAAGCATTTTGGCAGAAACACGACCTTTATATATTCACGATACACAACGGTAATTTTGTTTAAATTAAAGCCAAATATATCAATATCCTGTAAGACCAAGCAAGAGCCACGTTATCATTCTTTAGGAAGATTTCGATTGCCAAGGCAATACAAAATGGTGCGTATTGATAAGGAAAGGTTTAAAAGTAACATCAATCTTGGTCAGAATAGTAACCATTGTTCTGCCGATCACACCATCATGTTTGTTTTGGAGCAACGGCAGCATTTTGATGACACAGCACGCCTTAACTCGTGCACTGCAGGGCCAGGGAGCCTTAAGCCAGAGGCTCAGGAGCTTCAGTATGCAGGACCTGTCCTCCATTCCGGATGAGGAGCCCATGCACGGTGACATGGGTGAACACTCGCGTGCAGCGCGTGACACCAAGTTCCGCAACACCACGCGTTCTTTCGACCTTTCGGACTCCCATGGTAAGTCTCACCTAACATTACAGTATTAGCAGAAAGTGTTTTGCCAACTGTTATGTAAAATTGTAGCTTTTATAAGAATATCACTGTGGCTCATAATAGGTTTTTTCTTTTCTGGCAATAAAACAGGTGTTAAGATGTTAAAACACTAAACTGAAACCTTTGCAAGGAATCGTGTCTGCATTAACCACATATACTTGTGGTGAACATGCAAACAAAAAACATGCTTTGATAGTATGTGCATTGTCTTTGAAACTGATTGGTCCACACCAGAGACAGGTTTCTTGAGAGCCTAGTCTCAAACAGTGTGACTAATAAGGCTACTAGATGTCATTTGTCCTGTTACCATCATTATCATCAGCCATGCTGGATTGAGTCCTTCCCAGGTTGTTGCCATCTCTCGCGTTTCTACGGTTCAAAAATCCACCGAGCATCTGCACACGAGCTGTTTTTGTCGCTCCGTTCTAATCATTGACAAGTTATCACTGCCTATTTCATCTTATAGTTTCCCGTTGCAATAACAGCATCGCATTCTGAATTTGCTACTTGTACTATTTTTCCATAGTCTGTAATCTCCCCAGAGGTCTTCAGACGGCACTCTGTAATTAAGAGCGTGCCAATATTCCCTCCTGAGCTACTCAGGGTTAGCAATCCTGAATAAGTGGTGTCGTGTGGATTAATGTCAGTATAATCCAAGGCAAAGACACCCCCGACACATCTGCAGTACAGTACATTAGTGGGAGCAGAAATTAACTTTTGTAACTTCCTTTTCATTCTTCATACAATGGAATCCTTTTTTGTTTCTCTCCCTGGTTTTGTTTGAAGAGCGATTGCAGGATGATCCAACCATGCGAGGTCACGTGTCAGATGGAGAGAGATCTGATGGATTTGATGATGACGATGAGGTCGAGGAAGGGTCACCAAAGCCAGCCGTGAGACGAGCTCAGAGTCTCCGTGCGCGTAAAGCTATCAGGCCACAGCCACGTTCAGATGTATGTAATCTGCCGGCTATGCTTTGTATTGCTTTTAAACACTTTAATGCCTATTATTATCGTTATTATTTTTCTGGATGTTATTGGCACAAATCATTTACGAACAATATATCCTTTTGTTGCAGGCTGTCAGGAAAAGCCCCAAGCTTAGAGTAAAGAAGAGTCTTCCAAGTAATTATTACGGCACTATGTAGCGTGTTTGTGTCTTACTTCGGAGCTTGAGATGGTTCCACCAAGAAGATTTATATTGAAATATTAAAACATTTCTACAATGGAGTCTTCATGCACCATGCACCAATACCTGCTGCCCAAAATTTGAGTAATTTCTTCTGTAATTACTTGCTCATCTGAAGAACTATGCCATTTTTACAGATTTAGTTGGACATAAACAATTTTTTTTCTGCAACAAAAATTATCAGTACAGTTGATGTTTTAAATAAACAACTATCAGCTGTAAACCATTTCAAAAGCAAATGTTTTGTTTCCAACGCAATCAATGCAACAGCTTAGTCTACCTTTCACACTAATAATAATTTTTGTTTTCACCTCCTTAAGTGGCTTTAGCATACGTAGTTTTCTGATGTACATATGCTCTCGTCAAATTGCATGTATTCATGATATTAAACTGCCTTAAAACATCTTCTTGTTTCTTTCGGTAAAGTCCCTTCTACGTGACTTTACCGAAAGAAACAAGAAGATGAATCCCTGCAGTCACGAAAGCTTTAAATCGAAATTTAACTGCCTTAAAACAATGCAGATAACACTATGTAACACAATTTTTGTTCCTGGGTTGTAAGTGTTATTTCGTAATTGCTTATAATCCGAGTGCATGACGACCTTCTAATAGCTGCCTCCTTGGTGCTGGGTTGTGACTAGAAGCTTCTAGCTGCAGAGGCCTGCCCCGCTCGCCACGTGCCAATCGCCCAAGGGCTTTGGGTGTGTAGTGTGGTGGTGCGATGGCACTGTTTCCCTGGAGGGTGCCAGTGCATTTATTAATTTACGTGCAGTGTCTCTTGCACACCAGCTACCGCACGGGGCTTAACCAGGAACGAAGCCTGGGTCCAATGGCAAGGCAGAAAATCAAGACGATTGGAAGGCTTGTCCTGAAGTGGCTCCTCCGCTGTATGCTGTTGGCCATCTGGACCGTAGCTCATCCGCCCTACCGCGGTGGGCCGAACTTCATGGCTCTTTTTTCCCCTCTGTACCATTGTATAAAAATACATTTATATCACCCATGACTAAAGATTCTCGCAACATTTTTCATATATGATCTATTTTTTCAATAAAATTTAAAATTGTAAAACATTTTAAAATTTAAAACTTTTACTATTTTTTTTTTACAATTTGAATAACATAAAATTACAAGCAACAATTTCCATCTTACCTTTCAGAGTTTTTTTGCATTGCTTGCAGGTGAAATGAGGTGCTCAGGTTTTGTCTTGATCCCCGAGAGGCATGCCGAAATATGCCTTGTAGGCCTCACACATCTTAGCAGATGCTTCTACAGAGTACTTTTTCGGTCTTGTCTTGATAAATTGGCCTGCAGACATAGCAAAATGCATCTCCCGGATGCTTGCAGCCACTTGATTCCATCTCAGAAAAATTAGATGGCATCAAGCCCGTGTATTTTCTTACTATTTATATTACTGGAAAGTTCTAGAATGTTCGAGTAGTTACTCCCAAGTTTACTCAGCACTGAATCTCTCTGGAATGTTCTGGAAAATAGGTACATTTCAAAATATCACTGTCCTGGTCACAAAAGCAAAGTTTGTGGGGAATAATAGCCATTTTCTTTACTTTTAAAGCATAAGCAATTAGGAAATAACACTTCCTACCCAGGAACAAAAAAAAACGTGTTACACTGTAATTGCATGACAGAACGTTTAAGAACTTTTAATTTAATGTTGATCCTAAAGCTTTGGCCATGCCGTTGAGAAGATGGCAACAGGCGTCTGAAACATTTTTCTCTCCACTGACAAGTGACTTGCAGGGACTACAAGTAATACTAGCATGAATCTAATACCCAAATATGAAATTATATACATTGAAGACATTTACAGATTGATGGATTGACTTTATTTCATCAGGCGTCAACCCATTGCGACAAGATGTCTCTTGTGCACGGATGACCTGGGTATTGATCGCTTGACCGTTGACAATAAACTGGCCATGGTGATGGTTGAAAATGTTGCTTTATCAGTGTAATCTGCAGTGCTCTGCATCTCGCAAACAAGGTGACTTTCAAGAAAGTGCCTTTATGATTAAATATGCATATTGTGTTACTTGCGCTAGCCATAGCTTTAAATGCAGATCAGTCACGCAAACAGTCTACTTTATATTGTTTTTGTGGTAATAGCTTACCTTGGGTTTCTTTAAGTTGGGGGAGCTGTCCTCGTGATAAGCCTTATTGGCTTTTAGTTTAGATAATTTAATAAAGGCATCATGGGTTCTGAGGCTTTGCATAATACAAACGTGCCTTTTTAATGCATATGCTGCGATCGCACTAGTCACTCGAACTACTGCAACTCCTTGTGATGCCAAGTAATTGGATCCTTGCATTTTTATTTGCCGAGTGCTGTAAATGCTCTGCGTATATTTGAAACGGTTAATGTGGCCTACATAAGGGTACGTATATTTGCTTTGGTGCAATAAAGTATAGGCGTTAACAATATATAACCTGACTTTTTGCAACTGTAAGTGGATGAAGGGGTTTTAGGATGTATGGTAGTGTCTAAACAATGCATTGGCACAAAACACTGTATATTTGTATTGTTGGAGCTGCTTGGTCATTTTATTTTCTCATTTTTCATAATGTTATGTTTTGTAGCATGTTTTACAAATAAATGCACACCTATGTATGAATACTGATGTGAGGATAATTATCATACACCTTCAGTAATGTGTTTGTGTGAACTTTTTTTTCTGCACTTACCGAATTCTCATCAGAAAATAATTTCGTGTAGTATGCACCCATGGCAGTGCAATGTCATCAGATAAGTGACCTTGGTTCATAACTACATTGCTTTAAGCTTACTCATCGTGTCAAGTGTCTTAAACCACACAGCTAAATTAAATGTTAAACAGCATCATATCTCTGGGTCCTTTGAGGGCTTTGTCCTCTATGTGCAAATGGATCTGAATGCTGCGTTTTTGACCCTTTTAAACATATCAAAATATTTGGTTTTTCACTGATATTGGTTTAGTATTTTGATGCTTGCCTTTGATATACTTTATTACATTTTAGTTTTAACAATCACCATGAAAAAAACATGTTCTGTATATAGGCATAAATATTGCCATTGAACTTCAATTTTTTTTACTTTACATTATTTAACACCATACTGTTCACTCCAATTCATATATTGATCATTTTCATTATTTTTATTGTCTTCATCTCTAAATATGTTTACAGACACCCCAACCTTAATTTAACACCATTTTTCCTCAAATATGGACTTTGGAAAGGTGGATAAATTATCTTTCTGTGATGCGGAATACAGTTCTCGAAAGAATGTTGTTTATGAATCAGGCTTGGTTAGTCATTCAAGGATGCTACACTAAAGACATATTGAATTGCACATCGAAGCGTATCTGGAATATCAAAGAATTCCAGCTTTTTACTTCACACATTTATACCAAATGCTTATGAACGCGATGCCAAGGCCATGGGTTGTGGCTTTTAAAATGTACCCAAGTACAGTGGAAACAAGAAATTGGTTACTGACTTCATTCTAAGATTTAAAATTATACAAATGTTGGCCCAGCTCATGTAGTGGACTGAAACATATTTCTTGTTGTGCTCATTTTATTTGATTTAAGTTTGGAATGTTTATTTGCTGTGGACTTGTTAACATGACATTTATTACGTCTTCATTGCGCTGCATTATTCTGCTGTAAGCTGTATATTAATGCTGTATGCATTCGAGCATTTAAATGGAGAATGTCACTTCGTCTGCATGATTTTTGTTTATCACGTTTGACTTTTGAAATTACTGTATACTGCATTGAGCAGTAATCCAGTGTAGGATTCAATAACACTACTCAAAGTGTAATTTCAATTGTGAATAAAGTTATATTCATTGGCTATGTTAACCACTCATTAAACACTATGGCATTATATATGCTTCTTGTATGTTTCCTGTGATACTGTCTTGTGTTATAAAAAAAACAAGTTAACTATCATAAATATCACAAGGTATATTCATTGTGTGTTTTTACTTTGTTCTGATCAGTTACATGGAACACAATTTATTTTTAAGCTTAACATTGGCAAAAGTAGGAATTTCCACAAACATTGACATGTCTTCTTTTTACCTCACTATAATATAGTTGTTGGCATTACAGGTTTATATTTTCTACTTTCTCATGACCTGATTTTGTTTTTGTATTTTTATTTAGCAATGTGAGTGCAGAAGTTGAGTACAGTACTTTATTTTTTTGTTAGAGGAAGAAACTCTCCACATGGGTGACAAATTGCCCATTTGTTAAGGGTGTTATCCCATGATCTATGAACACCTGAATGAAGTCCAGTTCCACAAAGGCAGAATTCATCTATTCCCTGCACACGTGCGAATTTAATCACTCTAGGTTTGTGGTGGACATAGTCTCGGGCATGTTCTCTTTGGCTGGCATTACTTTCCTTAACAGTTAATATATATTTCTAATTTGTATTTGCTCCCTACGGTAATTCAAAATTCTTCCCTCTCCATGTGTATTTTCATACTTTTAAGCTTTTGTTTGATTTTATTTGTTAACACCCATGTTTCATCTTCATTGCATTGCACATAATATATACTGATTACAAGTTTTTTTATATGAATAGTTTTACTCATCGCAGCACGAGAATGTGAATAGTGTCAGTTACTCAAAAGGGGCAGACAGCAAGTGAAAGATCGCACCTCCGATTAGTACGGTTGGCTAGTACATACGGTGCGAAAAAAGTTCAACATACAACTAGGAAAGGGAACGGATGCCAGGACAGACGTACCCAAAAATAGACAAAAGAGCGAAAGCTCAAGATGAGTAGCAAGAATAAAGGAGCGACGGGCCGGAAGGAGGAGGGGGGAGGGCATGACTGGGCCAAGATATCTCGGTTTGAGACGGTGATGAGAGAGAAGGAGAGGAAGTCAGCTGCATCATTTAGATAGACCATATAAATGTTAGAGGTGTTTATTGTATTCAGGTGTATACTGCACAGTATACAAATAGTGCTGAGGATTGGTTTTGAGATATAGTGATTTGGTGGTGGAAAGACCAAATCAAGTTCGGTACGCAAGTTGTGGCTAATGTCATGTGTGTTTACTGGTAAAACTGCTTAAAATGAAAAAGAAATAGGCAAGGGTCTTAGCACAAAAATAAATAAATGTAGGTCCATCAGCTATATAGCAATTATTTTCCAATGTTTTCCAGAAGCATCACAATAAACCAGACAATGTACCATTGCTGATTTTACAAGTCTAATCACGAGGTCCTGGCTTGTGCTGTTGGTTTTGTTGATATTTTGTATTAAGGCTTTTTAAGAGTTTAATTTACACCGAATTGTTACCTTTTGTATAAATTTTTTAAAAATCTATTTTTGACAACCATATTAAATACTTTTCCAGAATGTTTTTCCAATCAACTGCTGGTTGAAGGGTTCCCCAACATTGTCACCTTTTTACCATAAGCGCATTGGTCAGAGTGGATATTACAAATGATAAAATATATTCTCAATACAGTAGTGCCATTGTGAGTTTTGGTGGCCCTCATAATCCAATGCTGGATGAAAGAAATCTTGAAAATTAATTTAATAATTGGCACAAACTAGTCGTGACACTTAAAGGGACTAATCATGGTTCAGAATGTAAATTCACATGGATGATATTTTAGAAAAAGTATATTAGCAAATAATAGGGTTTAAAAACATGCCTTCAACTTCAGAATAAGAATATTTACTCTGGAGGAATCCGATGAGCTTTCAAGCTCTTTTTAGATACTCAGCTGTAGGTGATCTGGTTCACCAATATGACAACAGTTATGAATATAATATACTGAGACTTCATGCTGGAAAACAAATTAATCTGATTGGCTTTGTGGTGTTGATTCTAGTTGTTAAGCTTTCGTGACTGCAAGGATTCATACTTTTTTCGGTAAAGTTACGTAGGTAAAAAAAATCTAAATAATAATTAATATTTCCATTTATTTATTTTTAATAAAAATCTAGTTTCTATTTTTTAATAATTATTATTTCAATTATGTTTATTTTTTTGCGGTGTTGCCCACATTCCAATATAATGTGGGAGCCCTGCATGGCCCTTTGAGTCTATGCGCTCCTATAGACTTTTTGGTATTGTTCGTCGTAACTTTCTGATCCACCCCGGCCAGGACGTCTGTAAAAAAATAACTTGATGGATCATCGGATTCTTTTCACTCTGCAAAGGTTCTAATTGTGTGGATGCGAAGTGGAGATTTTAACATTTTGAGTGGAAACTCGTCACCGCCCGTTGCCATGGCAGCGGCGGGAGGTGACGTCACGTCAACAGCGAATGACGTCACCGCGCAACGCGCCTCCTTAGCAACCGGCTCTAGCGACCAAGATGGTGAGTTGCGTTCGCAAGCCGCCGTCCATCGGCGTACAGATAACGACGCTTAATACGCCTTCGTTTAGACGAATATAACTGCGCCAAACACTCCAGTTTATGCCTTCGCCAAGGTACACATAGCTAGCCTGCGCGCAGGGCATTAGCTGGGATTGAATGAAGGATGGACCTGGACGTTCCTGCTGTTTCGTCTGGCCCGGGGTGGGGGCTCTGTAGCCGGGGTAAGGTAGCCAGGCAAGGCCGTAGGCTTGGCCATGTTTGACTAGGCCCGCGGGACGCGTTTCGGAGTTTGTATCGAAGGACTGTGTTTTTTTATTATTATCGCGCAATCATCAGGCGATGATGCGTATGAACCTGAGTTCGGTGCCCGTTCGCGGCTAACATCAGTTGCACGTAGTATCTGAAACAGTCCTGCTTATTCAGACCTCTGTTCACCAACCCGTTACTGACCGACGTGCGTGAATTATGGACAAATAAACGCCATGACCGACGTGGTGTGAGGCCTTCATCCACTGGTGGATTTAGAATGACTGGAATTTTTTAAAAATCGTCCCGTTATATATTGCAGTTGTACAATTGATATTTTCAAACTCACCTTTGCTATATAAATGCTCGTTGAATGGATAAGGTGGGGTGATTGTTGACCAAATACGGTACCCGTATATCCTGGCAGTTGTTAAATATATCAACTTTGTCATTTGAGTATGCTAATCTCGTGGAATAAAGGTGGTATTTTTGTCTGATAGTGATACGTCTGATCGTGATACGTACGTGTATTTAAATGTCTCTTCCAAAAAATTACAAATTTTCCCAGTCACTAGTGTATGTCTTTACGCAGTGTATAAGATACGAATTTCACCAACCCAAAATATATATGCGTTTAGGTTTGGTTATCACTTCATCATAAAAACGTAGATAGGCCTTTATCCAGCAGTGAGTGCCATTGGTAACGGCTGATGACATGCTTTACTCTCATCAGGAGACATAAAAGTAGCAATCTATAATTGGGCACGTATACATTACTTGTTTAAACGGATTTATATATTAAAAACGCACCTGCCTGGAAATGAGGAAACGTTACGCGATGAGGTATATGTATGTGTTCTGTGGAACCACTAATTGGCTTAACATTTTATATAGATGCCAGACCATTCATTAGCTTCGCTGGTGTGTTCATTATATTATAATCAAAACAAACTATCTTAATGCAATGGTATGGCAGCGACCTGCCGCTTACGTAACCACGGCAATCATAGAGAAACGCACTTGATCCTGTTGTGAAGGATTAAGCAAAGAACAGCAGCCACAGATGTAGTTAGCTTAGAGGAGTCAATCTCCTTCACTTGATATTAATAGTCCCGGTGGCGACGTTGTGTTCTTTTGCTTGCATCTTTGCCCTTTCGTTCAGCGAGCAGCGTGACTTGAGAGTTTTGAAGGGGTTGGTGGTTAAGTGATGCGTGATAAATGGGAGAGGGACTACTCGTAAGACTTCATTCTAATTCATTTTAACGCCTATCTACAATGTGACATGTGTGGGTGTATGATTGTGTTTCGTGCAAGTGACCATTCTTGTGTATGTTTCTTCTGGATACTTTTTGTGCTCTTATTTTTTGCTCAATAGATTATGGTAATTGGTTTTTTCCCCGTTGTGTTGTAGGGTTTGCTGTCCATCCTACGTAAACTGAAAAGTGCTCCTGATCAGGAGGTTCGCATACTCCTCTTAGGACTTGACAATGCAGGAAAAACCACTCTACTCAAGACGCTTGCATCAGAAGACATAACGCACATTACCCCAACTCAGGTATGATTTTATACAAATATTATCTTCAACTTGCATCTGTATAACTTGAAAAGATAGTTACACAAACGTGCTCTTCTAGATGGTGATATTTATTTTACAAGACAATCATTTGTAAGTATTTGTGGCGTTAAATATTGACTTAAACTTCACAAATAAAGTAATTACTGTTACGTGGCCTGATTGTGATGATTACTTTAAATTAATTTAAATTTTAATACAGTACGTGATAATCTGGGGATTGCCCACAATAGTTACATTCAGTTCATTTATCACTCATATCCGGCACACTTCCACTGGTTGTTACAATGAAGATGCCAGTTAATCAGCGATTGTTAATAATCGTACTATATGCATTTATTTGTTCTATATATTTTTGGGGGAAAATACAGTATTATCAGAGAATAGCCATGGTGAGATCATGCCTCCTTCCCTGACTTTTGATTTGGATTGCGTTACTTCAAGCAATATCAGTGTAGCTGTTCCGTTTTGCAATTGGTTTTAACAAATCCTATTTATAATTGAATGCCTTGGTTTATGAGTTTGCATGAGTGTACACCAATCCATATAATACTCGTTTGTCCACAAAGGCTAAGCATAATGGTACGTGTTATACCTTAGTCTTTTCCAGAATGTGATTGCTAGTATGTTCACAATATAAAAAATGTTCTGAATCCAGTATACTCGAATGTTATTTGTTATTTCATGGTTGGTTGGCCTCTATATTATCTATGGCAGTTGCTTAGACAGACTGGGATCATAATGATAGAATAATGAGGACCTTGGGAGCAGAGCACAGTGTTTTTAGAAAAAATATGTTAATAAAAAGTTACATGTTGTTAATCAATGTGTATTTCCTGCTATAATATATGTGTAGTGACATCGGGGATGTCATTGTATAGTGCTGGCCCGGGAGGGTCGTGGCATGCGATGTTCCTACGTCGTAGACAGTTCTGGGTGGGTTGCTGTGTGATGCCGGCTTTATGATAGCAGGGCGTGCAATGCACTGTCATCGTGTACACCCCGTCGATGGGTGTACTGGGTGTAGTACCAGCCCTAGTAGGGCTTGGTGAGCGCTGGGATAGCGCGGGCACCGCGCATAGCGTTTAGTGCGGGCTCCCACAAGGGGGAGCGGGAGAGTGTCAACCCAGGGACAGGGTTGCCCCGGGCCATGGCACTCTCGTTGACCCCGTAGACACGTGATCCGGAGTGTCCATAGAGAGGGCCCCAGGGGGGGGGGGTGCTAGGGGGTGATCACCTGTCCGGGGAGAGCTCTCGAGATGGAGCTAGAACACTCGAGAAGGAGGGCGGGGCCTGGGCGGAGCCAACCCCGACCTGGGAGGATATAAGGTGGGTCCCTGAGAGGGACCGGGGTCACTTCGTTCTACGAGCTGAAGCTCCACGTCCTACAAGCTGGAAGCTCTATGTCCTGCAAGGCATCAACATGTGGCCATGACCTGAGTGAGGGTCCGACCCTTCGTAGCTTTAACTCCTCCGTATAGAGTAGTTAGCTGGGTGATCACCACCCTAGGCTGCATCTGGTGATGGGGAAATTACCCCTTTGTGTATTACGTGTTGATATAATAAATGTGTTGCCTCTAAAGAATAACATCTGCGACTCAGTTGGACTCGCTACATATGGATCAGAAACATAGACATTATAAATGGAACAAAAACTGAAAAATACACATAAACAAAGATCTAAATTGCAGATATTATACTGAGGCACAGCAAGAGCAACATGCAATAAAGAGAACAAGTGTAAATTTCAGACGTTTCTGATGAGTGGGCTTGTGTAGCCCATACTGCGAGAAGGGATGACGGCCAATGGATGGGAATGGTAACAGAATAGCAGCGAAAGGAGGGAACATGCCCGTAAGGCAACCACCACAGAGATGGAGTGATGAGATTATCTCATGTGCAGGAATGAGATGGATTGTGAGATTGCAAGACCATGCAGGATGATGATGTGGGATTACCTTCATCCAGCAGGGTATAAAGCATGGCTGATTTATAGCAGTATTGCAATTTGTGTAATTATCTGGTATGCAGAGTTGATGGTCCTGACTTTTTTGCCACAGCCGTATTACATAATCACATTTTCGCATGAGTCATTTGTCTTTTTTATTTCGTATTGCATCACAAGTGATTTTTTTCCCCCAAAACTTCACAATATTAATCTTGACTTGATTAATATCACGTTTTATACATTTTGTTGAGCACTTCAGAGAGCATTGTGAAACTGTTTTTTTCTCTGCACAGGGCTTTAACATCAAGAGCGTGCAGTCGCAAGGATTCAAGTTAAATGTGTGGGACATCGGCGGACAGAGGAAAATTAGACCTTATTGGCGAAACTACTTTGAGAACACTGATGTGCTGGTTAGTTCCAACATAGATCACAAATATCATTATTGAAATGTTTGTATATGGACATTATTTAAGTAATGTGAACGTTCTTTTTTTCCATTTACAGATTTATGTGATTGACAGCGCAGATAGGAAAAGATTTGAGGAAACAGGGCAGGTAAATATATCCGAAATTATATTTTTAAGGCTCTATGAACCATCTAAACACAAAAATGGTGTGTCAGGTAATATCTCAGTCATTGCATTGCTTAACCTTTTGTAAGTCCTGTAATTTTACTCCGAGTAGTAATATGGGCATAATGTTATAAGCGTTGGGTGTTCCTCTGTTTCACAACAATTGAGTGTAACCACGGTTCCACAAAGAAAGTCCATGTGAGCACATCACACATGGGGCGTACGCGTGTGCGCGTCCAGAACACTGTGACCAAGGTCCTGGGAAGCGGGTCAATGTGCCCACGGATCACATGGGACGTCCGCGTGTGCATGCGCCCCCCGGTTTGGTGTGTTGGGCAGGAATTGGCCGAACTCCTGGAAGAAGAGAAGCTGAGTGGCGTGCCTGTGCTCGTTTTTGCCAACAAGCAAGATTTGCTGACGGCCGCACCAGCTTCTGAGATCGCTGAGGGGCTCAATTTGCACACCATTCGCGACCGCGTCTGGCAGATCCAGGCCTGCTCAGCCTTGACGGGGGAGGGTGTGCAGGTACAAGTCTTGTTTTTTTCTCAGCTACACTGGTGCCATATACATGGATGACTATAATACTATTTCTGTTAACAATAGGTGTTGAATTTGCTTGTTTGAAATGTTTATGTATACCTTTTTACTTTTAAATAATTGACAATATTTAAGTCAAATAATTTATGACCAGGTAACAGTCCATTGGAACAAGGCTCTTGCAATTCAGACTTGGGCGATAGATGCATTTTATTTTGAAATTCTTATGTCAAGATGGATTTAATATACCCTGGTTTATTGCCTAAGTGTAATTAGGTTTAATGTGCTGGTGTCTCATCCACCTACATGATTACTTAATTTGCAATCATTTGTTACAAAAATCCTTTGTGTAAGAACTGCATGTTCTCAATCTCTAAAGCATATATTTTTGCATCCAATTAAGCACTGAAAATAACTTACATGGCCTTGTGACTTTTTCTTCTTTAGGATGGGATGAACTGGGTATGTAAAAATGTTAATGCGAAAAAGAAGTGACTCAACCATACGCAAAGCACTGTTGCCCACATGTACAAGGTAACCTCACTCATCCAGTTTGAAAAAGTTTGTTTTCGTTTTGTTGTAAATTGTAGAATTATGAGACTGAGAGATGTAATTTCTATTGCTCATGGAAAGGTAATCTTTAAAAACTATTTACTATAAATGATGCAACACAATTTATCATTCCCATATGTGATGAAAAGAGTAGAAAGGGTAGAGAGTTTGACATGTACAATTAACATATTTTTTTCTGCATATCTGTACAATAAAGTTCTTTTGACAATTATGGACATGTTTTAGATAAGGCTTTGTACACCAGGACATTGTACGCAGTTTTGTCTGCTATCCTCCGTTTTATGTTCAGCGTTTTGTGGTTGGTGGGGATAGGGGCTATTCTGCTGGCAATTAAAAGTCAACTATTTAAAATGGCAACTTCGGTTCTACTTGCAATATGAAAATTTATCCAAAAAATGTATTTATCTATTCACTAGCATTCTAGTTATTGTGGAGTGCAATCCATTTTGGTGGTTTGTTCATCTTGACATTACAACAGTGCGTAATTGAGAAAAACACTAAATCGTAGGAATACTAGTAACATGTTTTATTTGTTTATTGGAATTACAATATAAGAAGTTATGATCACCCCACACAGTAAATATCTGCTTTACATATTTCATTATGAACTGTTTATGCTGGTTGTCATCTATTTATGTTCTGGATCAATGGAAGTAAAGTACAGTAGTATGATTTGTGTACCCATTTGGGTGCATTTCTGCAACTTAATAAAAAGTGCACAATTTTTAGATGTTTGAGATTGTATTTTTTACCGATACAAGTCGTTTGTAGTGGAAATCTCTTTATTTGGCATCTCATGGGATATGAGAAAAAATGTTTGCTGGCTGGATTCATGCGGAAGTGACGTCACCATGGATATTTCTGATGACTACAATTGCATCTTCTATTCATATACAATTGCATCCTACAGCGTTGAGGCGGGCTCTTGTGTGATGGCGTCACACCCCCTCCACCTATACTCCACCCTGCCGTGTATTCTGTGCAAATGTGATGGAGATAAAAGGGCGAGAGAGAGGAGGGAGGAAACGATGGAGAGGGACAGGTCAGAGAGTGAAAGGGTGTGAAAAGGAGAGGAAAACGGAAAGAGGAGAGCGAGGAAAAGCAACAAGTGGGAGGATTACGGGGACGCAAGAGAGATTGAGACGGGAAAGGGAGAGGTGGCAATAAGGAGAGTGAGAGATAGTGGGAGAGGAGAAGAGTAGATATGGAAGGTGAGGTAGAAGACAGGGCGTGCATGTATGTTGAATTTCATTCGCACCGCACATAGCCATATGTAGCCAACCGTGCTAATAGAAACATATAAAAAGACAAAAAGTTATTGAGATAAATTGGGATATACAGTACAGAAGGCAAGAGAACAGTGGAGAGACGGCTTAAAAACTTTTGCTGGTTGAGAGGGACTTAGGGTCATTTCTAAAGGATGTGCGGGCTGCTCGTCTCATGAAAACTTTTAAGTACATTTGTAATATAGCTCTAAGAGATACCGTCTTGTTCAGTTATATGTATATTTATTATGAATAAAGTCTGCCGACTCACTGATAACTTAACGAGTAACCGCGAGTGACTATATACACTTGTTAACTTAGCTCTATTCTGAGACAACATGACTCTAGCCTTCCAAGACTACAAGGTGCCCACTCCAGGATGATGAAGACAACCCGCTCCAAGGTGACGACGGCGACGGCAGTTCCCCCACAACAGCAGCCCAGAGCCCCGGTTCGCGCCGGCTCTTATTCCCCTCACGACCCGGTCACGCCCCTATTCCCCGAACCCTCTCTCACCGCACCTGGCCCTGTCTGTCTCTGCCTTTATTACAATTTATGACCGTTAGGTCCCGTGCTTGCCCTCACGCGACCGCATCAATCATTATTAGCAACCACTTAGGTCCCAGTGGTGACTTACGTTAATTAGTAACCATGGCCACGGGGAGCCGTACTGTCCTTATACATATATAAAAACATGTTTCACAATAAGTATGCTTTTTTATAGGCTTCATATAAAATCAACTGCTATATTTTATTTTCGGGATGATTTTACTTCAGCTGATTACAACTTAAATTTATCACTCACTCTTGGGGGATGGGGGCGGCCTGGGTGAGGTAGTTTAGAGATTCTGCACTACCTGCTGATGACTGACACGAGTTAGATTCTCGGCCATGACCAACATCAATGTCCATCAGTGCCAAGCCATCTCTTGAGCTGCTTCAGGACATACTCCCTTCAACATGCACTGAAGAGTATGGTCTAACAACTCCCATGACACGGCATCGGCAGGCTGCCATCCAGAAGTAGTGCTGTAAATATTATTTAATCTCAAAATAAGCGATCACAATATCAGATAAATATACTGAACAAATTAAGAACTATTGTATAGATTTTGCTTAAACTTTATCAAATATATTTCTTAAAAAAAAAGATATTTTTCTATTTGAAGCCACTCAATTTCACAAATTCGTGAAAAAGCATTCAGAAGTCCAAGCACCTGCAGTCTGAACAGTTAATCTGTTGGCAGCTTAAGAGCATATGAGCACTTTTTGGGAAAATTGACACATTACCGCATCTAATACCTTTTAAATGCAATTACAAATGCATACGTCATAACATTTCAGCAAATATAAGGCTCTCAAGCTGGCAAAGGGCTTTGCTCTTCGCTGTGCTCTGAAGACCTCGTTTTTTACGACACCGACTTGGTATGTTATTTTCAGTTTACCATAACCAGACAATATATCAAAAATGTCACCACTGTTTACTTGGAATTATGTTGATATTTACTAATTATAGCACTGAACTTATTGCGGGATTGGTTTTAAAGGTAAATGTTTGACTGCCTGCCTGCCACATTGCATATATTGCATAGATTTGTTGTATAATTCTCCATTTGCATGCATGTTCAAGGGATTCCTGACTGAGTGGTGCAAAATGAATTCGAAAATCAATTTGCAGACCTTTATAGTATGTGTAACAGTATTTGAACACATTTGAAATCCTTCAATCCGTTAATCCCAACTGGAGACAGCTGCTCGCTCGTCCCTTGGGGAGCCGTTGGTGGTGTTGAGCCTCAGTGATCCCAACGCCTCTGCAGCGTTCTTTGTAAGTCATTGGTGTCTTATTGTGTTTAGGTCTGGTACTAAGTTGTGTCTCCTGTGCATTACCATCGTGACCCTATCATTCCCCATCACATGTTCCCCTTTTCGCATTGCTTGCTTTCCTCTGCTTCTGCAGCTATTTGAGATGCGATTGCATCTCGGCACTTAATGTAATTTATTGCACCACTGTGACACCATAAATACGCATTTGAAAGCTGGTTTGCAGTTACTTTATTTGTTCTAGGTGACAACATGCAAAGCAATCACTTTGCTATATTGCTGCTCCTGGGAGTGTGCCTCCAGTTGTGCCTGGTGATGGTTGTGAAGACAGATCAGAGCGCCCAAAAGCATGGACATCATTTAAAAAAAACGCCTGGGCAGGCCAGGAGTGACCAAGCCCTACCTTTAAAGGCCAATCTGCCCAGCATGCTGAAGCCGAGCCACAGGGGCAGACTGCGGGTCCTCGATGGAGCCCAGTGCTTTTGGAAAGTGCTCAGTGATGCTCCTGAACCCACCCTGACACTGCAGCTCCGGTGCCGCAGTGCCCCCTCGTGCACCTATCGGGGTTCCCCAGTCTCCTGCCCTGCATACGAGCGCAAGAACAGGTATTTCTGGACGCAGGTCGTGAAGGCGCTTAAGCAGAGGGACTCGGCATGCGATGTCACGGCTGGGCAGCTTATCGCACCGCTCTGCAAGAAGTCGCCTGCGTCCTGGCTGAGCCTCGTGGAAGAATTGGAGGCTAAGGTGACGACTGAGGCCACCACTACTACCACCACCACTGCCACGAGTGATGGGCAAATGGGAGCCAGAGCAGCCGATGAAGTGGGGGAGGCAGGGGAACAAGTGGCAGAGGAGGAGGGAGTGGAGGAGTGCAGCGATCTCTGGCGCTCCTTGTGCAACTTCTTGGAGGGCGCGGTGCGGGGGAAGTGACATTGTTGGGTTACCACGCTGTGCATTGCACAAGATGCTAAGCAGGAGGAGTTTCACAAGATGACTTTATTGACAAGTGTAGAATGGCATGTCCGATGGAAACACTTTAGTTGAAACGCATATTTTTACGGTGTTGCATAGTGCGGTGTTTAATGTTTTTCCAACAGCTTTTTGACCGCAATAATTTCACTGAATTGATTGTGATAAATAGAACCGGTATGTGTTATATGTATGTGGAACTTCTTTTGCACCGTACGTAGCCAACCATGCTTATCGTTTTAGTGGTGATAAATAGAACCGGTATGTGTTATATGTATGTGGAACTTCTTTTGCACCGTACGTAGCCAACCATGCTTATCGTTTTAGTGGTATTTCTTTTTAAATAGATCTGGAACAATCTTTCAATAACACACATGCATAGCACGTGGGTCGTGTGCTTTACCAAAAGCATGTATTCCATACCGTCTCATTGCTTGTTATTGCTTATAATTTCACTTTCTAAACACACAGTATGTTTATTCTTTCTAGATTTGAAGCTTTCGTGACTGCAATGATTCATATTCTTAGGTTTTTTTTCGGTAAAGTCACGTAGGTAAAAAACATTAAAAAGTAAAATAAAATAAAAACGTCGTGATTTTTATTTTATTTTACTTTTTAATGTTTTTTACCTACGTGACTTTACCGAAAAAACATAAGAATATGTTTATTCTTGACGCTGTCTGCTTCAGCAACCGTATTATTGCCCCATCTCCTTTGCAAAATAAAACGTATTTCGACAACTCCTGCTTACCGTGTGTGCATCCATGTGCTCCGTGACATCATAGGAATTTGTCCCTCGTGATTTCGAATCATCTGATTTGCTTGTCTTTTGCAAATGTAAGTATAGCGGCCTCTAGTGGCTGGAACTGGCTTTACATATCCCCCCCCCTTCACACCGTCTTACCTATGTGAAGACTTAGGTAATGTTTTACTTTGTAATTTCTTGAATAATTGGAGTTGAGCGGAAAATTGTTCCAATTATTCGATAAATGTTCCCGTGTATTTGGAGTAAATTCGTTGAAAACTCTCTTGGTCGGACAGTCCCCGACTTTAGATTTGAAGCTTTCGTGACTGCAAGGATTCATATTAGGATTTATTTTACCTACGTGACTTTAACGAAAAAATCAAAGAATATGAGTCCCCGACTTACCAACGTACCCCGTTCCTGAAGCCTATTTGTAAACCAATAATGTATTTTTTAAAATGCAGATAGGCCAGTGTTATCAAATGTGTTAGGATTCAACAAGAAAAAAAGGGGAAGCACCGTTAAAACGGATGAATAAGAAGAAATATTGTACATTTGTACATTTGCGGAACCAAATCGTTACGCGGTTCGGTGCGCAAATGCAAGTTCACGTTCGCAAGTCGCACGGTAAAAATAATCATATGGGGCCGTCCATAAATGACGTCACGCGATTTTGGGCGATTTTTGACCCCCCCCCCCCACCTCGTCACACGGCGTCACAAAAAGTCAGACCCCCTCAAATATGACGTCACAAAGCTCTACGCCCCCCCCCCCCCCCAATTTTTTTTTAAACATGCTTCAAATCACTTTAAACTATTGTCATTGTAGTGCGTATTTAATGTGGCGCTGCACTCTGATGTTGTTAGAGAAAACATTGATTAAAAAGTATATTTAATTGAGTAGAACGTGTTGTCTATATTTATTTAAAGTTGCGCATTTTGATGTGACGTCACATTTTTCACACCCCCCCCCCTCGTCACACATCGTCATAAATGTCTGACCCCCCTCCCCCCTAGGTGCGTGACGTCATTTATGGACGGCCCCTATTTTATAGGAGCTCGTTCGTAAGTGCGGGTGCTCGTAAGTCGGGAGTTCGTAAGTCAGGGGACTGCGTGCGATACGAATCGTGACGTCAGCGAGCCTCTGACAACACTTCACACGCCCTCAAAGTGCACATGGCCTGGCACAGGCGCCGTGGAAACGTCACCGTCACTTGATATTGGTGTGACGTCATGCGTTCAAAGTTGTACACCGAATCTGAAGTTAACGACGTTTGTGTAATCCCATGCTGCGCAACATTAACTATAGTATGACGTCATACAGCTTTAACGTTGAGTCCGAATGTAATGACGTCATGTCCACTGCGAATTACGTCATTCCTCCTCTTCTCACCCCCTCGCGCGCATGCGCGGTGGCGCTCATAACGGACTCGCTCCTCCAGAGGCGTGCGCGGCCGACGACGAGCGAAGGCGCTTCCCGAGATAACAACAACAACAACAGCAGCAGCGGCAATTAATAAATTAGAGTGGAATCTGCCAATCGTACAATCGACCAACGCCGCATCCGACGGGCGGAATAGTCGGGGGCGCGAGTAGCTTTGGAGCGATGGCCGCGAACGCGTTACAAGTTGCGGCGTGTTTACGTTGAACCTTAAATTAAACTTCTTGACCGCCTCCCGTCAAGTGGCGAGTTGTGGAGAGGGGCAGGAGAGGGCCACAAAGGCCTGGCCCGAGGCCTCCCTCTGCCTAACATAGCCGCATACTTATACCGGAGTTTTAAGCGGTCGTCGGAGCATTACCACCGTTGTGTGTGTGTGTGTATAGAGCGTCGTTTCTTATGCGTGGGGGCGAACATTGATTGCAATCGGTGGGCTGACGGCAACATTAAGTTCTGCTCTTCCTCATGAAGTTATTTCCCTACTCGTTGTTTCAGTAGCGTTGTAATCGTTAGTGGGCGCAGCAATGTCGTACTTTCGCAAGATCTTCAAGCTGGGCTCTGAGAGGAGGAAGCCGAAGCAGTACGACCACGTCCGGCGGGACGTGGACCCGGCAGAGCTGTGGAGTGTGATCGGCGAACTTGGTGATGGGGCCTTCGGAAAGGTCTACAAGGTGGGTTCCACCACCACCAGGGCCACCATCATCAGACTCGACATCATCAACATCAGATTTAACATCATCAGACTCAAAATCATCAGACTCAATCATCAGACTCAAAATCTTCAGACTCAAAATCATCACTCAAAATCATCAGATTCAAAATCATCAGACTCAAAATCAATCATCAGACTCAAAATCAATCATCAGACTCAAAATCATCAGACTCAACATCATCAGACTCAAAATCATCAGACTCAACATCATCAGACTCAAAATCATCAGACTCAACATCATCAGACTCCAAATCATCAGATTCAAAATCATCAGACTCAACATCATCAGACTCAACATCATCAGACTCAACATCATCAGACTCAACATCATCAGACTCAAAATCATCAGATTCAAAATCATCAGATTCAAAATCATCAGATTCAAAATCATCAGACTCAAAATCATCAGATTCAAAATCATCAGACTCAAAATCATCAGACTCAAAATCATCAGACTCAACATCATCAGACTCAACATCATCAGACTCAACATCATCAGACTCAACATCATCAGACTCAACATCATCAGACTCAACATCATCAGACTCAACATCATCAGACTCAACATCATCAGACTCAACATCATCAGACTCAACATCATCAGACTCAACATCATCAGACTCAACATCATCAGACTCAAAATCATCAGACTCAAAATCATCAGACTCAAAATCATCAGACTCAAAATCATCAGACTCAAAATCATCAGACTCAAAATCATCAGACTCAAAATCATCAGACCCATCACCATCAAATGGAGCTGTTGGGAATGCCTCTACAAAATGGTTATTATCATAATTTTTTTAATTTAAAGCTTTCGTGACTGCAGGGATTCATATTCTTGGTTCTTTCGGTAAAGTCATGTAGAAGGGAAATAATAAAATATAAAACAAAAATTCTCACGACGTTTCGACTGCAACACAAGCAATCATCACCAGGTGTGAAATCCACAGCAAGAAAATTAGAAAAAAGTGGCGGTTTTTCAAATTTTGTATTGTTTTATATTTTATTATTTCCCTTCTACGTGACTTTACCGAAAGAACCAAGAATATCATAATTGTTCACTTTTACCACAGAATCATCAGAATTATGAAAAGTATTTGAATAACTTCTCTATTACCATAGCGCGCATCGTCAAACAGAATTATATTATGTTTGACTGTCATCGTCTTCATCAAAATCGCCTTAACCATCGCAAATATAATTTCCCCTGCTGGATGGAGGCCTCCCCAACGCTATCGCCATCTCTCAGTCTGGCGATACCAGAATCCTGCGATTGATGTTGGGGAACGCGTTCTCTCTTTGGTTTCTATTCTCGTCTAGCGGTCATACATTCTTCTTTTGCGGTGTGTCTTGCCTAAACTCACTTTTTTTTTAAACAGACCTTTCTGTCTGACTTCCATTTCTCCCTAGCTTGCGTTTGTTCTGTTTCTCAGTATATTTCATCCGTTCGCTTTCCGGGCGTTTGCAATTGTCTCGCAGCCTTCGTGCCCGTGTTTGTGATCCGTGTCGTAGCCGGTTAGTGTGTGTCGGGAGGGGGCACTGATTGAACATTGTCTTCTTTTCGCCGCAAGGTCGGATCACTCATCCCAAACTTTGCCCTCACACACCAGGTGCAATGCAAGTTTCACGGACATTTTCTGTTCAGCTTAAAATGATGACATTTAAGTTGCGTGAGAAAAGCGTTAGCCACGTTATGCGCCGGTATAATTACAATTATTTAGATGTCCCTTACCGGTATGGTAATCCACTTACAATCGCCAGGTTTCTAATTACAGTGGCTTTTTTTTTATAAAAAAAATTTGTAAATCACTTCGATAAATGATCGGATATGTATTTATTCATAGTTGAATTAATAGTTGAGATTTTAAACGTGTTTTTGGCCCAATGGAAAAAATAACCATGTTCGATTGTTGTCAAGTGTCACGATATATTTGTGATTTAGCTATTTCGAATTTAGTGGGGAAACGGACGCTTGCAAACAGTGGCCACAAAAATCATTCATTCGAATCGGTGGGATTGTCATCATAGACATAAATAGATTTATCTCAGTCACTGCTACTTCACAGCTTTAGTATTGGCACATGGTAAACATAAAAACAATCCAAGTGCTTCACACATTTAGCATTTATTAGTTTGCTTTGAAGATATATCTGCTAGAATAACAATGGGTTTCAATAGACTTCATTGTGTTGGCACGTTTTGTTTGTGCAAGGGGTTAAGTTTCAATGGGAAAATGTCAATAGGGATTTCGTAACCTGACTTGATGCATGCGTTGGATTGTGATCTTCACATTAAATTTACAAACTTTAGGCAGCTTGTACCACCTCGGATATTTAGAAGCTCCATATTTTGCTCATTTTTTGAGAGTATAGATTTCGAGACAACCGACGCATGTTACTCTCACAGTTGTATGCATTTGAAGAATCATGATTGTTGATTGAGTCATTAAAAAAATTATTTACATTTCGAGTTAGAATTTTTTTTTCGATCACAATAAAATGCCTTCACAGGAGACTGTAAAAAATGGGCCAATCGTTTTTCTACTTTAATCAACTTCATTATTCACATGCAACGTGTGGGACACGATGCATTATCGATAGTTCTTCATGCACACGCATTAACTGCACAAAAAGGTGTGCTTGCAAGTGGCCCACGCTACGTTGGCCCAGTGAATCCCAGTTTGGCGCACACTGACACGGCAAACGTGTTTTCTCATGAATGATTCATTCAATGCTTGAATATACTGTATCGCCTTTTGGTAATGCTGAGGTTGAGCATTTTGCAGAACTGCTCATGTTGTACAGAAGCTGCATATTGCTAACAAAATGCATTGTCTTGGTGCCTTCCCTGACAAAATATTTAAGTTATTTTGGCAAATATTTAACCAAGCAAGAAGAGTGCCTTTGGAATGTGTATCTTTTCCAAACTTTGTTAAAGTGACTATTGAAAACATTTACATACTTAAACAATGTCATGCTTTTGTTATTTTTTAAACTGTTATATTTTTTATTCTCTGTTATTTAGGCTTTAACTATTTTATAGTTAGATTTTGTTTTCTTTGGGTCTTTCGGTAAAGCCACATAGATAGCTTCAAAGAAAATAACAAACAAATAACTAAATATTGTTTCTGTCATTGTATTTAGTAAATCGGCCACAATATTACCAAACACGGCCCTGATAAATCCTGTACTTGTCTCACTGAGCAATTTTTTTTCAATGTCGTTGACTTGCTTTATGGATTCCAACAACAGGCAATGGTAGTGGATGGAGTTAAGTTAAAAGCCAGGCTGATTGACACACATGGCTTACAATAGCCCAAGGATTAAAATCTTGTAAGGAGAGATGCAGACAAGCCCAAGAGGGAGTTGGAATGTTTCTCACCACTTGTCTAAGTGTATTTTGCTGTGTTTAACTATGACTGGACGTACGATTAGAGTAGCAGAATATCGAACACATCTACGTGGAAGTGAACATTCTAACCTCTGATTTATTTAGAAAGTTTCCACACTGTATACTCTTTAAGTACTTAAATTTGATACACCTATGATGCTGAACTATACTGCACAAGGTTACTGGCAAGCTATTGGAAGTCATGTTGTTTATTTTTAGGTGAGGATACTTCGTGAATTTTGGATACACGTTACTGTAGAAGTAACCACTTAATATCCGTGGGTTGGCTTTCCTGCTTTATTCTGTACACATTGTAAAGCATAGGCCGATTTTTGTGCATTCATATTCCTGGGAGAGAATGGATGGCTCTTTAATGAGAAGCAGAAGGGATTTGCAGGGAAGTGCATCCAGGAAGGAAGGAAGGAGCTAATGGGGAACACATGTCTCTGTGTACCAAGTTTTCACATGGGCCCTGTACACGCTGTCATCAGCCTATGGAACCTGAAACGTTCTGGCACAAGTCAGGAGAGATTTTTTTTTTAAGTTACAGTGTTAAAGTATAACATGTAGGGGTTTTTTCTTCCAAAAACGGTTTAATCCCACTTTGATTAACAACATAGTGGCTTATGGTGGGACATTGGTAATACAATAAGTACATTAGTAATATTTTACATCAAACAGGAATCTATATTTTATATTTGCAGAAATGTGAGCACAAAAATCGGTACTCGTTATTGAGTTATTATTGACTTGGTTTGACCTCATTGGGTTTTTTTCCCCCAAAATTTTCCAAGCATTATGCTGTGTCAGTTTATTATGTATGCGTGTGAGATTGACTTACATTTTATTATTACTGTAACGTACCAGACAAGGGTTAAGCTGGCAGTTACTTTTGAAAGTAAATTATTTTACTCAGCATTTTTATACGCATGAAAGTGTCAGATGGTTTTTATCAGAATGTATGTGCGATCAAGTAATGTACTACATACATTAAACTAAACCACTGACTCGGCATTGCCACAAGCTGAGTACAGCAGATTTGGGTTACTCTTGCGTTATGTGAAGTTGTCCTGATTTAGAGCCAGCTGGAAAGCATGTAGCATGAGCTTTTTAGTGATGCTGTTATCGTTGTTTTGCTTTTGTTTCCAAAAGTGGCCACGAGCCATTTAGTTAAAAAGTAAATCTTTTAATTCCTTAACATTTGTTTTGTAGGTAGGTATGTGGACCAGTTTTAGTTTTCCATTTGTGCAGTTTTCAGTGTGACACTGTATGTTGTAGCATTTTGTTTGGAATGGAGACTTAATTAATTTTAATGGATTATATTTCTCTTATTAACTGTGCTTGCATCACACATACAAGTACACGTGGTGTATGATTGTGTTGGCTTAAAAACATTGTACATGCATAATCATATCACTGTAGTATGGTGATATCAGAAATATTTTGTAAAACAAGGCTATTATATCGGCAAATAAGATGAGATAACGTTTGGGGTGGTATTTTTTATGGCAAATACTGTTGACTTGGAAGTTGTATTTTATCTGTTGGCAGTTAAGTTTTATGGCCAGGAAGTCTGGGTTTGCACACTTTCCTGGTTACTGTTTTACAGAGTGCTCCTGGCCATCTATAGAAACACATCAGGTTTCCCTGACCATAACATTCTGTATTCTTCTGTATTCTTTGGGCCCTCATCTCAGAGAGAATAAGATTGCTCCGATTTGAACTTAATTTTATACAATACTCTCTTGCAATCACACTTAACATTGACAGAAAAAATGTCTACATCTGATTGGGAACATGTAGATAGCATGACAGCCTCTTCAGCCGCCTCAATGTCAGCTAAATGCAAAGATAACCTGATTGCCAAGTTCAACCTCCTGTCCAAGAAGAAGCCAGATCCACACGTTAAAAAGTTAAAACGGTGACAAGATTGTTATCAATCGGAGTAACAGCCCAATTTCCAACAGCCTAAAATCGGTTCGAGCTAAAGGGTTGTATTTTGCAGTCACCCCTAAACACATCCCAGTTGATATCATTGCCCAGGTTGACGTAGCCCTTAAGGGTTTGGGACACATTCCTGCAGACATGGCAAGATCAGAAATCGCTGCAATCCTCAAACGCTAAGATACCTATTAGCAACATCAATAAGGAAGAGAGATGACAGTCATCCTCTCAGCTGACAAGGGCAATGCCACTGTCACCATGGACAAAACCACATACAATAACAAAATTCAGGACCTACTTAATGATGGTAGCTATAATAAAATCAGTAGAGATCCCACCAACCGCATGGTTATGAAAACCAACAATATCATCACTGATTCGACATCTTTAATCGAACCAACCAAGCGGCTTTTTTTAAAACCCTCTGCTGCGAGACCACACAGATTTTATGGCTTGCCAAAAATTCATAAAGAAGATGCACCACTTTTACCTATCGTCTCCACTATTGACTTACAACCATTCACTGGTAAGACCACCTCAGCTGTACTTAACTCAGCTCACTTGGTATTGTTAATTAAGGACATCTCACTATCTCCAGCTGATTTGCCTGACACCATTGCAATCATTGAAGATTTGGTCCAACAAGGACTGCATGCTGATGGACCGGCCCTGGTTAGACACTGCCTCACTAACACTTACTTCACCTGGAATGTAGCATTCTACAAACAAGTTGAAGGGGTACCCCAATGGGTTTTCCCTTATCTCCAGTTGTAGCCAATGCTTTCATGGAAAAGTTTGAGACAGATGTCATCATCCAGGCATCCACCCTAAGTCCTTCCTTGTGGAAGAGGTATATAGATGACATGTTCGTCATCTGGCCACATGGCCTACCAGCTTTACACCCAGCCATCAAATTCACCATGGAGGTGGAAAAGGATGGCAAGTTACCATTCTTGGATGTTTTAATCGAAAATAGACCAGATGGCTTAATGGGACACTGTCTACAGGAAAGCCACCCATATGGATGCCTACCTAAAACCTGACTCCCACTACCATCCATCCCAGAAGAATTCCCTCATCAAAAGTCTACACCATAGAGCTCGATGTATTTCTGACCATCACCACCTAGCCAGTGAACTGGAACACGTACACCAAGCCCTCAAGATGAATGGATATTCAGACTACATAATCCGTAAAGCTATCACCCCAACTGTTGGAAAAGAGCCATCGAGGACCCAATCAAAACCATCACCTTGCCATACATAGCAGGGGTCACTAAAAATATTTCCAAAATCATGAGCAAACACAAGATCTAGGTTCGATTCAACACAATACATAAAATTTGTGATCTGATCCCATCTGTGAGGGATGTGATCCCTCACATGCAATACCCCGGCGTCTACAAACTAAGCTGTGTCTGCGGCAGTAGTTACATTGGGGAAACTAAGCGACATGTCTCGGACCGTGTTCGTGAACATAAGGCAGATCTGAAACAGTAGTACCAATACCTCAGCCATGGCTGATCATTGTTTTATTGCGGTGGGCTCACACTAAATAGATTTTTCCAAGACGAAGGTACTCTGCAAACCCACTGGCTATTAACAAAGATTCGTTCATGAAGCCATCCATATATATAAACACGGACACAATTTCAACCGAGAAGATGGGTACAAACTGAGCAATCCTTGGAAGGATGTTATTAACCAGTTTAAGTCATAATTGGCTGTGATGTTTCCATCCTACCTGCCGATGTTAGTAGTTATTTTCGACTCTGGTTTTACATTAACAGGTTAAATGTCTCACTAACACAGCCACCATTGCTTGTTTTCCTCCATATGGCAGTGGCTCTACGATCTTACATTGACATGCTAATCTCTCACAATACAATGGCCACCTCCGCAGCTTCGTAGTCGTGGAGGTGGCTCTCTGATTTACCCGATCTTACATTTACATGCAAATTCCATCACTAGCGCCCGCCCACTTCGCTTATGACCCTTGGGCCACACCCATCTCAAACTTTTATAACATCCTGCCTCAGCAGCTCCCCCTCTATTTTTTCACCTGATGACGATTGCTTGTGTTGTGATCGAAACGTCGTGATATTTTTATTATTTTTTCTATCTAAGTGGCTTTATCGAAAGACCCAAATAATATGAATTCCTGCAGTCACAAAAGCTTTAAGTCAAGACATAACATTCTGATTACTGTTTGTATTTCTTCGTTCATGGTACGCATTTTATTGTAAATTGAATTAAATATAATTCATTGTACTCTATACATATATAATCATACTCGGAGTAACGCATGACGTTTTTTAAAATGTTATGTGTAGTTTGTTTCAGATTTTCTTTATAATACTGGACTGTTGTTTCAGGCCCAAAACAAGGAATCAGGTGTGCTGGCAGCTGCAAAGGTGATTGAGACGAAGAGTGAAGAAGAGCTGGAGGACTACATGGTTGAGATTGAGATATTGGCCCTTTGTGACCACCCTAATATTGTGGGACTCCTCAATGCCTTCTACTATGAAAACAAGCTATGGGTAAGGCTCTTTTAGTAGCAGTTGGGTGAACACCTGATTCTTATACAATTCCCCAACCTTATTCCTTTATTTTCATATTACCAAAACATAGCTCTGTATTTCATTTGGGGTATATGTGGAACGAACACAAGAAGACATCACACTGCAACTGAATCAAGAACCTTGATAACATACCTGCAAATTTTGTCTGATAGAATCATACATTTCAAAGTAAAACATTAACGTCTTATTGTTTTATTCGTTTGAACACATATCAATGATCAAATTAATCATGGTGTTTTAGAGCCCTTTGTTAATCCCCTGTTGGATGAAGACCTGAAGTGGTAAAGTATGGTCAAACCCTACCCCCCCCCCCCCATTACTAACGTGACACATCATGCCAGTCATGGGGTTTTTTTGATCATACCATAACTTCTGTTAATTACTTTTTTTTATCATACCATAACATCTACAAAAATATGAAGATAATTTTCACAGCGTTAACGGATTTGTACCAAGTTGATCCAAAGCATCAACTTCTCTAAATATGATTTACGCTATAGAAGAGTTGTTTAGGTTTGGTTTGCGGAGTACTGAAACGACACATGTCGATGACTGTTCAGTGTGGAATTGGTGAAGAGGGGAGCTGCTTCAGCTATCCTCTCCCCACTAATGATAGCCGTGACTGGGAATTTAACTCGGTTCGCAAATCTCATAGTGCAGTGCACTAACCACTGCTCTCCGCTTTTCCCAAAAATGTGTCCTTATAATACAGTGCAGTAACACCGCTATGGCAGAACTATATTGTTTTTCAGCCTTTGGCCAGTCTTATCAATTCAGAAAGATGAACTCTATTTCAGCTGCAGGGAGGGTAGTGCCTGAGAGTCTGGTTAACTTTAATGAGAAGATATTATGTGAATACAGTAACTTAGAAAAACTATACTGCGTATGTAATTTGTTGTAATACATTTGTATTCTGTTATGTAAGCTTTTAAACGCGTGGGCCTAAGGTTGATGTATTTGCATAAACAACACGCATAAACAACTGAATTCAAATATTTATGACTCGTGTTTTACCTGTCTAAGCTGTAAGTCATGAATATACATCAACAGTCCAACATGTTACTGCTGGTGTGGTTTACATTTGCACTACTCCAGAGGTTTATCACTGGGTCAGCGATTTGTCACAGTGTTTTAAACATGTTTAGGCTGTGTGTATCATGTCAGGAAGGCAAAATGCTCTCCTGAGTTTATACAGAATCCGCATTGCTAAAAGCTTTTGACCAAACCCGTTTTTTTGTAATGGCCACATTCTTTCTGTGGTGTTCCCCCGCTATCCTGTTGCTAGGGCTGGTGTGGGGTGTAACACAAGGACTTTATTATATCTGTTTTAAATGTGCAACCCAGTGTGATGGATATGTTTTTTTACAAGCCTCGTTTCATGGCCTTTATAGAAGCTCTGGTTTTGACTGTAAACAGAATGTCATCCCTCCCTCGCTCATGTATAAAGTGCCTTCATTAATTGTGTGCCAAAAACATGATCAATAGTACCATCCTTATTGCTTTTTTAATAGTCACAACTTTCTAACATTGTTGAAATGCTTTCCAGTTAATGTATTGGTTAACAGCTCTTAACATGATAATTTGTGGATTTTCCTTTTTATTTTCAAATGACATTTTAGTCAGCCATGCAAAAATAAAATCACTGGAGTCATCAGCCACACCCAAAAGGGAAATTATTAATGTGTGCAACCATGACTACAGATTAGAATTTGTTTCTGGGTAAATAACCCTCTGATGTTTACGCGATATGGAATTTTAATTTTGACGGGTATATGCAACATTACGTTAAAGTCATGAATATTTTCAATAATGCACACTTATGCGATATTACGCATGAACTAATAGAGCCTTACATTTTAACGAAGATCTTCATTTGATTAGTTATAAAACATTATTTTACCTTATGTAAAAATAAACAATTGATAATCGCTACAAAGATGAAAAAACACCTTTTTTTACAATCAAAATAATTGGAAAACAGTTTATTTCGAAGGAAATAAACTGTAACGTAGTTTAGTGGTACACATTTCCAAACGCAACCTCATGGACCCGAATGATCATGTGACCGCTCCTTCGCTGCACATTCTGCAGTCTTGCTGTCATGTGAACACAAGCTGTGCAGTACAATTGCTTTGTGTATTATTACGCATTTAATTAAATTGGAATGCATAATTCACATTTGATAATTGCGTGAAACACTAAGCAACAGCAACACACAGCTTATCTTGAACGCTCTGTAGCAATGGAAATATATTTTTTTATTACGGAATATTTGTGGTTTTGCTAATATAATTTATTTGTTTGCTTAACAGATTTTCATTGAATTCTGCCCTGGAGGAGCTGTAGATGCTATTATGCTTGGTGAGTCGTACAGATCCATTCCATGTTTTACGATGAGATATCACAAAATTATCTTTCTCGCTTTTGGAACTAATTTTTGTAAAATCTGTATTCTTTCAGAGCTGGAGCGTGGGTTGGCGGAGCCTCAGATTCGTGTGGTGTGCAAACAGATGCTGGAAGCATTGAACTACTTGCACACTCACCACATTATCCACAGAGATCTGAAGGCTGGAAACATCCTGCTTACCTTCGAAGGAGATGTAAAACTAGGTGGGCTTGCACCAGTCTAAATGAAGCAGCAGCAGCAACAATAAATCATTTGCTTTGATCGTTGACAGATTTTGTCAAGGTTATTTGTTAAGACAATGCATACGAATGAAAACAGTCTTCAGATATTTCATTTAAATGTTACTCATCATTAATTTGGATTACATTCATATTTCAGCTGACTTTGGAGTATCTGCAAAAAACACAAGGACGTTACAACGCAGAGATTCGTTTATAGGAACCCCATATTGGTGAGTTTTCCCACCATCCAGATTACATTGTTACGATGTATTAGTGTGCATATTCATCTGTAATCACTGGCAAGTTGTGTTCACGTGTCTATTTAATCTATGATTTTGAAATTGTAAACATTGGGTCAGGGTTATTCAACTATTTACCTTGGTGGGCCATAAAATAAAATTGGCACGTACTGTGGTGATGTGTTATTTTAGATAATTATTTGTGTCTGTGCCGATATTTGTTTTAGGATGGCTCCAGAAGTGGTGATGTGTGAAACTATGAAAGACGCACCGTATGATTACAAAGCTGACATCTGGTCCTTGGGCATTACTCTCATTGAGCTGGCTCAAATGGAACCACCCAACCATGAACTCAATCCAATGCGAGTCATGCTGAAGATTGCCAAAAACGATCCACCCTCACTTTCCTTCCCATCTAAATGGTGAGACTCGTGTGTTTAACATTGACTTCAATTTACTGGAATTTTTGTATCAACATTTCCTATTGTTTTGTTAAAATTTAACTTCTCTACTCTGAACATTTTCTGACTGTGTGTGTGTTTGTGTGAGTCATAGGAGTTATCTGTTTCCACTGTATAAATAGTGTGTAACTAAGGAGATGCAAACAAAACAAGCTTATGAAAAATAATGTACAGAGCTTTGATTGTAATCTATAGCAAACTATGCAGGTCATTAATGTCGAGCAGTGAGTTTAGTTATGAATATTGTTTATCTTTAATATGGGATTTATAAGCTTGTTTTAGTATGATTAGCACTAATATATTCCACACTTACATTTTTTTTTTAAATGTATACAATTTTAATGTGCACATGAATGGATTTATTTGTCTTCATCGTCTATTTTTAGGTCCGCAGAATTCACTGACTTTCTGAAGAAATGTCTTGATAAAAATCCCGAGACAAGATGGAATGCAATCCAGTTATTACAGGTAGATGCTCTGTGGTCACATCATAACATTTTAAAATGAGCATCTCAGGAGCTTACTAAAAAGCATGTCTGTTTTGATTAGAAACTATTTTTAGAAAAATAAAATTACAACGTATGTAGTTCGAAGCGAGAACTAATAGCTCAGTGGGTTTTAGCTGGTAAAAGAAAAATAGTTTAGTTATAGTTTATTTATTTATTTTCTTACCTTTCTTATACTTTGCATGCCTATTGGTTTTTTTGTATTGTTGTACATTTGTAAGGACAGTACGGGGCGATGTAGGGACAGTACGGCTCTCCGTGGCCATGGTTACTAATTAACGTAACAGGAACAGACAGTCACGTTAGGGTAATGTGGGACCTAAGTGGTCGCTAATAATGATTGATGCCACAAGCTTTGACAGTAAGCACGGGACCTAACGGTCGTAAATTGTAATAATGGCAGAGACAGGGCCAGGTGCGGTGAGAGAGGGTTCGGGGAATAGGGGCGTGGCCGGGTCGTGAGGGGGATAAAAGCCGGCTTGAACCGGGGCTCTGGGCTGCTGTTGTGGGGGAACTGCCGTCGCCGTCGTCACCTTGGAGCGGGTCGTCTTCATCATCCTGGAGTGGGCACCTTGTAGTCTTAGAAGGCTAGAGTTATGTTGTCTCAGAATAGAGCTAAGTTATCCAAGTGTATGTAGTCACTCGCGGTTACTCGTTAAGTTATCAGTGAGTCGGCGGACTTTATTCATAATAAATATACATATAACTGAACAAGACGGTGTCTCTGAGAGCTATATTCCACATTTTTTGCCCGCGCCTACTGGACATCCGTGAAAAGAGCCCTGTAGCTCATCGGATTTTTCCAGGACAAATTGAAAGATTCTGATCATACTTTTGCCAAGCGTATGGTACTGAATTTTGAAGTGCCCCCTATCAGTGTAAACAAATACTGTGGGATTGTCTTTGTTTCAGCACTCTTTTATTAGCGGTGTGGACAGCAACAAGCCTCTACGGGAGCTGATCGCAGAAGCAAAGGCCGAGGTCATGGAGGAGATTGAGGAAGACAATGAAGAGGAGGACATGGAGACACCTTCTGTACTTGTTTTTTTTTGTTTTACGGAAATAACATTCTTACCATTCAGTGTTTTTCATACATGCATTGTGATTTAATAGCGCATTCTTCTTTTGCAAGTAGCATTGTATGCGTAGTGTGCATCAAGCTTGTGTACAGCTATATTGACAATGGTGCAAAATCATTAGCTGATAATACTCTTCCACCTTTATTATAAATACCACGTCATAGCAACATTTTTATAAATAAGAAAGAAAACTATGACCATCTCACACACATAGTAAACTTTGCAAAGTTACCATATAGTTTTCGTTTTCTGATTCTAAGGCACCATTTGTTCATTAAGACACAACAATTAGCTTACTATTTTTTATGCAATTAGTCATTTAGTACACTGATTGTTCTCATCAGTAAGCTGGACATTAGGTTGGTGTGAATTTTATTACAATATTGCTCTCAAAGCCCTTAATTTTTATGTGGGTTTCCTCTGGATACTTCAATATTTACCCACATGTCAAACGTTAATGGAATTGGCCAAACATCCCAACTATGGAACCTCCTGAAAAAGTCATGAGACTTGGTGAGGCATTCTTAGGTATATATAAAGGTCATTATTACGTATTCAGATTATTATTGTATCTATATTATATTGTACAAGATCACGAAGTTCTGCCATGTGGATGTGTTGTAGCTCGTGCCTTGACAATGAAGCACACTGGAGTGAATGATCCATTACATGTGGAGCCTAATAGCTGTGTTAGCACAGCAGTACTTACTTGATCATTATAACTATTGTATCACCTAAGAATAGTTAATTATAGTTTTAGCTTAGTTTAAAAATCATATACTGTATACAAAATGGGATATAATTTATTTCCATACTATTAAAATGCCCAGTTTCCATTTGAATTTGACCATTGTGATAAATTCAGTTGTTTGTTAATGTTTACATTTTCTTTTCCAGCCAGGAACAGGGCATAAGCGAGCTCCTTCGGATATCAGTGTGGCAAGCTCTGAGGATGAAAAACTGTCGCAACAGTCACCGGTGAGTATATGTAGCTATTCAAATTTATTGTGTTATGTTACAAGGAAGTGGTCATAGTTTGTATTTGTGGAATACAGTTGACCACAGTTTTTGAAAAATCTTGTTTTTTAACTGCAGGTACGGGGATTAGCATCTGTTACTGAAAATAATGAAGAGGAGCAGGAGGCAGCTGAGCAGCCGGAGACTGATGGGGATGGTCAGTTACCAATGGATGAATCTACCACAGTAGAAAATGGAATTTCTGAAAAGTCTACAAGTGGCAAGGATCAGCAAGAAAATGGTAAGATTTTAATATATTTTAAAAATATTTTTGTAAAAAGTGGAAATCGTTGTGTTTGGTAATATGAAGCAATGTAAATATATGCATTCTTTTGTTCTCAAGTAGGGTCTCAATATGACTAACATTGCCATTAACAGAGAATGAAGAGGTGGGTGATGAGACGAGCGAGCGATCGTTGTCAGATGAGGGGATTGGGAGCAGTGAGGGAGAACGTGCGGAGAGTGACCGGTCTGCAGAGCCTCACGTGTCTGATGAAGATGCAACTCCCATAATGGAACAATCCACAGCAGACCTGGCCTTGGCGGACAAGGTACGGAAAGAGTGTTCTGAGATAATCAACATTCAAGTGAGACAATTGTAAAATTATATTTTTCCGTCAAATTTCTTGCATCTTAATTACGTTCAGTCGTTTTAATATATGCCTCAGTAATTAGTCTGTGATTGGCTTTCTAGGCTGAGAATTCCCTGCCTGAAGCAACTGAGCCTACGGAAGAGCCCAGGATGGATAAAAGCATGCCGAATGACCAACCTGAGTCCTCCATTATAACAGCTTCTGTAACGGAGAACTCTGACAAGCCTCTCAACTTCCAGGAAAGAGAAGCTGATGTGCAAGAGACGGGCGAAGCCAAAAATATAAAAGTACGATATTGCATGATAGATTTTTATATATGTATGACTACATCAATATATTTCAAGAATATTCTTTAAAAACGTGCAATTGTTTCCATTGTACATTTCAGATTAGATGCGACCTCTAACTAACAGGCCAACTCGGCACACTTATACATTTCAGGAATAAAATTGTGCGTGGGCAAATGTATGCAATAGATAGTGCACTTCTAGTGAAATATTAGCATTGATAATACAGAACACTACACCAATGTCTGACATGTAATATTATTTTGTACCATTAAATCTAATCCTCATTATAATGCACGTTCAGTGTTCCTTGATTTAGAGTGCAAATCTGATCTAAGGCTCTTGTTTAGTTAATGCTTGTCAGAATGTGGGTGTGTAACTTACGTTTTTATCTTGTGTTTACACAGGGAACAGAACTTCCAGAGTCTCCGTCTCTTTTATCAACTGGCAGTGAGCGGAGGGATAAAGAGCGAGACTCAGACTCTGGAAGTCTATCCATGTCAGACAGCACCAGTGGAGATCTCAACCTCTCCATTTCGGCCACCATCACCCGCAATCGAGAAACTGGCTCAATTTCGATCCAGGCAAGGCCCCTAATACTGTGGTTATTACGTGAACGTAATGAAAAAAAGTGTCACGTATAAAACTCATTGCGTGCTCATTCACGGATGACGGATATGTAATGAAGATAGGAAAGTTATTTCGAATATCTCAGGAACAGACTTGGTGTCTGTTTCTCAATGTCAAATATACTTTATTTGTCCCACTGCCTATGGGCCCTCTGAGCTGATGGTTTCCAGCAAAATTTAATGAAGCTGGTAGACATTTTTTTGTGGATAAATGGCATTATCTATCGGTTATATACTAAAAAAACACTTTAATTCTCATCTATTTAATAATGCCATTTGTTGCTTGATGTTTTGGGCCTCTGAGCCTGTGTTCAGCAACTGTTTAAAAAAATAATTTCAAACATGTATGGATCTAATGCAAGCAAATTCGTTTTTAATGTGCAATTATAGTTAAACTATTAGTTGAACCTTTTTTCAGGAGTCGCACAAACAGAAGAAGACGCTCAAGAGGACGAGAAAGTTTATTGTTGATGGAGTAGAGGTCAGTGTGACAACAAACAAAATAATTAATGAAGATGAGAAGAAGGATGAAGATTTAAGATTCCTAAGGTAAGCTATGATCATGGACCAAAAACAATTACTGGAGAAGTGTACTTCTTGTGAATTTATTACCGTGATACAATGCACACCCGCAATACTAATTCATGCTTGGCTGTGTTGTTAAAAAATAATGTATTGATAGTCCTGAGGCACCAATTGGATGGGGTTCTGCTTGACTGCACTTTTAATCTAGTATTGGATTTTTTTTATTGTTAGCGTCAGCAAAGCTTGGATGAAATCTCATGTAACTTGGGTTAACGCCGTTCGCTCGTGCCCGTGTGCATTCACAATGAAGGCGACAGGAGCTGAGAGAATTGCGGTTGCTTCAGAAGGAGGAGCAGCGCTCCCAGGCCTTGCTCAACGGAAAACTCATGCAGCAGCGTGACCTCACCATTCGTCGCTTCGAGACGGAGATGTCTGTGAGTGCAGCGTGCGGTTTCAGTCGAAGAAAAGCTTTTCGTCATCCACACAATCCATGAGGCGGGCTGACTTAAAAATGTTATTTAAATTCATGGCTTCTGTTTTGGTGGCAGGCGAAACGTCGCTACTTTGATGGGGAAATTGAGAAACTGGAACGGGAGCAGAAGCAGCGCATCGAGAAGATGGAGCAGGAGCACACGGCTCACCTACGTGAGGAGGCCAAACGCATCAAGGCAGAGCAGGACCGGGATCTTGCCAAGTTTCATGAGACACAGAAGCATCGCAAGAAGGAGGTAAGCGGACCCCAAACTGGATTGTCTGCCTTAATGTGTTGAGTGCAAATGCAGCTGGGCCAAACAGAATTAGATTATTTGCGATCAGTAAGTGTTGGTTTTAGTATCTCTTTAAAGGTTTGTAAAAACACGTTTGTGTTTACATTGACAGGTTTTAATTATCACGATTTCATGTAACTTTAAGCTTTTTGTAGACTTTGTAAAGCTTTTTGTAGTCGCACCATCACAGTGTTTTAAAAAATTGTTAAGTGCAGCACGTTATTTAATCTGCACGTAACTCATGTGGTTTAGGCTCCTGTTTCACACTTATCATTATTGCAATAATAGCAGGGTGCCACGGTGGTGAGATGTTAACTCCCTCGCCTGGTATGCTAAGGAGTTACGTATGGTGCGAAAGACGTTCTACATACATACAGGTCGTGGGTTTGATCCCGACCTTGATGCCTGTATATTTAGATTTTGTATGTTCTCCCTGTGGTCGTGTGGATTTTTCGCTGGGTCCTCCGGTTTTTCCCTCCATCTTCAGAAACATGCGTTTTAGAGTATTTGGCTGCTATACATTTCCACATGATGAGCTGCTACTTCGTTAAGCTATCATTTGTGGCCAGACCACTTCTGAAAAAGAGCCATATAGCTCAATGGGCCTTAACTGGTGAGATAAAAATAGGTGTATAAAGCAGTAGAAATTATGTGCATGTTTCTTTGTGGTGTGTCCTTATTATGCATGTCGTGTTTTCTCCTAGTCTCAAGCAGTATTTTCTTTCCTTTGAAAAAAAAAATCCATTAAAAATACTTTGAACAAATATATTTTCCCCGTTGTGCTTCAAGTGAAACCACTTCAAACCACTTGGCATGCTGGTTTGGTTTAATTTTGGTGTGAAGTGTGTACCCTACTCCTGTCAACTTGTCCGTCCTCCTTTTCCGTAATGCATGATTTAGGTTAAGAGCGAGGTGGAAAAACTGCCCAAATCAGTGCGAAAGGATGCACTGAAAAGAAAGAAGGAAGAGCTTGTGCAGACACAGCAGAATGAGGTAAAGAATATGCTGATATTAAAATTATGCCAGTTAGACAAGCCACAAGAAAACGATTCAAATTTAAATGGTATCTGCTGTGTATGTTGATGCTTTCATAGCATGCATCACAAGTGGTGCCTTCTACTTCCCACCTCGTTCATCCTATTTCCTATTACTGCAGTTTGGTTTTGCTGTGTGACAATGTGGTATGAACCATAAATGAAATGAGCCCAGAGTTTAGTGCACACAAATAGAACATTGACATTTACAGGATGTCGCGCAAGCTGTGGTGAAGTCGTACCACATTTCCTCCAGCATTCTCATCGGTCTTCAGTCGAGAGATGTAAGAACCAGGCGTGTGTAGACTTGATTGGAATTTTGTCTGATAGAATTTGCAGTGTTTGCAGTGCAGGAACCCAAAACTTTTTTGATTGCAGTGAAATTTGATTCCATATAATGAGCAACTGGGTTGGATTACTGTTCAATGGTAAAATGAGATTGCAAAATCATATACTTTAATTTGAAACCTGATCAATGTTGAACACGTATATAATATTTGTGTGTGTGTGTAAATGTTGCATGCTGATGGTTTGCAATACATTTTTTTAAGTAATCGTGATTGAGTGTTTAAATCTTTACATTAAATATATAATTGTGATCAAACCTCGATGCTGTGGCTCTTTAAGGAACAAGAGTTCATCAGCAAACAGCAGCATGATCTCGACGGATCCCTTAAGAAACTGATTCAGCAGCACAAGCAGGAGGTTGCTGATGTCGAAAGGGAATTCCTCAACAGCAAACAACAGCTGTTGAGAGGTAGAATGGCCTCCGACGTACACCCGTTGCACATTCACAAACTGCATGACATTCCTGTGTATCCAATACCGTATGTTGTACAACTCTTACTGCGTATAATATAACATTTGTCTGTGTGTGTGAATGACAGAAAAAGAAGCTTCAATCTGGGAGTTGGAGGAAAGACACCTGCATGAGAAACACCAATTATTTAAACAGCAACTGAAAGACCAATATTTCCTTCAGAGGCACCAGTTGCTAAAGAGGCATGAAAAGGTATGGCAGACTCTCCAGAAACTATAAACGTAATGAATCAACTATGCGACTGTCAGACTACATGGACATTTATATTTGTTTTTCTTTCCAATGTAACGTGACTGACATTGTTTATGAATTTGTAAACATTGACTTAATGTTGTAAAATATTTTGTAGAACAGTTTAAAGTCAGTGATTTCCTTCTGTAGCTCAGCCACATGCTTGTTTATCTCCAATTCATAACCCCTAAGTTAATGGTGGAAATTACTCATTCTTAGGGCAGGGACAAATAATTATATAGATAACTACTATTGACTTGTAAAAGTGATAGTTTACTAACCCAGTGGGTTTAAGAACAGATTCAACTTCTCACAATGATTTGAGTTTGCTACCTGAATTTTGTGAAGTGTACAACTAACCCTTGTTACCACCTGTATGGATCATGTTATGATCCAAGATATTTATTTTCAAAGTATGCCATTTGAAGTGTTCCTTTGGCCTTGACGTCATATTTTGCAGCTGGTAGAAATTCTCATCTACTCGTCTCTGTCCTTGGATGGCTTTCTTTATTACGTATGTGCGTGCCTTTTGTGTACAAAGGAGCTGGAGCAAATGCAGCGCTATTCTCAGCGCATGCTGGAGGACCTGAAGGCCCGGCAGGCCCAGGAGCGAGCACGCCTTCCGAAGATCCAGCGCGGGGAGGCAAAGACGCGCATGACCATGTACAAAAAGAGTCTTCGCATCAACCCCATCGGTTCTCCAGAGCAAGATCGTGAAAGAATCAAACAGGTTTTTAAAAAATGTCAACCATTAACTGGTCGTCTGTTGCCTTGTAAATTCTACGGTTGGCAGCATCTTGTTGGTTGATTTTATGATTGTGTAATTTTTTTCTGTTATGTTTTTTGTTGCAGTTTGCCCAGCAAGAGGAGAAGAGGCAGAAAGCCGAGAAGCAACAGCAGGCGCAGAAGCACGAAAACCAGATGAGAGATCTGCAGATGCAGTGTGATGCTAATATACGTGAACTTCAGCAGTTACAGGTATCCTATATTTTATTTACTCGTGATAAACTTAATATTTAACAATGAAATCACGTATTTTTTCCTATACTACCTTTCAAAAAACATTTTTTGGTGATGTGCCCTCTAAATTTCCCATGGATTTTTTACAGTGCCTTACATTGTTATATAAATTGGTTACAATTTGGGAAATGGCCCTTCTACCATGTGCTACGAGGAATTTCCATTTAAAACTTCACCAAAGATATATATTTATTTTAAGGCAGTTTTATTGACCAAATGGGATTTTGTCATTGATTGTGGGCTGCTGATAATGCTGCAGCATCACCAAATAATTATTTATTTTAAACATTACGCAAAAGTCATGTTTTATAAGTGCGGCAAATAATGTAGCATGTCTGAGATGGGCACCCCTAACTAACTGACATGTCCCTCTAGCCATCCGAGTACATTTTCTCCCAGCTTGTCTTGAGATGGGCACTACCATTCTGGCCTTCTTCGTCATCGCCTCATTTCTGACCCGATCTAAATTTAAAACTCTTTTCTTTAGAACTCCTTTTTGTTTGTTGTTCTTTCCCCCGCACCTCCGATTAACACGGTTGGCTACGTACGGTCCGAAATAAGTTCAACAACATACACACATGGGTACATATGATCCAGTTTAATTTTGCTTGTGGTTTAGAATGAGAAGTGTCACCTACTGGTGGAGCATGAGACCATGAAGTTGAAGGAGCTGGATGAGCAGCACACCCAGGAGCTGAAGACGTGGCGCGACAAGCTTCGCCCACGCAAGCAGGTGGAGCTTGCGCACACTCGCGTGCAGATGTTTGTCCCGTGTTACGGTATTCAATCATAAATACGTTTAATACTTCCGTCGACCTGACCACGTTACCTAACCTGCCAATGCCATGCCCCTCCGTAGGCACTGGAGGAGGAGTTCGCACGAAAGCGGCAAGAGCAGGAGATGTTTTTTGCCACGAGTGGCGAATCGGAGTGCTTGAACCCCAGTGCCCCCAGCCGTATCGCCAAGTTCTACCCAGTCACGACCTCCCAGTCAACTGGCTTCTGAAAAAATTTCTGCTGGCTGTTGACACTGGAATGCAGATGCTTACTAATTTAAAATCATATTTTTTTTGTACTTGCAGAACATTTATCACACAAAAGCCTTGTGTAAACTGTGATTGTTGACTTGGATAACATTGTAGCAAACTGTTAATCGTACCGTTATTTTTTTAAACTTCAACTACATTACTGTTTCCATTTTAAAATGTATTGTCATAATCTTGGTTTCAAAGCAAACACTTGGAAAATGTTATAGTTTGACATTGGTCAATTGATAAACAATATCAGACAGTGTAGCACCTCCAATTCATAACCACATTGGAAATATCAAAACACATTACACACGTTAATGCTTTATGTAATGTTGAGAAATTTAAAGGGTGTGATATTAAAATAATTGAACATTATTTGACGGGCTTATTTTACAAAACCACAGTAATGCATTCCTAACTTTTCAACCAGATGTGGAATTGTTTACTCTTGATTGCAGTTAAGCTTTTAACAGTTGTTTGATTCTAGATGCGAATTATAGAACTATACCCTCCCACCTGAACCTTGCTTTGAAATCCCCTTCCAAAGTGGTCATAGCTATAGCCTGACAATTAAAATGAGCCAAGGGAAAATGCATAATCTATGCTAAGAATAATGGACAGGATGGAACTTTACTATAAGGTTTGGGTGAGACAGGTTTAAGCAGCAAATTTTTGACGTAATTTGTAAAGCGAAATAATAAAATAACATCAATGGACAGTATTAAAAGCACATGGAAGCATAGTGTAAAAGGGACCACGGTGTATGCTGTGCAGACTATAGTCATGGATGGTGGCTAATTGGTTTTATTTGACGCGGGTAAGGAATATTCAGCCCGATGGCCGATGTCCGTAACGAGTTTTCACAGAGTGGTTTTTAACACCAAATTTCACCAGATCACTTAAGCACTTTCCCCTCCCCATCAACCTTTAGCCAGATAGTATTGTAGTGCCGTAGATGGGCCACAGTATTATGCAGCAGCGACTTTTCGGGTGAATGCAAATATTATTCATATGAATGCTATATATGGATGGATAGATGCGCAACTTGAATAAAAGCGAAAGCAATAGAAATCTACGTTGCATAGATTTAACAAACAAGCTTATATTTTTTTGTAACAAAAACGTGTACAAAATATACCGTCTATATAGCGTTTGATGTAGCTCAGTGCATATGCTATAAATTGATAGAAAAATTACATTACAACATGTTGCCGTGGAGTTTTGATAAACCTGTGGACTTATAACATGGCTTGCTAAATGTGTATGAAACATTAGAATTTGCATGTTTGAACTGTTTATCTTTTTGATTTTGATGCTGCTTTTGGAGGACAAAGATCGTGTCCGGATAATATTTTTGAAAGTTTTATTTAAAAGGGTGCCGTAAAACGTATCGAGTGACAAAGTTGACATTCGGTGTTGTGTTAAACAGTATATTTTTTCACGTACAGTTCAGATTGTTATTTTACCGTGCCCTTTTAAAGACTAATTCAGAGTGAAGGTAGCCTGATAAAATGTGCTCTGAAGCCGCTGGTATGTGTAGGAGTATAGCATGCGGCAGTAGGAAAGCTGTTAATACCCCCCCCACCCTCCCATCTCATGTTGTGACATTGTGATTTAAAAGTTGGGAAATAGGCGCCCTGTATTCAAAGGAAAACAAGCTGTGTTATACTACTGTAAATGGTTGTGGACAGCTGACACCTTTTATTCTCTAAAAACTGGTCAATTTGCTACTGTTATTTTCTCGAGTACTTGAATAGGATGTGTACCTAGTCCCGTTTTTCTTTATGCACGTGCATGGAATATCTTGTCGATGACATAGTGTCATGCTGAACGCAGTTAAGCTTAGGATGGGCTGTGTTTGGACAGATGCTTCGTCCATAATGCTTCTTCTGGCTATCAAGCATGAAGTTGAAAGGAAAGGTAGAAGTTTATAAACTCAAGGCATTCACATAGACACTTCATGTTCCCTACTTACTTGCGAAACAATCTTAGAGATTGGTTCTCAATAGTCATTGCTTGGAAGTGCCGCTTTAATAGGACAGCTATTTCTGTGTTGACCTCATGACCTCAATGCAATTTAATTTAATGTTAAGGCCTTCAAGATGAGGTTGAAAGGATAACATGTCTTATTAAAGCCCCACGAGGTATCTGAGCATGGCAGGTGAATAATTTGAGTGCCTAACTGTTGTCAGAGAAATGGAAAGCTGTTGTCAAAATCCTACAACCACACGTTGAAGCCACAATACCGAAGAGAACACTTTACAGTAGTCTAACCTGTATGTTTGACTTCTCATTTGCAGTCAATAAAATGCAATGTTTGTAGTGATGTATTCTGCCTCTTTTGTGTGTTTACTATAACAAAAAGCTAGCCTAGTTTCACTGAATTAAGATGGGTAATAATTAGCAGTACAATTACAAGCTTTTCAATCCAACTCCATGTTTCATCAGTGATGCTGCCCTCAAACTCCCAGCCTCATTGTCCTGACTCCTTGCTGGATGCTGATCTCATTGGAAGCAGTTATAATGAATAAAATACAGCCCCTCTACATCCACCAATGGATGATGGCCTCCTCCAAGCCGTGTTGGCCAATGGGTGTTTTTTTGTTTAACCACACTTCAAGCTGCAGTGTGGGTTTGTAAAGACAAGGGCAGGACTTTTGGTGTCACGTGTTAGGTGTGGCCAGGAATCTAATGGCTCCCCGGGTTCATAGAGGGCAGCGCGCTAACTATTGTACCACAATACACGGTACTCGCCACAAGCGGATACAACTCGAGGGTTAGCAACCCTCTATAGTAATATTTTACTGATATATTCAATTTTTTTTATCTTGATTGTTTTAAAAGTGTTACTTTAATGTACCTAGTATAAGTTTATCACACTGTCAAACAATGGCAAGGTTATGTTCGTAGTAAACCAGAGGTGGGAAACAGGGAAGGCCACATTTAAAAAAATGATTATAGTGTTGGGAAGAGGGAATTGGAATAAAATATGCACATGTTAAGAGTGGCTGGGGCTCATTTGTATATTTTTTTAAGGCTGGAGTAATATGACAATTACATTGGATTGGTTTCAACAAAATGCTATTCTAATTGGTTAAATTTTTTTATATATATGTAATTGCAATGTAAGCATTAATGCGTAACAATACACCCTCCTTATTTGACTTGGGGCATACACATGTTTACAGGCATGCATGTACAAAAGGAAGAAAAAGTCCCATAACTACGATATATGTACACGTCTTGAATTCTGTTAGTAAATTGTGTTATAGCGCGATGCTTCTCCTCCGTCTGTATGGAGAGTCACCTGTACAGAAAAAAGTAAGCAAATGGTAAACAACAAATGTTTAACACAAACTTTCACGACCAACATCCATAAAAGCTTTTTTGGGTTAGATCGCGTAAATATGAAATGTATCGTTAAACCTGCCACCACCCGACGGCCAAACAGTAAGGTTTGTTACGTAAACAATTCTGGCTATCGCCTGATGAAGCTGGTTGTAATTACCAGCGAAAAGTCGTACTCAAATTGTAAATGTGGGTTTACTTTCCAACACACCAGTGTGCTGATCTCGTAACGATTAGGCATGTTATGTTTACGTGACACACTTTTACTGATTGTGTCAGGTGGTGGCGTGTTTAACGACATTTACGCGATAAAACCCACAAAACCTCCATTGTGGATAACACAGATGAATTAGGGTGAAAGGGAGGGTTTGCAAGATTCGAAAAGCACAACTCGCACTGCTGTTGATGAATATTAAGGATGGAGACGTACAGAACCCTGTGCAAGTCATCTCAATAAATAATCACCTCTGTCTCCTTTGGGTCCTGCAGGTCCCTCTTGACCAGTTGCCCCTAGACAAGAAATTGAAGGTTTTGAAAAAAAAACTTACGTCCCAAATACATTTTTTCAACCAGAAAAGATTTGTTTTGCCTCTAAACAGGACAAAATTGGTCCAAATTTCACGTGTATTAACATGCTGCGATGAACGTCGATCTCGATGTCCCAATAGGGAAAGAGACAAAAACTTAACTTGACGTGGTATGCACAACACATTAATTTCATTTCATGAGAACTTCGGCGAGCCCATTGTCGGTTAAAACATCCAACAGTAAGGCCAGAGATTCACTTATTGACCAGTGAGAGTGCTCTAAGTGCACATAAGCGTTGCTGGTTCACGTACCGGGAACTCCTGCTGCACCTGGAATGCCCGGCTCCCCTGCATGGACAAGAGGCCATCTTAGTCACACACTCTCAGAAAACCTTAAAGGGCACTGTAAACATTTAAAACTTCACATTCCACTCTGGAAGTGGCGGCGGCGCATGGATGGACACGAGAAGCCGGGCCGCCGTACCTTTCTGTCCCTTCATGCCAAAACCGCCGTCTTCTGAGCCCTTGCCAGGTTGTCCAGGTGGCCCAGGAGGCCCCACAAACCTCGCAAAGGCTGGATTTTTGTTGGGGGGCGGGCGGGCAGGGGGTGGGGGATCGTTAGAATGTTTTAATATACAACTTTGGCTGTGCACAAATTTTAATGAAGTATTATGAAGTGTCAACCTAAGCATATACAGATAAATACTTTCGATGAGATTGATGCTTTGCAAATGTTGATACCCCACCCCCCTCCCCCGTTTTCTATTTCACCCACCTCCGATAGGGAGGGTGGAACCAGGTACACCTGGAGACCCTGCAGGGCCAGGGAGCCCTGGAGCACCCAATGGTCCTGGAGGCCCTCCTGAAGAAATATAACCAAATTCATATTCTTTGGGTGTTTCGGTAAAGTCACATAGATAGGTTCAAAGAAAATAACAAAAAACTATGACGTTTCGATCGCAACACGAGCGTTCGTCATCAGGACTTTACCGAAAAACCCAAAGAATATGAAACCAAGTGTTGTTACAACACTTGGTCATCATGATCATCAGCCATGGTCAATCCACTGCTGGATAAAGGCTTCACCCTTGGCCGTCGCCGTCTCTCGTGAGTCCTGCGTCGTTTCAATCCACGCAGCACCCACACACGAGCGTATTTCATCGCTCCGTATCTGCAGCGGGGCAACTTCTCCGGAGTGTTTCCTATCTTTGGCTGTCGCACTGTTGTTCGTGCCGATCGTAGGCCATCACCCCTTCTCGCTATGACGTGTCCTGCCCAAACCCACTTTGCTTACCAATCAAAAATATATCTGGCTAATAAAGAGATGTATTACCATACATCTCTTCACGCATCTTTGTGCATTTTTCAGTTTGTTCCATTTTATTTGTGAATGGACGTTGATTAATTATCCATGCCATAGCAGGTAGTGTGACAGGTAATGAAGGTAAAGGGGCAGCCCTGCAATTGCTTGGTCTTCCACGTCGACAAAACGTGTTGGAAGAGGTGGCCGTACCCACACTTTACCCCACCACACGTGACCTGCCCATCGATTAACTGTGGTGCACCCATTTACATTGCAGGCTGGACAGAGGCGGAGTGGGGAGAGGTGAGGGGTTGATTTAAAAAAAAAACTTTCATTGCTTCAACTGCCACACCAAAGTATGGAATTGAACCGGCGTGCCAACCATTACACCACGGCGGCTCCACGTGACAGGTAACATGCAATGAAATCGAATCTATAATCTGCTTTGTTCTTGCGCGGGTTGATAGTCTTAACGACTCGAGTTTAGGCGTACGCATACTGAGTGGAGAGTGCGTGTGTTGACACACACACACATACCTGCTGGTCCCGGTGCGCCAGGAGGTCCTGGTGGCCCAGGAATTCCCACAACACCGCCACCACGCCCTGGTCCATTCTCTGCGCGAGACAAAACGTTTCGCGACATCGGCACACTGCAAATAAATACATGCCCGAATATCGGATGTAACTCTCCCTCCGAAAATCACCGCTTCGTTTACACCGCATCCCTCACTCAGCCATGACCAACCAACCGACTGATGCATTTCCGCAGTCTCGTTCCATCCGTCTATAACTCCATTCCCCCCATACTTGCATACGAAGCATTCGGTCTTCATCCACAATCAAAGAGTGTCTAAAACCGCACACCGGTTTCCACGGAGATCAACCAGTTGGGCCCGAGCTGGGCCACCGCACCTCCAGGTCGCGCTCGAATTTAATCACCCTTTTACAGAATCATGTGTGTTATGAATAGTCTGTTACTGTCCAAAATGGACGGTGATCGTATTATTAGGGATGAACCCCATCTCGTTTCTCTAAAACTGCTTTTTGTGTTTAATTTGTTGTCCTTCCCTCACACCTCGGATTAGCACGGTCGGCTATGTACAGTGTGATAGAAGTTCAACATACATAAGATGTTGAGGTTGTGCACTCAACAGTTGGATTGGTGGCAGAAAGTAGGAGGATTAAAAGAGAAAAAGATAGGCCGACAAGGGGCGATCGCCATGACAAGAGTGAGGAACGAGTGGAAGAAGTTTGCCCGGTCTCATCGTCAGCCGCAACTGCCAGAAGGGAAGTGCAAGAGGGACAGGAATCTTTGATCTGAGCTTTTAATTCTACTCTGCAGGCTTTCGTTGTTGTATAGCTCTTACATTGGGAATTCCATTCAATTCCCGAAGAAGCTCCCACAGCACGTGGAACAAAACGTTGGGCCATCACGCCGAACATGATGCGGTCAAACCTCGAAAACAAATCCCAGAGCGATGCCAAACTTTTAATCGTTAAAATTTTCCATCGCGTGCATTTGACACGCAGGCGAAACAGCAGTCGCTGACTCACGGGCACCAGGCCGCCCTGGGATTCCTGGAGCTCCGGGCACGCCGGGATCTCCGCTTTCGCCTGGAAGATGAAATCGACAAAAAAAATGTGTGAGCTCGCCTTCGAAGGTCATAAAGACACACTTTCAAAAAGGATCATTAAACAAAAAAAACTCCCATAGGTGCCGGCGATCTGCAGAATCTTGTGGAATTATGGCGGGATGGTAGATCTTTGAGTGGCGGGAGCCTTGCCTTTCTCGCCCGGTGTTCCAGGGCTCCCAGGTGGGCCCATAGGGCCGGGTTCGCCAGGTTGGCCAGTGGCGCCGTATTCCCCGGGTGGGCCGGGATCTCCTGGGTAGCCTGGCTGACCAGGAGACCCAGGTGGGCCTGGCTCTGTGGGGTTGTGTAAAGGAGAAAACCAGAAAAGAGAATGAAAATTACTGCGTGCACTGTATTCTCCAGATTATAAGAAGTACTCTTTCCCCTGTAATTTAAAGCAAATGTTGGGGGGGGGTGTCTTATAACCTGGAGAATACATTGCCTTCCAGAAGACGTGCTTTCATTTAGTTTATCAGAATAATTTTTTTCACAATATGGTTCTCAATATAAATACATCACCGCACAGAGGAAAGAAGACCATCACCAGAAGACGGCTCTCCACCATACAGTGCTCTCCCAATTATAAAGCACAAAATTACCGCAAAGTGTATGGTGCATTTTACTTTCTGGAGCACCTCATAATGTCAAGAACGTGGTGAGTATTAAAATATTGAGTATTCAGGAAGCAAAAGGTGATGTTCTCACCTCGGCTTGGTTCTCCTGGCTGGCCTGGATATCCAGTGTCACCTGAAATCACAAAAACCCATCAACAGTTGTGAGCAACGGAAATCCTTCATCAATTGCGGTGATGCAGAGAATTTCAGAATGCTCCGATGGCTCGACAGCCGAGGTGCTGTGACTGCGGGACGTTTATGGGATAAGTGCAATGCAAATACAAAATTATTCACTCACCAACATCTCCTTTTTGCCCAGGTGGACCCAATGGCCCATCCAGTCCTGAAGAATTAAGAGACAATTTAGGCTTGTGGTTTTATTTTCCTCCACTCCCACTCCACACTCCCACATATTTTTTGCAAACTGTGGACTTATTGTGTCGTGAATTAGTTTCAGCCGGACACGGAGAGATTAACATATTTTGTTTATACAATCATGTCAGCGTTGTGTGGACAATCATGAAGAAGAGGCATGTAACGACCCCCTTCACGGTTTGCTGAATCATTATGACCTGAGGTTAGGATTCAATTCCACGTGGGACTCATCTACACGTACTCATCAGTCCCTGCTTTGCATAGCTTCTGAAATAAGAGATAATTGGGCTACAAGGTTGCCAAACTGCTCCAAGCCGGGTAGCAGAGTCTCTCTGTCTATCCAGTTTGTTTTTTGTTTCACGTGACCAAAGATGATGCTGACAACGGCATCGCGACTTTCGCGTGTGACTGTGGCTGCGAAGAGTAAATTGCACGAGCGGCAGTCTTTCTGCAGCTGCAGCCACAGTCGAGTTTTTGGTGCAAGACGGTGCTGACTCGTGTCCTCATCAGGTCAGGCCACGTGGCGAATCGCGGTGGTGATGTCTCCGTGCCAACCTGCCCACCTGGTGGTCCAGCAAAGCCTGGGATTCCGGGTGGACCGGGCTCTCCTGGTTGCCCTTGACCCGCGTTACCTGTGCACACAATCGCACGGTTCGCACTTTACACGACCCCCAGCGACAGCGAGCACGCCAAGGGAATGCGCGACAAAATCCTTTTCTTTATTCTGTCAAAGTTGCCTAGCACAGGGCTAGAGGTTAAAAAATTCCAAGCAGCCAGCAACAGACGGCACGACTAAAATAGACAATGGCTGAGAGTGTAAATGTGTCAAACAGCAGGAGGGTAGAAGCGGAAAGAGAAGTGTTGGGACCTGCAGTGCGCTGGCAGAGCACAGTGGCGAGGAGATGAATCAGTCAGTCTGGTGAACGGGGTCCTCACGTCAGCCATACAAAGAAGAAGAAGACCGAGTCCTCAACATAGGTGGAGGAATCAACGATTGAAGTTCACGGGAACAGTAACCACTGTAGTCGTAGTCGTCGTGTTAGAAGAATAAGATGAAGATGACCGATTGCAAGTGAGCGAGTTACTGCAGTGAGTTAGTGAGCGGTTGGTTCATCAATAAAAAAATCTGTAGGCTGCTTGAGCAGAATGGCTGTTACGACCATGCCGTCCTTGTTATAGTTTTTGTAGCCATTTATGGCGGGGGGGGGGGGGGGGATTCTTTAGGTTAGCTTCGCTTACATCGCGGCAAGAGCTCCTGTGTTGTAAAAAAAAAAGTCATCTTTCAAATGAACTTTGAATGTCTCAAATGCTCGTCAATGATTTCAGCTGAAATGCTAAGGCATTCCAAAGGCTTGTAAATGCCATACCTAGGTAACTCGATGCCAAAGTGACTATTGATGCTGGGAATCTCAAACAGCATCTGGTCCTGAGACCGAAGAGGACTGGGCAGGTCGAACCCTGTAGTAAATATTTCACAAAGGTAGCCAGGGGTGACCCCGTGGCAAACCAGGAATGCTAACACCAACAACTTTAATTGAACTCGGTGTCGCTGCCCCAAAACGTAACGCCACCTTCTAACACCGACGCGGCTACGAATTGCGACAAAGCCCTCATGATGGACCGGACTGTGTGTTGCACCTTCACCGTGGTGCTTTGCTTCATACGACGACAAACATGCAAAATGCGGGCACAATTTTGAAAGTGCATGCCCAGTTTGTATGTGTGTATGTTGAACTTCTTTCGCACCGTACGTAGCCAACTGTGCTCATCGGAGGTTAGAGGTCCACGGCATGACAGCAGTTTACTCGCAGTGCCTTTAGCAATCGTTGTGAGTGTGAGCAAGAAGGTATTTTATGATTTTTATATTTTGTTGATATTCTAGTGTTGCCACGAACAAACTCGTAGGAACGATAGTGACGCCCGGCGCTGCTGTGGGAGATGCGGGACTGACCAGGATTGCCGACTGAACCTGGGAGACCGGGCAGCCCCTGCTCCCCAGGTTTCCCGTCATTTCCTGGAGGCCCCATCGGCCCTGGTGGTCCAGTGACATAGTCGCCTAACGGGCAGGAGAACACTCTGGTTGTAATTCACTCGCGATTAGTATTATCATCAGCCACGAGCAGTCCACTGTTGAAGGCCTTCCCATATCACAATCAACACGAGCTCGATTCATAGCTCCATCTCTGCTCTGGATTGTCCTATCGAGCAGTCTCGCGTGCGCGATTGGGCTCCGTGCGTCTTTAGCTAAGGGAATTAATCGGTAAACAAATGCATGCTGACGAGGCTGATCTCGCGCAGCCCAAATTGCGTTAGTTTTTTCTTTAAATGTTCAAATTCGCTGATGAGGCAGCATGAGAGTGGTTCAAGCTTACCCTTCGGTCCAGGTGGTCCTGTCAATCCGGGAGGGCCAATTGAGCCCGCACCTGAAGGTGATAAAAAGGTACACGTCGGGTTTTTATGAACGCGGTCAACCCTTCGTTCACCAGGGGAACCAGGACCAAAAGACAAGGTTGGTCCCCATGCAGTTTGCATTTTACCCAGGATAGCCCGTGATAGTCCACATTAAACAAAACATAGATAATGCCAAAAAAATAAGCATGGTTCACCTACGTGCAACGGGGGTGAAGATGTAGGATGCGTCGTCTGTGTTTATCGCTTCTTAAAAGTGATCGGTTTACTCGCCCGAGTGTACGCCGTCCCCCGTGGGAATGTTCGCAAACAATGACCCCTCGACAAAGCGACGAGCAGCTGATAATAGAAGCGACCGCGCGTAAATGTTTCTTATGATACAAGCGCGGGTTCATCCTCACCCCCGGAATAATCTGGCCACAGGATAATGGAGAGTTAACTACGCAATGTGTTGTGCTGTTTGGTATCTTAGGCCTACGCGAGAATGATTTCAAGAGTGATTTTATTTTATTGCCAAGCAGCGCAACAAAATCAAGTGTCACCTGGAGGACCTGGGGGGCCCGGAGGCCCTGGTAATCCGCGTGGCCCCTGAACATCTGATCCTGCAACACAGCGAAGCGTCACACAACGTCCCTCCGAAGTGGCTGAAAGAATTATGGAAGTAACGATTCATTCCCTCTTCTTGGTTCTTTCGGTAAAGTCACGTAGAAGGGAAGTAATAAAATAATAAATAAAACATAATAAATAATTCTCACGACGTTTTGGCCACAACGCAAGCAGCCGTCCTCAGGCGAAGAATGAAACACCACCATTCTTCACCTGAGGACGGCTGCTTGCGTTGTGGCCGAAACGTCGTGAGAATTATTTTATTATGTTTTATTTTTATTATTGTATTACTTCCCTTCTACGTGACTTTACCGAAAGAACCAAGAAGATGAATCCCTGCAGTCACGAAAGCTTTAAATCGAGATTCATTCCCTCTGCAGAACAATTAACTGGTTGGTGGTTACAGATCATACACTCGTGTGGTATGAATCTGTACGGTGTACAGGGTGGTCCAGATGTCTTGTTTCCCCCATTTAATTGTCTAAAACTTCATATTTTTAAGTAAGGCTTATGTAAGACAGAAATGAATATACAATAGAAAAAAAAGTTAGGGGTCAATTAATTGGGGATCACAAGACATCCGGACCATGCTCTACAGTGGCAAAACCATACACACGAATCGAAACAAAATTATTCTCACGCGCACGATTCGACGCGTCAATCATGAGCGCAATCATAATTTTTTTCTCCGCGTGTCCCCAACCCCTCCGCCCCCCACCAATGTTACACCGACAGTGCCGTCGGCATGACGGCACTAGACGAATACTCCCACGATGAACTTGAGCAGCGCATCGCCCCCCCCCCCCCCCCCCGTGTGTGTGTGTGTCAGAGACCGGTTTGCACAGGGAGAATGTCACACGGCGGAGGACTTTCCCACCGTCACATCCCTCCTGCAAACAGCGGCTGCAACTGCATCGTCCGTGCAATGCGTGCACCACGCCAAGGGTGGAGCAACGCCTCGCGGCGACCAAACAAGATGACTCGCAGTGCACGGGAGGAGAGCGGTCAAATGTTTTGAATGCAGTGCATGACAGGTGTCACCTGAGCCCGATAACCCATCTCTGCCTTTAGGCCCAGGAGGCCCGGGGGGTCCGGGAAGTCCCGGGGGTCCCGGGATGCCTTGCACCTCTGTGGGATCGAGGAACATCTCCATTGGCTGCACACAAGCGGGTGAAAATATTTCTGTGCGTGGCTGTAACGTTATATATGCCGAATAGAGGAATTCTCGCGAACCGTGGGGGCGCCACAAATTTTAGGCATTCGCAGATAAGAGGAGTGCGGATTTGTGGAGTTTCACTGTAATTTTCACGACAAATTTCTGGATTAAATCATAATCATGATGGACAGTAAGAAACGTTTTAGAACTAATGTCCAAAAGCAAGAGGGCGCAACGTTTCCGCGAGCAGAGCACGTGATGAACCAACACACCCAACCGGTTCAGTGATCGAGTCGGATCACGTGCTCCGATAGCAATGACCCTATGCACCCTCTTGCAAGGTGATCAGAAGGTTTCGAGAAAGGGCTAGGCCACCACATCAACTCTTAGCCACATTGCCGCCTATGTAGCTGCCTTGGGTTTCTGATCCCACAAAGCCAGTTACGGACGTCGGACAGTATGCCGATTGCGCAGTGCAAGTCGTAGGCATGCGAGGGCGACTTCAATCTTCACCATCGGTCGCTCTGGCTCGTCCAGGCGGGCCCCTGTCCCCTGGCTCTCCCTGGTCTCCCTTGGGTCCTCGGTCTCCTCTCTCTCCCTTCTCTCCTGCAGGGATGCAGTTCAAGTCAGGTCAAAGCGGAGAGCGAAGCTATTTGGGGTCGACTGCAGAGGAACGTACGAATGTGTGTACTTTGCAAATCCAGCGAGGTTGATTGCGGAAGTTCCTTCCTACCTGGGATGCCTGCACTTCCTGAAGGTCCCAAAATGCCTGTGGGGGAAAGGAAAAGAGAAACACTGAAATACGAAACTCATTCACTGGGTGTCCAATAATACAAAAGAGAAAAAACAGAGATTATTTGATTCCAAATGAGTTTGTACAAGTTCAGCAACTTATCGTTTTTGTGGATCTTCAACAGCCACTACTCGCGTAATTGTACTGTGCAGTGTGCATTGTATATGCGGTTGTGCCCTAATCATACTAACTGTGTAACGAGATGTAATCCGATCGCGTGTAAATTATTTAACTTAAAAACATAAACTTGTCCTAAACCCATTTATTCAACAAAATATATTCAACGATGTATACATTTAAATCCTGTTTGCGAGTAGGATATGTTTATGAAAGTGTGCATGAATATTTATCAACCATACAGACTTTTCCCCCCTCCCTCTCATCGAATCGACAGCATTTGTTCCAACAAACACGTTCATTGGAAAGACAGGCACCCAGACGTAAAACTGAACGCCCTAATCAGGTGCGTGTAAGTGACAAGATTTTAACAATATATACGCAATATCAACAGCGGATATAGAAATATATGAAGGCATAACGACGGCACCTGGAACTCCCTGAACTCCGGGTTGGCCAGGGGGGCCAGGGGCACCAGGGGGGCCGGGGACAGCAAAGCTCTGCGAGCCGTCTGCACAAAAAAGGGTTACGTCAACCATCACCACGGATGAATGAATAAATGAATTATTTAATGAATTGGTAAAGGAATTAGTGAATGCAATGATGAAGTCATGAACGAATTGACGAATTTATTAATTAATCGACGAATTAATGGATGAATGAATTGATGAATGAATGAATTATTTAATGAATTGGTAAAGGAATTAGTGAATGCAGTGATGAATTCATGAACGAATTGACGAATTTATTAATTAATCGACGAATGAATGGATGAATGAATGAATTATTTAATGAATTGGTGAAGGAATTAGTGAATGAAGTGATGAATTCATGAAAGAATTGACGAATTAATTAATAATCGACTAATGAATGGATGAATGAATTGATGAATGAATGCAGAATCACGGTGGCTTTTTTTTACTCTCATGGTTTTCAAAACCCATTAAACCTCGAGCTCTGCCGGTTTAAAAAAAAAACACCCAGAATAGTGCCCGGCCGTGCCAGAGCTTGGGAGCTTGGCAGGTTGGAGCCTGGACAGTTGCTTGGATGTGTGACCACCATGGACATAACAGGTTGTTGCTGTCGGCTGCTGCGGAATAACATTGCTGGCAGCAGAGGGCAGTGCAATACAATTTACTGTTAAACTGTACTTCTATGCTCCAGTGTGTATGCTCTCCACCTTCAACCGGCACTGACAGGCAGAGTGAAGAATGGTTTAATACCCACCCACAATCCGCATGGCATAAGGAGGCCCCTCATCCAGCAGTGGAATGACAAAAGGGTTGCACGTGCTAATGCAGCCGTAACTTGAAATTCTGACTGTGCAATAATATTAGCCGAGTAAAGAGATAACAACACATTTCATGGTATAACAAAAAAAGTTCAGTGATAAATTGTGAAATCTACGTACCGAAATTCAAAATCTTTCCAGGATTGCCAGTTTCTCCTGTGACACAAAGCACAAATTAGATGGAAGTTAAAAAATATATAATTCTCCTCCTGCCGGGCATCGCCATTGACGTTTTGTTTATTAGCTGCTGGTTTGTGTTGTGTTCACCTTTAGAGCCTGCTTCTCCAGGGATTCCTGGTTTCCCTGGCTCTCCAGGAGTACCTGCAAAGGTATTGAGTGGAAAGGAATGGAGGTAATGAGCCACCATGAAAGTGTGTATGATAATAATAATAATGTAGCAAATTAAAAGGATTTATTTTCAATGTCAAAACAGTACCTGCTTGCCCGGGTGGTCCTTGTGGGCCTGAAGAGACACATAGGGTAACGATTTAGAACTGCCAGTTGTGGAAATTGATGAAATCATGGCTGCTTCAGACACGTTTGTTTCAAAGATTCCCTCTTTGGCCTCCAATATATCGAATGAAATTAATGCTTTACGAAGGCACGTTACATGTTACAAGTCACGAGCGAGAGTAAAACTACAGTATTTAGCGTTGTCGTACAAGATCCAATATCTCAAACAGGGCAACGAGCAAGGGTTGTCGGAACTCCTTACCTTGAGCGCCTTGGTTTCCTTGAGGTCCCCTCGGCCCAGGAAGTCCAACAAGCCCTGGCTCGCCTACATAATAGGCACACATGTCATGAATGCCTTTGAGATAGAGTTTCGACTGCAAGTTGAAATTATATACACACACATACACACTCATGACCGCAGTATCGTGCATTTGGGCAAGCTCTAACTTGGCGAATTAGGGACGAATGTGACATCTAAAATATTTTGCTCTGAGAGACAGGACATCATCCTGATTTCCACAGATGGCGAGGCACCAATGGCGTCATACCTCTGGATCCTGGCCGCCCCTCAGCACCACCGTCACCTACACAAACGCAGTCAATACAAGCACATTCATAATGTTAACAATTTTTTAAAAGAAAAGCTAAAAAGTTTAATCATTATAGAGTCTATTCTTATGGAAACGGTTTAAAAACCAAACTTAAAATATTTCCACGGTGAACCCGGTGATGCAAATTTCTATTCAGCGTCATGAATAACATTCGTGACAAGTCATTTCAGAACCAGGTTTAAATGCACCCCCCCCCCCCCCCCCGTTCACTAACCCGCAATTACCACCTTGGTGAAGTGTGGTTAAGCAACCCCCGTGACGAAACCATTGCTGGGAAGCATTTAGCCGGCATTGGATTCAGAAATGGCTGCGTGTTATTACACCAGCACATGGGCAAAATAGGAAGGCAAAGATGACATTGCTTACATAAAAAGCCTACGTATTAAAATTACATTGCTTGTTTACAACAACGAATTACATGATCTAACCTGGTCCTTATTACAATGCTGCCTTGCTTGCTTAAGGACCTCTGGTATGTGCCTGAGGATAATTGGTCGTGTCTGTGTCCGTGTTGGTCATTGTTTTCATGTTTTTGCACGATATGGGGTAACCTTTGTTTAAGACCCAAGGTGTTGGCCCTGTCATGTAAGGCTGCCTTGCTGCACAGCTCATACCATGATCACTCTGTCTGCTACGGTTTCTCTATTGTTCTCTATGCGTAGCTTTGGTAGCCCCTTTATGGTGGGAATGTTGGGGTGCTCTGTGTTGGACTGTGCGTGTGGGTGTTTGGGGAGCGGTGGCACAGCGGTTAGTGCGCTCTGCTGCGGACCTAGCAACCTGAGTCGTGACGACTATCCGAACCGGTCCTGGGCCTCCCCTAGGTAGACTCAGCCTCAAATGAGTACTTGGTGTGGTGTAAAAATCAACACTGGGGAGACAAAGGCGGCCGGGCGTGGTGTTGGTCACCTTGCCCGCTGTGTGCCGTGCCGGCATTCATAGGTGCTCGCTAACAGGAATAGCCCTAACAGTCTCTTTAAGGCTGTATGGGGGATCTTTGTCTTGTGTGTAGATATCAAGACCTGAATTGAATCTATTCTGTAAAATTGCCAGGTGTGTAACAATGCTTTGTTCATCGACTACAATTGACTCGATTGCTTGTGATATGTGCTTGTGATACAAGTATTGATTATCTTAAACGTATGTGGATATACTGTACAGTAAAAGACACGCAGATGTTAAACACAATGGAGCGACCAAACCCCTACAAATGTACCTACGAAATGATACAAACGAGACGGTGAAATCGATATGAAAATGTATCGATTCCTCAATGGAGACGCGACCTCCCAAGTGTGACATCTCTGTTGAATCGCTGCAGAGGTGTGGATCATTGCACGCCTGAGTTGGTGCCAGCGCGTCTCCTCGATCAGTTTGCATCGTTTTTTCAACGGTTTTACCTAAACTTGACTCCTGTGTGTCGTGATCAAATCTTGTAATCAAAATTTAGTCTACTTCCCGTTGTCCAATCAATTCCACATGTTTCACACATACTCAGATCCGGTGACAATACATGCCTGTATCAAAATCGGCATCAATTAATCAATGAATTGGCTCCTTTAAAGCAAATCACATTTTGTATGGACGCCTCATTATTAATATATATTTGTGTGGGTCAAAAACGCAGCGGTCCATAAACTCTCGGTTCGCCTCGCCCAAGAAGCAGGCGCCACCTGTCTGTCTCAGGCGCCTCCGCTCCGTGTCAACGAGTTACGGGCACCCTCACTCAACACAAACAAAAGTTGTACATTGAAGATTAATTCATAAAAATGTACCAATTTATTCAAGTAAAAGCGTTGATGTGGGAGCAGGCGCCGCATCATAGACGTACTTCTCGGCCGTGAGTTAAACGAATATTGTGAATAAAACCGTTGTTTTTTAAAATATAAACTTTTTTTTAAGGAGTGTATTTGTTCTTTTGCGTCACGCACCTGCCACCCCCTTGACTCCGGGCTCCCCAGGGGTCCCGGCAGGACCTCGAGCACCCACTTCGCCTGCAGCACGGCAGCGCATGCCGATGATTACGATTACGATGACGACGGCGTCGTTGTTGTGTGTGTTTTTTTACAGCGGAACGCAACAATTGAGGCTCGCTTGGCAACCATTCATAAAAAAACAAGTATTTGTTCGCGACTAAAATTTCATCACAAAGTTACTGGGAGAAGGGGGGGGGGGATGCTGAGTGCTGTCGTAAACGGACAACAGAGTGGGCCATTATGTTCCACAAACTACATTCCGAATCGCCCGTAAATTACTATAATAATATTAATGTTTGCATGGCTACTTAGATCTTCATCTCTAAAGAGCCCCCACCTGGTTTCAGGTTCAAAGGAGGTTGTAAAGTTTAAATATTTGGGAATATTAATGATTTATATGTGTGTGTACATTTATTTCTCCCCAGTCACCATCAGGTCATGAGATATAGTCCATCCAGAACTGCCACAGAGCATCATCACCCTCTGTGTTAGAGAACGGCCCGCAGAAGGTGATACCACAGAACTACTGCTAAGATACCTTCAAGTGACCTCTTAACCTCACGAGAGGTGGATGCGTTACTTCCACGTGTCCCGCTATAGAGATGTCTCATGGCAGCCGACCGACGTGTTTAAGCCTCAAAGCTGGAAATCAGGCCAATTAAATTAAAACCAAAAATTTAATAGGCACTTATTTTAGTTTATTAGGCTGATACCATCAACTCATTCCGCAGTTTAATTACGAATGGCTTATCAGATTTGAACCATGAGCAGTGCTGGCTTTGAGCCACCCAACAACCTTTACGACCAGAACATCTAAATTATAAAACTAAAATATTGATCCCTTCTATGGCAAGTTGGATCCTTATCTCAAAATGCTCCCACTTGTTTTTAAGTTTGGGAGTTATATTTGTGTTGTTAATATTTTGAACATTTTTTTAATGATTTCTGATGAATTCGTAATTATTGCAACTCACCGGCAGCACCTCTCTGTCCTCGTTCACCAGCCTCGCCTAGAAAAATGATTTTTGTTAAAAATTTATTAATTACGCATTCTCTAATTTTATACATAGGCTTTCACGATCGATGTTATGATTAATATCTTCTGATACTTACATTGTCTTTGTACCGTTCGCCTGTTGGCGTTCTCTAGTCTAACACTGGTGGTTAATGCAGACTTGATGCCTTGTAAAAGCTATCTATTTGGTGTTTGAACGTCTGAACACCTGCTGTTGTATTGCCAAAGGATAAAACATTTCATTACGATTTATAATAAATTGCTTTTGGGTTAACTGTAACCCCTCCACCAAATTAAAGTCACGTGATTTTTGTTTTTCTGCAAAAGATCTGAATGTTGAAAAGTAAGACTCTTTTGGGACAAATTCATACGACGCATCACTGGAGATGACATCTAGCATCATCATCATCGAGTGTTGACAAAAGCTGAGATCTCACGTGAAAGAGATTCCTCATCCGGGTTCTTAAGTAGGCGACATGACATCATCAGATCAGCCACGCAGGTGAATCAGTTTTAAAAAGTTGATTGGTTGTGATTGGCAGATTAACGTGATAGGGTGAATCAATTTAGCAATTGGTGAAAATAGCCTTTGCTTTGTTATGTTATGGTGTATTGTGTTAGTAATCAAACAGGATTAAAAAAATATACTATTGTGATTCTAATAAAGCGTTATTTGGTTAATAGGGATATTTTAATCAGCATTATGGCGATTAGCACGATGAGGAATTAGTGATACAGGTTGATTTAAGATATTGTTGGTGTTACATTATGACAATAAATAATCGATTGATTTAATCTAAATGGCTAGAATTTTTAATGTAATTATGTATTTAGTTGAGTGCTAATTTAACACTTATGCTGGATGTGATCTCCAGTGGAACTTATAACATCGTCAATAAATGTATTTGCCTTTCAGAATTCCTCCGGTTTTGCTGAAACACCAAATCAATTGGCATATATGCCAACGCGACAACTTGATATGATTAAGCTGTCGGGTGGTGGAGCATTGATAATGTAGTGACATCGCGGATGTCACCGTGTAATGCCGGCCCTAGACAGGCACGGCGTGCGATCTATTGACATCGCGGACACCCCGTACATGTGGGTGTAGTACCGGCCCTGGAGGGGCTGATGGATAGCGCTGAGTGGGACCACGCTCGGCGTGCAGTGCCGACCCCTACAGGATGGGGTGTGAGAGTGTCAGCCATGTAATGGGGTTACTATAGGCCGTGGCACTCTGGTTGACCCCCGGAGTACACGTGACTGGTAAAGTCTACACAGGGGCCCCCAAGTGGGGGGCTAGGGGTGGTCACGTGTCAGGGGGAGATCCTGCTAGAGGATTCGAGAAGGTGGTCGTGGCCAAATGGCGGAGCCAGCCACGACCAGTAAAGATATAAGCCGGGTCCCCAGAGGGACCGGGGTTCAGCGTTGCTGTTGTCATCTTCGAGATCTACGTTCGACGTTCGACAAGAGTCACCAACACGTGGCCCTGGACCCAAGCTGGGGTCCTGTCCGTTGTAGATACTCCCAGTGTATTTAGTGTCGTTAACCTGGTGGTCCACCACCATACGGTGTTATCTGGTGAAGGGGCAGTTACCCCTTTGTGTTGGTATCAATAAATGTATTGCCTCCAAAGAGTACGTCTGCGACTCAGTTGAACTCACTAAAAAAGTAACCCTCGATATACTAATTATGAATTATGCATTATCGCTGCAATGCTTGGGACAGGACACATTGCTATGTGGGATACTGGTCAGTGGTCGCGACTGATTACAGTGGCAGCTGAAGGATTCAACAAATATTTGAGGATGACCACCACGGAGGTGAAACGAGGAGATCGGTTCGTGTGGATGAGCGATATTTATTTATTTCATCGTGAGGCTGTGAAGGGCAGCGACACACTTCTGGAGGCCTTTGATCCAGTCGTGGATAGAGCTTTGCCGACGATGATTATGTCACGCTACAAATACAAAGATCCCCCGTATAGCCTTAACCAGACTGTTGGGGCAAGTGCTGTTAGCGAGCACCTATGAAGGCCGGCACGGCACATGAGGGGGTGGGGTCGCCAACACCACGCCCAGCCGCCTTTGTCTCCCCAGTGGCGATGTTTACCACACACCGCACCAGGTACTCATTTGAGGCTGAGTCGACCCAGGGGACGCCCAGGACCGATTCAGATAATCGTCACCGGTGTTGGCCGTGAGCGGGAATCGAACTCGGGTTCCTGGGTTAGTCGTGAATCTCGCTCACCGCGACTCTACCGCTCCCCACCAATACATACAGGACATGCATTCCACATTTTACCCCAAGATATTGTACCGTTACGTATTGTATAAATATCCATCAATTATCTACGTATCTATATAGACACACACACACACACTGATACTGTATTGAATATGGTGTGTTCCTCAATGGCAGAAATCTCGATTGAAATCCCGTAAGCCTGCAGTAGTTCAGTACGAGCACGAACGTTACCTCCTTACCTTTAACTCCAGGAGCTCCGTCAATGCCCTTATCACCTGTGCACACACACAGAGAGAAGCAGTGGGCATTCAATTCTCAATTATACGGGCTAATGGGGAGTGAGAGGCATGGCCCAGATCAAACAAACACGCGCGGATAATGCAAAATATATGCAAAGTATGCTATAAGAAAGTGTGTATTGTTGTCCTATGTAGAATGGAGGAGAATGTGTAGAATTCAAAATCTGTTTTCATTTCGTCTCAAGAGATATTTGGTGCCCCAGTACATAATGTTGGCCGAGAGCCTCCATCACTTCCCATCTAAATATAAGTATAACCCGTAAAAAAAAGTTTTTCACTATAAATCCTTTATATGCGTGGCAGCTAGAGTCCTCTCGTCCTCTGGCTTGAGATGGCTGCCACCTATGGGTCACATGAGTGTCTGCCAGTATTAAGCAATTGGTAATTAAATATTTAAATTTTTTCCCTAAAAAGTGTAAAATTTTGGAAAAGAATTGTCACGAACATTAATTGTCTCGCACAACGAGTCTGTGTGAAAAATGTCAACTCGATTGGATCACGAGAAGTGGGTTAAAAAACGACCGAAAGATTTGCACGGTCGTAAGCAAGCAAGCAAGCACGCAAGCACGCAAGCAAGCAAGCAAACTTAATATAAAGGATTTTAAAAAAAGATAATCTCGTGTTTGGCGCCCCTCTCTGGTACAGTTGGACCCCTTCCCCCTCCATTCCTTGTTACAGATGGACCCCTTTCCCCCCACTCCCTGGAACAGGTGGACTCCTTTCCCCTCCTATCTTGTCAGGCTTGTCGCCATGCTTGTGGTCATGAGGGCACTGACTCGTAACGAGTGAGGGCCAGAAAATAATTAATTCGGTGCCTTTCCGTAAATATATACATGAAATCACAAGCACTCTGGATAATCTGCCCATGGACATTCGAGGGGTAGCTCTCGTTCCACACCAAGCGTTTGGCGATGATGTTTCGTCGTTCTGCTTTGTGCGTTAGGTGGCGGCAAAGTGGGACGATACCTTTCGCACCAGGGGTTCCTGCATCACCCTTGGAACCAGCCGTGCCGGGACTGCCTAAAATTAAAAGGCAGTGAATTAAGAGGTGGCCCTGAGTGGCTCACGGGCCAGCTGCCATCGTCACCGCACCGAGCCAGAAACACGGACAACATCGGGTCCCAATACGGGCATCGAGTAACGGCGGTTTGATTGATCTCAGCACATTCACCAATGACTGCTCAAACAAAAAGTTGACTCTTCACTTAGTTTGGCTTATAACAGTTATGAGAATCAAAACACGTTATTTTGATATGGCATACGATATTCTTTGTAGGGCACACATAACCAGATGTATCAGAGGCCAATTGAAGCGACTTTGGAAAACGTTGTGGCGTCGACTATGTGGGGCCTTTTTCGGACACTGGGTAGTACGCTGCTAGCTGCAAAGATTATGAATGTCTTCATCTCATAACTTGATGCGGATAATGCAGTGCGTAAAGAATAAAAATAATAATAGAGCAAAAGCTAATAAGGACAATAAAACATTGAACTTCGTCCTACGTGTTTGTAAGCAGTTAAAAAAAAAAATCTGAAATAGTTTCCAATAATACCTCTTGTTTATACAAAATGCAGGAAATTCTACATTGCTATGGAAGGTGCGATGTATTACTTATGACAACCACTGTTGACTCCCCACAGAGTGGGATTGGTTTTGATCAAATTCATGGGATAAAAGGGCTCCATCGACCCTTGACTAAGAGTCGAATTCTCAAGCTTCTCATTGCAGATAGAGTGGACAATGAGGTGTGTTTTCTCCATTGATTAATTACCTTGGAATCCAGGTGGTCCTTGAATGCCTTGCAAACCTTAAAAAAATGAATTATTAATCTGACAAAAAACCCAAAGGAAATACCAATTGTATAATGTGAAAGTGTTAATGGAGTTTGTATGTAATGCTAATGTTATTACAAACCTTTAGGACCAATAGAACCAGGCAGACCAGGGGACCCAGGGAGACCTGATTCTCCAAGGCCACCTGCATTAAACACCAGACAGTGGACAGAACCATAAGTTAAATTGGGCTGATTGAGATTGGGCTGATTGAGATGGAGAAATCGTCGACACTACACAAGTAACCACAGTAACAGGCTTTGCCCACTTTTTAATAGTTTGAACATCACACTCCTCAGTCGTAAAATTACTTGGTTCACTGATGGGGTCCATATTTGGAGGTATTTAGCACAAGACTTGACATAATTTAGAACTGAAGACTGACCCTGCCCTGTGAGTAAAACCATCAGCCACTGGAAATTAGGTTGTAATTTTAGCTTTCTAGACAATTGTAGGACGTTATTAAGACGAACATCGGCCAGTCAGCCACAATTGGCACCGGACATCTGAAATAAATTAATTGGCGCTTGCTTGGGGACGTCCTCTTGTAGCCCTTGCCAAGCAAGCCTGTATGCTTGCGGGCTCAGAAGGCATCCATCTCGTTGGCACACGACTGTGGCGAGCGGCGTTGTTTGATTGGTGGGGATACTGCTGGATGCTTTTAGATGCTACCCACGCGCCTCAGTCTTTGTTCAGCCTGCATGCGCATCTCACGGTGTTATCGCGGACTGTGCTTTATCTTATGTTATACATTATTTATCGTAACGCGATTTTTCTTCTGGAATGCAATTGCTACCACGTTATAGGAGAACAGATTGTACTTGTACATGTGACAATCCAGAATTCATACCTCGCTCTCCCTTCTCCCCGGCCCCGGGAGGCCCTGTTTCTCCGCGTGGGCCGGGCAGGCCCTCCCTGCCCCTTGGCCCGGCAGGCCCCTCAGTGCCTGGCTCCCCTACACACGGAGCGTCACCCCGCACCATTCACAGCACACAAGACGAGCAATACAACATTTTTAGTTTTTTATAAATACACACACACACGTTTTTTAAATACAATACAAGCAGGCACAGCAGTAGCGTGGCATGGTTGGCATGGGCCCCTGTGCGACAAATTAAATGGGACTCCCTTGTCCAATTGTCCCCCCCCTTCTTTGTAGGCCGGAGCCTGGGCCTCTTCGGCAACGTGGGCCTCCGGGTGCGGTTGCACGGCCTGCACACTCAGTGGCTACGCCACTCGGGCAGGGCTGCCTGGGAAACACTGCCGGTGACGCAGTGCGTCCAGATGCCTCTGGCTGCATTGAGTGCTGCTGTGAATGAAAGTGAATGGACGCACGGGCGTATCAACGAAACGCTATTGTAAGTGGGAAAGCTTGGAAGGCTTGCCATTGCTTGAAAAGTTATAATGTGACTTTTGGTTGGCATGTAATTTAGGACTGGATTTACGGTCCATACAGCAAAGCAGAGTATGTCTCCGCATGTTTTAAAGTATTTGTTGTAAGGTTTCCCTTGACATTTCAGGTATACTATTTCATGAAACAAACAATTGTGTTTTTGCCCCTTGGCGAAGCTTTCATCATGTGAATGGCAACTGAGGATCCTCCGTTTCATGTTTCGAATCTAGAAGACAGGTAATGCTTTTTTATTTCAGGCTTTCAGAGATATGTTAACAAAGTGCAGAGATATAATGTGGCTTTGTTGCCAAATAACACTTTCAAGACATTTTCTTCCATTATTCTAACCAAAGGTGATGTATTTACTTACAGTAGCTGTCTGTGAGGCATGACACGTTTGGAAGGGAAAACCTCTAGTTACTAATAAGCAGGTCAAGTCACGAGAACAACTGATGAAATGTGGACAAAGTTAGCGAGAGGGAGTGGATACCGAGAGAAGGCAAATCGCGCAGAGGAAGAAAGCAGAAGAGATGTTGAACTTAAATATAATAATTTGGAGAAAGGAATGGAAATTATAGGCTGACAACAACAGGCTTTTCTAATAATACTCAAAACACAAAGCAATAATCAAACCTTGGCTTCCTTTAATTCCCTTCGGTCCCTCTGGCCCGGGTGGTCCAGCCATTCCTTGTAAACCAGGCTGACCTGGGAACATACAACACAGCTGTTGCTTGCACGCTATGGAAGAGTGTGTCACTTGAATACTGCTGGTTTGGGCTGAACGTGCCTTGCACAATGAGGGTGTTTGTGGTAGAAGTATTCACCCTTGGGGCCTGGCAGACCGACTTCTCCCTGCACTCCGGGATCCCCTGTGCGAAAACAAAGTCTTAGTAAGAAAGCGGTCATGCAAATCTGTAACGGTATTAATTACATTTTCTTTTTTTTAAATCCTGAGCCGACAATTTCACAAAGTGACTTAAGTGCAACAAGCACCTCTGATGCCAGGGAAGCCGACCGTGCCCTCTGCACCTCGATCGCCTGAGTCTCCCTTTGAACCTGTAAGGAATATATTCACAGTGTAAACTAAAATAAACGTTTTTATTTCACCAAGTAAGGCCCACTGAGCTATATAGCTCTTTTTCAGAAGCGACCTGGGCCACAAATAATCGCTCAACGAAGTGGATTATCACGTGAAAATGGAGAGCAGCGTGTTGATTTTAAATGTAGAGAGAAAAACCGGAAATCGAACCCATGACCTCCTGTATGCCAGGTGAGGTAGTTAACATCTCGCCACCGTCGCGCCCCCGTGTCAAGCTCAGGGTCAAGAGGTCGTTGCGGCCAGTGTCCATCAATGCCCCCACCACACTCTTCTCCATCGCAGCATTACTCCTGTCGACTAGGCCTCGTCATTGACAAAACTGAGAGAACTACAGCAACATGAGAATAACGAAGCAATGCGTCCCAGGGTTGTCCGACAAGACTTTCAAAGTTTTGTTGTTTCAGGGAAAAAAAGGCTCTAAAATTATGGTCTAAGCATGCGTGCCACAGACGGGCACACATGTAAAATAGGCAACGTCTCGGGCAATGCCTCTACTCCTTCATCCTCTGCTCTGATGAAGGCCTGGTTAGTCAAAGAACGCGACTCTTCAAGGCAGTGTTACTTAAAATAAGAGACGTGGAAAGATCACCTTTCTGTCCAATGTCTCCTTTGTCTCCCTGTTGACCTCTGAACCGGGCTGGGAAGACATACAAAAGACACACGCACACACACATATATGAATGTTAATTTCGTTTAACCTTAAACAAGTAGATATAATTGCTTCTTTTATTTTCTAAACAAAAATTCTGGCAAAACAAAATGCATTGTGCTAATGTTGCACATTAAATACTGAAAACCACTTTCGACCTCAGTGTAAGTCGTGGAGTGGTGGAACAGTGGTTGGCAACAACGCGCCATTAATCCAGGGCACTCCATTGCATTCGCAAATGGTCAGTATGGGACCTTACGAGTTTCGTCTCTCAGGCTCTCCCCCCCCCCACCCCGTTCCCTTAGGGATGGACTCGACCGAACGGGAGCATCTCTCTCTCCATTCTCTCACCCACGATGTTGTCGGACCGCATCTCAGAGGCGAGGATGCTGGTGATGAGGCTCTCCAGGCCGGCCTCGTTGAGGTCGGCGAGCCCCCCCCCGGAGCGGCCACGGCCGCCGGCAGCCCCCAACGAGGAGCCGCTTCTCCCGCCGCTGGCCCCCATGTCGGAGTCGGTGAGCGCCCCCTCCAGAAACACTTGGTTGCCCACCTGACGCAGCCGCACGCCGTCTGACGTCTTCTGCCCCTCCAGATCGATGACGCGGCTCTTCAGCGACGATACTTCGTTCGCTGAAATCGCGGCGGCGGGGTGGTAGTGGTGAGGTGTTGGCGGTGGTGATGGCGGTGGTGGCGGTGGTGGTGGCGGTGGTGGCGGTGGGGTGGTGGCAGTGGTGGCGGTGCGGTGGTGGCGGTGGTGGCGGTGTGGTGGTGGCGGTGGTGGCGGTTGAAGCGGTGGCAGTGGTGGCGGTGCGGTGGTGGCAGTGGTGGCGGTGGAAGCGGTGGCAGTGGTGGTGGTGGGGTGGTGGCAGGGGGTGGTGTGGGAATGAAAAAACTAACGAACAAAAAATGAGCAGCGATCGCCTGAGTGGCTGTTGTTGTGCACCAGGGCGTGCGACGACGCTGCGATTCATCGGTTAGCATGGAGAGGATGATGATGACGATGCGATCTCCAGATCAGGTTTACACCCTCTTAACAAAGACAAACGTGTGTTTTTTTTGGGAAAAGGTTGTTTTTATGGGATTTGTCGTGTATTCCTCATCCTCGTTTTCTCCAATCCACGTTTGGCATTTGTTGGTGATACCAACAAATGGCTCTCAGTAAATCTCCAGCAGAATGATCACAGGAGCAAGAGGAAGGCCTGCATGCTACGGGCTGGTCAGCAACACCACTAATGTTATCAAGAGGCCTCAACGTGAAATGTGCAACCAAAAATGGCCCAAGTCAGAGCTAAATACGAACAACTGCATGGCTGGGTTCTCTACATCCACCAACTGAATGCAGTTGGCAGTTGTCTGTTTGTCACTCGCAAACTGTCAATACCTTTAAGCCACTCAGGGACAATAACACGGATGTCCTCCGAGAGACTTGGACCAAAAAAAAAAACCCAAGAGAAAAAAAAGGTACAAAAACAATCATCCCTCGCGGTGACGCGCGCGGCGTGTTGAGGAGCGCACCGAGGGAGAGGAGGCCCAGGAGCAGCCCAAGCAGGAAGAGCCAGGCGAGCAGTAGCGCCAGGATGAACATCCACCAGGAGCAGCAGGCGCACACCTTCCCTCCGTTCTCCTTCGTGCGCACCTCCATCACCGCCGCCTTCTCGGCGCCGACTGCCTTGCTCATCACTGTCACGCGCGGACAGAACGGGAGCGCAGAAACGCACGCGGACGTCAACCTTCGGTCGCAGCGCTCTGATTCTTTTCCTGCATTATTTTAACGCCCGCCTCCATCCTTATTGTTCCACCGGAGTCCATGGGACGAGGTGGAGGTAATGTATTCTGGCCATCGAGTGGACATCTGTAAAACGAAAAAAGAGCTTCATAGCTTATTGGACTCGAGTCTAAATAAAGATTCTGATTATTCCTACAAACCTCTCGGACGGCTGGAGATTCATACCGTAGCACAGGATGGCGGCTTCCGCTAAACTACTTATGGACCCATTTCAACGGGGCCTCTCTCGCGTGAAGGCTTGCGTCTTCGCACTCCACGAAGACTGCTTTGGCACATGTTGCTCATGCAATTACATTTATTTATGAATTATACGGACAGGAACATGAGCGCCGTCTAAAGCGCGATGGGCGTTCGAGGGAAAACATCTTACCGACTGTCTCGGCCCGTGAGTCGATGGTGTCCCCTTTCCTGGCCGCAGACGCTGCCATTAACTGCCTCTTCTCTTCCTCCAGTTGTCCAGCTGAACGCAAATTATGGTGGAGATGTAACAGGCAACGGACTTTGCTGGCAAATGAGAGTCGCCGGGAGAGGGCCGATCACAGACACTGACCTCTCAGTTAAACACGTCGGCTTTCGCGACCAGTATTATTCATAATAAAGGTTTTTGGGTTAGATCACGTTATTATAAATTTGTCGCATCCCTCCACCACCCGACACGGCCAATCAGTAAAAAAATGTGTCATGTCAACAAGTAATACACATCTTCTTGGTTCTTTCGGTAAAGTCACGTAGAAGGGAAGTAATAAAATGAAAAAATAAAAAAATAAAACATAATAAAATAATTCTCACGACGATTCGGCCACAACACAAGCAGCCGTCCTCAGGTAAAGACCAGGTCTGTCGAGGCGACAGCGTCTAAATGAAACACCACCACGCTTGGAGCGTCTATTTAAGCTGGGTTGGAAGGGGGGGAAAATGCGCCTTGACAAAAGAATCTGCATATCAAGAGAAATTTAGCATATTTATGGGAAATGCAGGAATGCGACTAGTGCTACTTGTGAAATGCGTAGGAGGTGGGCGGGGGGTTTTCAAAGTCATATTATGCCCATGCATTATGCAGGATTAGCAGCATCAAAGGGAGGGGGTAGGGGTAGCATTAATAAAGGGAAGGAATGTTAATAGTATGTAGCTGCAGTAACTAAACAACCACGTAAAAGCTAAAGTATAAACTACATAGTATCATCAGTATGCTAAATATACTCTCAATAAGCTGAGCTACTAACCGTAAGTAATACATTACAATTCTAGGTCGCAAAAAATATAATATGCTTCCAGCTAAACTTTTAAAACTATTTCCTTACATCACACGGGTCTATCCCATACTATATGCTGCTATTGGTGGAGGGTTGTGACACATACCGACTATAATCACCCAGGAATGTCTGTATGTCCTTAAAGCTCGTGACGTCCTCCACACGGAACCCCCCCCCACCTCATTAATAATCATGAGCAGGTGACATCACTCCACATCGAACAGCCCCCCTCATTAATAAATAATCATTATAAGGTGACATCCTCCCCCATTCATAATAATTAGCGGCTGACATCACTCCACATGGGGGGGCGAGGCGCCTCTTCCCCCCTCCTCGGCATCAACTCACAACCCTCACTACAAAGGCAGAACCCTCACGTCACGCGATCTCCGTAACGCTGTTGAGACATATAAGTAAAAAGGACGTGGTGATGAACAAGGGATTATAACCTTTAAATGAAATGAGTCTGTGTCACCGCGGCCTTACAAATTGCACACGAATTGATGCAATGAATATCACGTGGCGGTCTGCTTTTCGCTTGCGAGTTTCAGATTTACTGCAATACACCCGTCCTTGGACGGGCAAAAGGCTAGTTTATAATAACGCGATCTAAGGGGCCGTCCATAAATGACGTCACGCGATTTTTGACGATTTTTGACCCCCCCCCCCTCGTCACACAGCGTCACAAAAAGTCAGACCCCCCCTCAAATATGACGTCACAAACCTCTGCCCCCCCCCCCCCCAAATAAAACATGCTTCAAATTGCTTTAAACTATTGTCATTGTAGTGCGTATTTATTGTGGCGCTGCACTCTGATGTTGTAGGAGAAAACATCAAAACGTCTATTTAATTAAGTAGAACGTGTTGTCTATATTTATTTAAAGTTGCGCATTTTGATGTGATGTCACATTTCTCAACCCCCCCCCCCCTTCGTCACACATCGTCACAAATGTCTGACCCCGCCCCCCCCCTAGGTGCGTGACGTCATTTATGGACGGCCCCGAACCGAAAAACCTTTATCATGAACTGACCTCTGAGGTTGTTGACAAAATACTGCTTCTCCGACTCCAATTTAGGGAAGAACTCCGGCTGAAACATGGGTCCTCCTGCGAGGAAACACGTTAGCCATGGAGCACCCAATCACGCCCGCGCATACGATCACAATCTGGTCTTAAACGCATTAGTGCTTTGAGAACGTTTATAATGAAATCACTAAAAAGTATCGCCATTTGTTGACACCTTGTTGGATTTGGCCCTCTCTATGGTATGTCAATCATGAGGAGGGGCGGGAGGGTGTTGACCGTACATCACCGCTAGGGAGACAAAGGCGGCCGGGAGTGGTGTTGGCCACCCACCCCCTCGTGTGCCGTACCGGCCTTCATATAGATGCTCGCTAACAGCACTTGCCTCTACGGTCTGTTAAGGCTATACGGGGGATCTTTATCTTTGTTTGTGTTAGCGTGGGAGAGGAAATATGACTTGGTTCTTCACACATTTAAACCGGGTGAGCCGTTATTGTGCTGCGAGCGACATGTTAACGAGCATGCTACGGAACTCAGAAGGAAGCTTTGCTTACCTTTGAGGTCGTTGACGAGAAACTGCTGCTCAGCCTGCTTCTGCATCATGGCATCTGAGTACATGGGACCTGCTCATTGGAGATGGGCACATGGGCTCGGGGGTGTCATTGTACTCAATAAACTAGGCAGTGCGCTTTCAGGCAGAATCATGCACACAGCGGTTGCATCTTTTTCGTTTTGTATTAAGATTAAAAAATCTCCCAAGCACGTGCGCAACAAACTTTCTCCCATCCGCGCGCCGGCACTCACCCATGCCGTGGTGCTGCCCGGATCCCATGGGCATTCCCATCATGCCGTAGCCACCTTGCATGGCCTGGCTGCCCCCACGAAAGCCAATTCCTCCGCCTCCTCCTCCAACTCCTCCTCCTCCCCCCGCCGATGCCGCCTGCGCCATCATCGGGGCTCCCCCGGGCAGGCTGGCGTGCATGGCATATGCCGACAGCTTGGGGTCCATGCCACCGCCTGCCTTCGATGACTCCATCCCGTACTGCCCGTACACTGCGCACGCAGGCCAGAGGTGCGGGGAGGTCACCGGTCAGTGTGGAATGGCACCACCACGCTGTGTTTCCTGTCATTTTCATTTTGTAATTGTCACGTGCTGTACAGGTTTCGCTTGCTTTATGTTGGTTCGGTTTGTGTGATTTCACACTGTCCATGCGGCTAACCTCTTTCTACCCAAAATTCGCTGTGGAATTCGGTTTGAAATCACTCATATGCGGCTACGGGATCAGACACGGGACAATATTCTGTGTAACGGTCTTGTGCGATTTTGCTTTGTGCGCCCTTTTTTGGAAAGCATCTACCACATAAAGCGAGAGAAACCAAATATTCTAGGTATCTCTTCAATAAGATATGCCTGGTCTAAAGGGATTTCGTATTTATATTGTTGGAGCCTCTTTGTCAATCCACCAATGGATGAAAATCTCCCACTCACGCTGTATTGTTTGGTGATTGTTTTTTTTACTATACTTCACGCTGGCTGGTAAGGGTTAAAGGTTAGGGGGTAGAGCCCAAGACCGGTTTGGATATCACTCAACGGGGACGTTAGCTGGGGCCAGGAAATGAATTCAGGCCGTCAGGTTCATGCCACAATCCCACTCAATCCAATAACTAAATTAGTAACGGGTTACTAAATAACAACGGCCTATTACTCCCACGACTACTTTGCTGGCACTGCATTTTGGAGTAAACGTACATTAATAGAAGATGACTGATTGGAAAAGGATGATGTAAACTAAACTCATCTTTTGATTTAAAGCTTTCGTGACTGCAGGGATTCATATTCTTGGTTCTTTCGGTAAAGTAACGTAGAAGGGAAATAATAAAATAATAGAAATATAAAACAATCATATATATTTTTATTATTTTATTATTTCCCTTCTACGTGACTTTTCCAATCAGTCATCTTTTATTAATGTACGTTTACTCCAAAATGCAGTGCCAGCACAGTAGTCGTGGGAGTAATAGGCCGTTGTTTTTTAGTAACCCGTTACTAATTTATATTATTTTATTATTTCCCTTCTACGTGACTTTACCGAAAGAACCAAGAATATAAACTCATCTTCTTGGTTCTTTCGGTAAAGTCACGTAGAAGGGAAATAATAAAATAATAAACCTAAAACATAATAAAATACAATTCTCACGACGTTTCGGCCACAACGCAAACGTCGTGAGAATTGTATTTTATTATGTTTTATTTTTTTATTTTTATTATTTCCCTTCTACGTGACTTTACCGAAAGAACCAAGAAGATTAATCTCTGCAGTCACGAAAGCTTTAAATCGAAATGTAAACTAAACTATTTGTATTTTTCCAGGCAACGTCCACTGTGCGATATGGCTCTTTTTCAGAAGCGACCTGGCCACAAATAAACGCTCAACAAAGTGGCTCATCGTGTGGAAATTTATAGCCGCCAAATACTCGAAACGTATATTGATTCTAATTGTGGAGGGAAAACCCAGAGGACCCGGAGAAAAACCTACGCGACCACGGGGAGAATATGCAAACTCCAAATATACAGGCGTGAGGGTTGTGATCGAACCCACGACCTCCTGTATACCAAGCGAGGTAGTTAACATCTCGTCATCCATGGAGGTGCAAGATATCAGAGTGAGTAATACATTGCAACCAATTAATATGGCACTTCAATTGTCAGGAATGTAAATAAAAAAAACATCATCAAAAAACAGAATGTAAATTCAAGCCAGAATTCTGTCTCTCCCGCAATAGTCACTCCAAGCTATTGGCAACTCCCCTCACCTGAAATGCTCTCGTCCACTTTGATGAGGGCCTCCTCATCGGAGCGCTCCTCTCTCTTGCTGGGCAGGGGGGGCTTCTTGGGGATGGGCAGCGTGCGCGGGGGGCTCGAGCTGGAGGAGCGCGTGCCGCGCAGAAGGCGCTTCACGTCGTTCAGGTCGGCCCCTGGAGGGGGGGGGGGGGGACGAAAACGAGGTGCCGAGTTGTCGTCACGATCGCTCGCGCAGTCGCGCCGCTCACGTCCCCCCCGGTGCTCGTGGCTCCGATGCATTAAAATTTGTTGCGTTCCGCTCCGCTCCTCCGCGTCAAACCGTCGGCGGCGGATGCGTTTCGTGCCGAGCGCCCAGGTTTGTGCGCTGAACTTTTACGATTAAATGTAAAGGACTTGCGTGTGTGAAACAGAATGGACTTGGTCAATGACAAAGCGTGGTTGGTAATAGCCACGCTGCACGGAATGAAACTGGGTTGGGTGGCGGGGGGCAGCCGGGAACAATTATCCCCCTCTTCATATCCCAGGACCCAAGATCATCTGGCCCGTGGGTCCTGGTGCAGTTGCCCTGCCTGGACACTCGATAGCTACGCTAATGGACTGGAAAAGGCACAGGAGGCTCATGCTACGTGAGTTCTGGGCATCTCTATACCGACTGAGTACAAAAATTTGGCACATTGGTCTCATCGTAGGTGCTGTGTTGGGGTGTCCACCCAGTAAATGCACAAGTTTTCATGATGACATGTGAAATTTTGTCTAAAATTTCGACTGCCACTGCGAACTTTAATGCTCATTTGATGATGTGCTGTTGTGGAGCATTGAGGGTATTATCAAATATTTTTAGGCCAACCAGGCTAAGGGATTTTCTCTGCCAGTTTAATCCAGTCGCAAACATTTAATCAGGAGCGTATTCATGTTCATAGCAAATGTTTACTTTTGTAGGGACACTTTATACACATCATCACAGCACACCATCAACACAATCTGGACAATTCACCCCTTGGGCATTTATCCAAACTCTACAACAGTGGTTCTTCTTATCCTGGGGGGTGCGAGACATGCTCGATTTTTTGAGAAGGCAAATCATTGAAGCACTAATTAAGCATGAGCACGTAAGTGAAACTACTTTGTTTCATCAAACCCGATTGAAATCCAAAGACTGCAGTAAAGGTTATGCACCACTGCTCTACAATATACAATAGTTGTTGCTTTTAAATAGGACTCTTCAAACAGAGCAGCCCAGAGTGCTTTACAATGAACCCCCCCCCCCCCCCCCAAAAAAAAAACCCCTCCAAACTCTATGAAGAAAGTGTCAGACACCATGACGCCTTTGAAATGGAAAATTTGACCACCAAGGTGAATTCAAGTAATCCAGGGATGGGTGATCACAATGAATATGGTAAGGATAATGAAATGATGTTTGTTTTCTTATTCTATCGCTAAGGGGCGCTGTACCCTTGCACATTGACAGCTCTACCGCTTGTGCAACACTCCACCAATCTCGCAATGTGCCTCTTGCTTCGGTGCGACGGGGAGGTTGATCAGCAATGTGTCTACTACGTTCGTGTCGCGGTTGGTGGGTGAGCCAGTGGACAACTTCACGGAGTGGCCTGGTGATATATCTGAAATGCTGCCGGCGAATGATCGAAGAAGGCAGTGGAGTGCTACTGTGTAGGTGCACGTGTGGAGGGGGTGGTGAGGTGCTGCTGTGTAGGTGCACGTGTGGAGGGGGTGGTGAGGTGCTGCTGTGTAGGTGCACGTGTGGAGGGGGTGGTGAGGTGCTACTGTGTAGGTGCACGTGTGGAGGGGGTGGTGAGGTGCTGCTGTGTAGGTGCACGTGTGGAGGGGGTGGTGAGGTGCTGCTGTGTAGGTGCACGTGTGGAGGGGGTGGTGAGGTGCTACTGTGTAGGTGCACGTGTGGAGGGGGTGGTGAGGTGCTGCTGTGTAGGTGCACGTGTGGAGGGGGTGGTGAGGTGCTACTGTGTAGGTGCACGTGTGGAGGGGGTGGTGAGGTGCTGCTGTGTAGGTGCACGTGTGGAGGGGGTGGTGAGGTGCTACTGTGTAGGTGCACGTGTGAAGGGGGTGGTGAGGTGCTACTGTGGAGGTGCACGTGTGAAGGAGCAGTGAGGTGCTGCTGTGGAGGTGCACGTGTGAAGGAGCAGTGAGGTGCTACTGTGTAGGTGCACGAGTGGAGGGGGTGGTGAGGTGCTGCTGTGGATGTGCACGTGTGAAGGAGCAGTGAGGTGCTACTGTGGAGGTGCACGTGTGAAGGAGCAGTGAGGTGCTACTGTGTAGGTGCACGTGTGGAGGGGGTGGTGAGGTGCTGCTGTGGAGGTGCACGTGTGAAGGAGCAGTGAGGTGCTGCTGTGTAGGTGCACGTGTGGAGGGGGTGGTGAGGTGCTGCTGTGGAGGTGCACGTGTGAAGGAGCAGTGAGGTGCTACTGTGTAGGTGCACGTGTGGAGGGGGTGGTGAGGTGCTGCTGGGGAGGTGCACGAGTGGAGGGGGTGGTGATGAAGTGAGGGGGCTCGGCGATGACTTGCGCTGGGTCGAGATAATGACTCACATCGTCCGTCGGGAGAAGCGCTCTGCAGGCGAGCTCGGATCTGGCTCTCTGTCGGACAAGACGCCATCATCATCATCATCAGCCGTGGGCAGTCCTGTCCAAGCAAACCTCTGAGTTTTCTTGACAGTTTGAATTATCTCATTAACATGCATATGGCCATGCTATCATTGGGGCATAGTCTTCCAAAGGCCATTCTCTAGCATGGAGTGGCACATTGCACTGCTTTCGAAATATACATTTGGTCATCCCATGGTATGCCTGATAGAACAATTAGATTATAATTGAGAAAATTACAATAAGATGCTTTTGGTAAAGTGATACATCTGCATGCGACGTCGCGACACAGCGACACGTTAAGAGTCCTCCACTTACCTCGAGATTGGCTTCTACCTCGTGCAACATCTAAGTAAGGGGAGAAAGTGCGGTTGTCAAAGTTAATATAATCCTCAAACTCATTCCAGTATTGTCTATATAGACTCAAGTGTACATGGGTGCAGGCAGAGGGTGAGGGAAGGGGGGGGGGGCAGTTTACGTCTGGGATGCGTTCCTGAAAAGTTGCAACAAATATGGAAACGATGTAAATCAACGCAATTAACAGGGTAGTAAGGTGGAGGCGACGGATACGAGAGAGGACGGATGCCGTCAGCGCCGTGTGGGTTGAGGCGACGCAAGCAGGGAGTTGGCAGGTAGTGTTATTATTGCTAATGTGATGACGTATTTGCGAAACGGCGTAAAAGGGGGAAGACGTACATCGGGGCATTGCTGTATGATATTTACACTGAGCAGGTAAACAACCTTCCGGGTTTATCCCCCTTTTTCTTTTTTCACGAGTGGAGACCCATTGCCCCAACCGGCCCCACTGCCCCCCTACCGGCCCCACCCGGCCCCATTGCACCACCAGCGCTCCCCCGCAGAGCTGTCCACCGCTAACAGTCTCACGCTGACATTCCGTGTCGTCTGTGCGTGTTCCCACAGTGGCTGGCCATCGAACAAAGGCGGTGGTCACCGCATCGCGCACTTTCAGATGCGCCTTTGCGACCGTCTGGAACGCTCTTCTATCCGAAATTAAGCAGCCACTGGAGCTATGCACTTTTAAATCATCATCTAGATTCAGAACTAATTTATTCAGAACTGCTTTTGGTGTTTAGCTTGTTGTCTTTCCCCCGCACCTCCGATTAGCATGGTTGGCTATGTACGGCGCAAAAGAAGTTGAACGTTCATATGCACGGTGTGCATTCATTGTTGCTCGACATCGTTGACTTACTGATTTCCTTGCGGGTGACTTCGGGGGAAGAATTGTCACTCGAGCTTCCTGCGACAACAACAATATCGCACGAGGGAAGAGAAGGCATCACTCGCGCCAGGTGGCAATGTGACGTGTGACGAGGAGTTGCACAAACAGAGACCTGCATGTTGAACTTTCATTGCCAGAATGGGACTAAGCGAAATGTCCGACTGAACATCTTTGGAAACAGATCTTTATAGCTCGTCGGGTTCCTCCGGTCTAAATAAAGATGACTTGATTTTGAAATATTCCAATGGCCTCATAACTCTCTATAATCCGGTAACTGGTAGCGGGCATTGCCTGCTATTGGCTTCAGTGTGACACTCCATGAGAGACAAATTACTTGGTCCGATGATCATGGTGATTATTGAACTTTAAGTGTTTAGCGCAAGACTTGGGAAACATGAAAACTTCAGGCTGGCTCATCCTCAATGATCAATACCAATACACCACCAGGCTTGAATTGTTGTCGGCTAAAAAATAAGTAATTAATAATTCCTAGTTATTAGTGTAAACGTCACTATATACCAACTTTCAAACTCAAGCCTCTGGAGAACAGCAACTATATTTCACTCCAGTCATTCAGTCACGATCGAGTATGTAGATCAGATGATGTTTCCAGCACTGTACTCGGTGCCGTCTCTACGCGCAGTCTTCCCTTCCACATCCACCTCTGAAGCCAGGGCACGAGTGGGAGGTGGGATGTGGGGGTGACAAAGATTATCCGTGTGGCCTCGGTGGAATTGTAGCACGGCTCGTATTCAATGTTGCCGTGGGGCTCTCCCGTCCCCTCCTGCCTCCCCCCCCCGCGTCCTCCCGCGAAGGCCAACATATGAACTGTGATCAACATCAACGCGGCTCAGAGCAGTGCGGCCACAGAAAGGCGCGCCAGAGCTCCTGGCGTCTCGTGAGATTGTAAAGAAGGTCTCCGCTTTGATCGCCAACGACGGCGCCTGCAGCGATACACGGCGGACGTCTCGTGTTCAAAGTTGGGGTCCTTCCGTGCTCGGTCGACACACGGAGCCGGCCGGTTGTGTAAATTTAACATTCTCATGGTGGGGCCCAGTCGATCCGTCGATAAGATGACGACTGTTAATTTCTCATTTTATCACACCCGCCCCCCCCCCATAGGCAGAGTATTTTATTGGGTGAAAACCACATAGCAGAATCACCCCCACGAATTGTGAAACGTTCGTGATAGATAACCTTGTACTGCAAGAATGGCGCAAATACCAAGTCTACCAATGAGTTGATTTCATGATTTTAATGACAAGGCTAAGCATGCTGCAAGCATGCTTAGACCGCCTCCAGCGGTCTAATTGCCAGTTGACTTCTTGCAGCATTGTGCTGTCCATGTGCTGTGTGTGCTGGACTTGTCGAGGTGGTGTAACACGTAGGCTTTCGCGACCAATATTACTCACAAGCAATGTTTTTGGGTTAGATCGCGTGAAGTATACATGTTGTGTCGTAGCCCTCCACCACCCGACACAACCAGTAAGGTGTTTGTCACGTAAACAACGCGCCAATAAGTTTACTACTTCAGCACGCCGGTGTGTTAGAGAGTAAATCCACAGCATTTACAATTTGAGTAGTACGACGTTTCGCTGGCAATTACATCAACCAGCATCATCGGCTGATTTGCCAGAATAGTGAAGCAATCCACATGTTTACGGTCTTAAATAGAGCAAATGACGTCATCACTGAACCCATCAGGTGCAGAGATCAGAAGGCGGAGGAGAGGGTATTGTATATATAATTATAAGATAGATTAGTAATCAGTTAATTAGCAAGTGTTTCCTCTGTGAGGAATGCGGTTGTAAGATGTATTACTTAATACGCGTCCAGGCCGCACTAATGTGTCTTCTCATTTGAGAGATGTCTTCTAGATTGTTTTTTGACAATCGATGTACTCAGTACTGAAGACATTTCATACGTGGGGGCAATCGTAACTCTCATGATGCTCTTAGCCCTTCTTGTGCATAATTAGAATTTAGATGAGTCAGTCATGATCGTCTATATGCAAATGCTATTCAGAGGGAGAGAGAGAGAGAGAGCTGCAATCTGTCATATATTAATACGTAAAACCAAAATTCTACAATTTTAGGTCCCCCTAAATGTATGTCGCACGGGTGCACTCATAGTGCAAGGGCAGCTGAATGTTTTTTGCGGGCTTACAAACTCGTGCTCAACCACGACAAACTCAGTGAACCAACACATTTGCTTTCCGTGGGGCGTGACGCTGAAGCTAACAAGAAAGCAAACACACACAAGCAGGACTCCGTTCTGTATCTGCACATCCTCTAAGTATTTGTGTTAGTCCATGCTCGCGTACGGCACAAGCAGCTGGCGGTGAAGGTGAGGGCGCCCCCTGACCCCCCCCCCACCTCCCCCTCACCACCCCCTCACCTCCCCTACCCCCAACTCCCCTCACCTCCCCCACACCTCCCCCACCTCCCCCTCACATCCCCAAACTCCCCCTCACCTCCCCCACCCCCACCTCCCACTCACCTCCCCCACCTCCCCGTCACCACCCCCACATCCCCCTCACCTCCCCCACCCCCCACCTCCCACTCACCTCCTCCACCCCCAGCCTCCCCCTCACCTCCCCCACATCCCCCTCACCTCCCCCACCCCCCACCTCCCACTCACCTCCCCCACCCCCAGCCTCCCCCTCACCTCCCCCACCCCCAGCCTCCCCCTCACCTCCCCCACATCCCCCTCACCTCCCCCAACTCCCCCTCACCTCCCCCACCCCCCACCTCCCACTCACCTCCCCCACCCCCAGCCTCCCCCTCACCTCCCCCACATCCCCCTCACCTCCCCCAACTCCCCCTCACCTCCCCCACCCCCCACCTCCCACTCACCTCCCCCACCCCCAGCCTCCCCCTCACCTCCCCCACATCCCCCTCACCTCCCCCAACTCCCCCTCACCTCCCCCACCCCCCACCTCCCACTCACCTCCCCCACCCCCAGCCTCCCCCTCACCTCCCCCACATCCCCCTCACCTCCCCCACATCCCCCTCACCTCCCCCACCCCTCCCCCACATCCTCCTCACCTCCCCCACCCCTCCCCCACCTCCCCCTCACCTCCCCCACCTCCCACCTCCCCCACCTCCCCCACCTCTCCCACCCCCCACCTCCCCCACCTCCCACCTCCCCCACCCCCCATCTCTCCCACCCCCCACCTCTCCCACCTCCCACCTCCCCCACCTCCCACCTCTCCCACCTCCCACCTCCCCCACCCCTCACCTCCCCCCACCTCCCCCACCCCCACCTCCCCCACCCCCCACCTATGTCGTAGCTCAAGTTGACCGTGGGCTTGGCGCTGCGTCGCTCCAGGCTGGAGAGGGGGGAGCGGCCCCGGGTCCCGAACTGCGTGGAGCTCATCGTGGCCGAGCGAGCGGCGCCACCTTTTGTTGGGGGTCGGGGGGGGGGCCATGGGAGGGCGAGAAGAAGAGGAGGGTCGAGAGGGGGTGGAGCAGCACGGGGGGGGGGGACGTCAGGTGAAAGGAACACAAAGGAGAGGAGAGGAGGGCGTGCTGGTTGCACATCTATTTTGTGGGTTTTGGGTGGTCTGGGCCACCCGCCGCCGCCACAGCTCCAAGCAAGAAACAGTAGCGGGAGCTCTGGAATGTTCTCCCTTCACAAAGTTGGAAAGAGAACAACAACAACACCACACACAAAGAATCGGTGCAAACCCCTCCCCGCCCCCCCCCCCCCCAAAAAAAACCTCAGCTGCGTGTTCGTAAGAATTGCCCTGAGGTCTCAGAGTTGGGGTTGGGGTGAGACACGGCCAAGGGTCACTACCCATCAATTATATCCGATGGTGAGTGAGGTGACACTTGAGGAGGAGGGGGGGGCTCACCCGGGCTGGGCGGCGTGGCAGGGGTCACGCCCGTGGACTTGCGGGAGGAGTGAGCGGCTGTGGTCACGGTCGTGCCGGACTCTGTGGATGAGTCGAACGCGAACCACGAAATCACTCACGGGCGTGCACACCAGAGGTCACAACCGGGTACCCGATACCCGTACCCTACCCGATACCCGGCTACCCGTACCCGGCTACGGGTACCCGTTTTCGACCCTGGTGCGGCCGGGTACGGGTAGACCGTGAGTCACTGGTGATTAACCGTTTGTCACTCATTTCCCAACGTCTTGTCTCTTCTCACAATTCAAGTTCCTAGAATCAACCCACCCGCGCCTGCAACATGGCTTCATCCCAGAGGTCGCAATCAGGTACCCGATACTCGTACCCGGCCGGGTACGGGTAGGGTACGGGTACGGCCGGGTACGGGTACCCGTTTGCGACCCTGGTGCGGCCGGGTACGGGTACGGGTAAGGAATCAAAACCCGTTTGCGACCTCTGGTGCACACACAGTACCGAGACGGCAGAAAAAAAGGGCGCAGGTCGTCATTGATTAGCACAATCGGCACTTGTGATCAATGCACGTCTGGGCCAATACCCCCACCCCCTCAATCTGCCCGCCAAAAAAGCAAGCAATTCATTAATTTGGTTACATTCCCCCACATCAATATACAGCACTGCTTTGTGTGAAAATAACGGTTATATATTTGAAGTCTCCAAGTGAAAAGGCCTTCCACACCAATTTGTTTAATCGAGTAAATGGTGTTTTGGTTTCAATTTACCGAATGTCAGGTGCGGTCCCGTTAACAATTGCCGCTCGGTCGTCTGGCGTTATCGGCAAAACCTCATTCACAGGCATTGTGGGCTTATGAGTAACCGCCATTGCACATACACAGACACACCCGTTAAAAAACAAATACAAAATTGGCAGTGTATGTTGCTTTTACATAAAGGTCGTAATTATAATATATATGCTCAAAATGTCCCCCCCAATATTTTGGTATAAAAAAATGAGTTGCTATGCTATGTAAAATAACAATTTTCTAAACCTTGGCCACAATATCTGGACTTTTCTTCATATAAATCAATGCATAGATTTCTGTTTATATGATTGTGGTTATGGTTGTACTTTATTAATCCCTAATCTCTGCCATTACATACAATGAAACAAGAAATGGTAAAAAAGTAAAAACAGAGCAATGTAATGCAATACACTGTTCGACATTATTGTAAATAAAAAAGTCCATCCCATGTGTTAGTGAAGTTTTTAATATTTTAGGCAGGAAATTATTTTTCAAATTAAATTTATTTTTTGGGTTGGGACACCCAGACACCCTGGAAGATTTGGTCACCCCCCAATGTTGACTTCATGGCTACGGCTTTGTTTTATAATTTACAAAACGCGCACAACGAGAGTTCGCGAAGAGCGTCAGTTTAAATGTGCGCTGCGTCCCCAGCGGTTTCATTAATGCCCGCGCCAATAGCCGGAGAGCAAAATGCGTCCTGATGTCTCGACAAGCCCCTCCGAAGCTGCGTTCCCGCCGACTTTGAGCCAAGTTCAGCATCGATTTTTGCGATCCAATAAATCGCGGGGGAAGTGCGTCTCACTGTGTTAAATCCTGCCGCACAGGTGATGGGATATGATGAGTTTGCGGCGGGGAGGAGGGGAGGGCAGGGGGGTGCAAGTGAGGTGGCAAGAGGATGTGGATCGGGGAGCGACACCTTGAAAATTATTGACGTCTAATTACACGTGCCCCCCCCCAACCTCTCCAACCCTCATGCTGTTTACTACTTTTTTCCCATGCCCCCCCAATCCCTCCCACTTCACACTACGCCCGCCCCCCCACCGCTCCCCTCACTCGCTCGCGCACTCAATACACACACAAAGTGCTTGCCACAAATGAGCCACAATACCTTGCTGATCTCGTCAAGGAGCATAAACCCTCACGTGAACTCCGGTCATCCTCACATCGGCTTTTGGCTACCCATCGAACAAAGACGGTCACTGCATCGCGCGCTTTCAGGTGCGCTTATGTGGCCGTCTGGAACGCTCTTCCTCTAAATATTAGGAAGCTAGTGGAGATATTCACTTTAAAATCTAGTTTGAAAACTTTTTTTTTGAACTGCTTACTGTGTTTACTTTGTTGTTCCTCCATCGCACCTCCGATTACCACATTTGGCTACGTACAGTGCGAAAGAAATTCAACATACATACACACACTCATTGGTTTAGCTTTGTACGACCGTAGCGATTCTCGCAGGGAAAACTATTTACAGCGCAGGGAAGCAGATACATTCATCGCACTTACTGGGCGGCAAGGCGGGCATCCCACTGGGTGACACTGTGAAAGTGAAACATTGCATGAATTATCATCGCAGCAGTCAGCAGCTCCCGAGTAAGAAATGGGTGCGTGTGTGTGTATACGTGTGGGTGGCGTACGCGCTTAAAACGATGGTAACGGTGGGATGAGTTCTACGTTGTGCCCTGCAGGTAAATATTATACCGCTGGTTTGCACGAGCAGATTTTCTTTGAGCGAAAGCATATTTGATAACTATTTATGACACGTTACGTGGCGATGGAGCGCGCTTGCCAGTCAAATCTGACAAGCCATCAGCATTTGTTCAACAAGCCTGCACACTGTTGATGAGGCCAATAATGTTTAAATATGGTCCACAGCTGTGCCTTCTTAAATAAAATAAAAATACTGTTGGATGATGTTGGTCCGGACGGAGAGCCCACAACCTCCTCACTAAACATTACGTACATAAATGGTAAAAATGGCAAGAACGCCTTAATATGCTTTATCAATACAAATTGCAATTTTTTATGTAAAATTACATTGCGAATGCAGATAAATGCTGTGCACACGTTGATTTTGCAATGTCACGAACGCGCATGCAATACCCAGTTATGTTAATATCAAGGGTGTCAGGGTGAGCTGTGACGTGCGATGTGGCTGATGGTGAGAAGTGGTGAGGAACGATTAAAGGTTCTGCTGTAGAGAGCCCCACCACCCCCGTGTACCTGTCTTCTCCACGGCGCGGCTGGTGACCTGAGTCCCCGACTGACCACGACTCGGACCGGACACCAGAGATGACTGATGAGTCACCTCGCCACCTCCTCCTCGGCTGCCGGTGCTGAAGGTCGCGCCCACAACGGGGCCGTGCTCGATTCGTTTGGTCGTGGTCTGGATGACACTTTGGCCCACGGCCCCTCCACCACCACCACCACCGCCGCCTCCGCCACCAGCTTCCACCACCTCCGCCGCTCGTCGTGGTAGAATGAACGACCTTGGTGCCTCCACCCCCAATGAGCTGCGCGTCGGACGTTGAGTGAGCGTAGGAGAAAGAGCCGGACTCACCGCCTCTCACCTCGCCGGCGAACGTGCGACCCGAAGACCCCGAAGACAGATCCAGCCGGTCCCTCGCCAGCACCTCGCCACCTGCCGCTGCTCCCGACGAGACGAAACCTCCTCCACGCCCCGAGGACCAGGCGGTCTCCACCTGTCGGCCCGCCGTGGTGAAGCCCTGGGCTTCCCCGTCAGCGCCGCCGTAGCGGACTTCTTCGTAGATCGCTCGTTCGGCAAGGCCACCCCCGGCCCCCGCACCAACCGAGTCAAAGCTCAGCAGCAACCCGCCGCCGCCGGAGCTCCACGCAGAAGACGACTGAGAGAGACCGGCGGAGCCGGACGCAGCCAGGTCACCCTCCTCCAGGATGAGAAGGTCGGTGTGCTGCGAGCCCCCCGCCCCCCCAGCCGTCACCTGAGCCCCTGGAGGAGGAGGACACGGCGACGATGATGGAGGAATGAATTTGACTCCGAGCGACACGCCGCAAAAACCACGGACGTCAAACGTGCCGCTTTCCACCTTCGCAAATTCCTCTATTAACGGTGTGCTTTTTTTGACAGGTGATTTGATTTTTTTTCTTGCGTGTCCTCAGAGTTATCTGCGCAGGACACTCGACCCGCCCGAGGCAGCAGGTGTATCTTACGGGGGGGAAAAAAACCCAGCGTGTTTATTTGCTGCTGCTGCTGCTGCTACTGCATATCTGTGGTTTTTGTGGGCTAGCCGAAGAATTCGCCAACAAATATTGATCGGGGTATTTCTGGATCGTATTTTACGTTTCGCATTTAAACAAATTTAAACAGATTCACTTTAAGAAAGAAAATAAAAAAATCATACGTGCTATCACGTTAAAGTTGATTTACATTTGCAGGTAAAATCTTGACTTAAAGCTTTTGTGACTGCAGGGATTCATATTCATTGGGTCTTTCGGTAAAGTCACGTTCAATAATAATAACGTTTCAATCGCAACACAAGCGGTCGAAACGTCGTCGTTTTTTGTTATTTTATTTGAACCTATCTACGTGACTTTACCGAAAGACCCAAAGAATATACATTTGCGGGGTTCACAAATACCTGATCCAGACACGCTCAGGCCTTCGAATGAAATCTTCTTGTTGGATTTTTGGCTGATCATGCGTGCCGATGGATCCGCTAGAGAAGACAAAATACAATAATTTGAAGTAAAAATATATTAATGAAAATCCGAACTTAAACTAAATTTCAATTCGAAAGATCCTCATTGTACATTCATATCAGCGAGCGTGTTCCAAATCACCATCCAATAACCAGCACATTTCTCGACTGAAAATCAGTACAGCAAATAGGATCAATGAACATCCACGCGTGTCGTTGTGATGAAGCCTGCACTCGTTTTAGTTTCCTTGCTCTTTACGCTTAACGGGAGGAAATTAACAGTCATTAGTTTACATTTTTGCCCAATGTATTAATCTCCTGGACTTATCTAAAGCACAACGCAGCTGAGACTTTAGATGTAGAGGGATGATTAATATTAACGGCAAACATCGCAGCACTAATTGACATTCCCGCTCCCAGCTTAACAGGAAGGATTTCGCCACCAATATTATCCATACGAGGTTTTTTTGGGTCAGATCGCATAAATATAGATGTATCGTTAAACCCGCCACCACCAGACACTGCCAATTAGTAAGTTTTGTCACGTTAACAAAACAGGCTCATTCGTTACTAGTTCAGCACACCGGTGTGTTGGAGAAACAACCCACAATTGTAAATGTTGTGGGTTCACTCTCCAACATTCTCACTCCCGGCTGTGGATTCCTCCAATCGCACCCCTTTGATGCATTTATGGTTCAAGGAAACATCTGGCTGTTGTGCTCATGTGCACAGCATGATACAAATGTGTAGATAGATGCGTGATTGATGGACTGCATTCATCTAGTACATCGAGAAAAAAACATTTGTCTCGTTTTACACGTTTATTCAAAAAAGGTATATCGCTGCTATTGATTATAACTTTACCCCAACATAAAAGCGAACTATATTGTCAGATGACATGTCACACCGTCCAATTAATATTCAGATACTTGCATTGAGATGGAGCGATGAAATCAGCTCGCGTGCGAGTGCCAGATGGATCGCTGTTTCCAAAGGCTGGCGGCGGCAGGGGGTGGCCTTTATCCAGCAGTGGATCGCTCATGGCTAATGATGATCATGGTGACTCGCATCGACTGAATTAAATGTCTATCCGCACGCTCTATTTGCTTGTACCTTAGCTCAGTGTCAGCCCGGGAGCACAGAGGAGCCGGCTATGGGTTTTATATCAGAATCTTTATTTAGACTGGAGAAATCCAAGGAGCCATGAAGCTCTTTTCCACAGATGTCCAGTAAGGTGCCATGATATATTGTGCCAGGATGACTGACGGCGTCGAGACTGAGTAGGAACGTGGCCCTGAGCACTCTGAGTCATGGACACGGTTCTTCTTCACATGCGTCACCGGCCAAAGATACAAAAAAAAACATCCAAGCGGGATGAAATCGCGTCTCCCGTGGGGTTTTTCCCACATTACCTCTTGTCACACCACCTGTGGCCTTCATGAAATGGTGGTGATCGAGATGGATGGGAGGCTCAGAGGTCAGAGTACAGAGCCAGCACGGTTGTTGAGCCTGGAGTTGTATCCTGGGTTTCAACTTGCCCATGACTAAACCCGAGTATCAGCCTGGTCACCAATGACCACACAAAAACACTGCACACGTGAAATTGGTTCTGCGCTTTCATGTGGATACATTTCAATTCCGAAATGTATAATGTCACGTGACCGTCTCAAGACAAGAGTCGGTGGGAAGGCCACTTTTAGGGATTTTTTAGAAGTTCTGTCAAACAATCTCTTTGGCACCCTTTCTCCCACTGGTCGGATCGCACTTCTCGTTGCGATTTCCGAATAGATGCTTAGTGTCATCATTACATGATGCCAGTAACACAGTACCATCATGGCATGATGCCAGTAACGCAGTGCCATCGTGACATGATGCCGGTAACACAGTTAGAACCAATTGAAAAAAGACATAAACAACAGAAATAAAAATTTTACGGTGGCAGTTACAGACTCTTGAAAATGCATAACAGATCATATGGATAGACCTCTCATGTAACTAGTGTCATCATCCCTTTGTCACTCTAATTTGTTGAATTACATCTTAAAAGCGTGTGGTGAAGCGCACAGCTCACCTTCTGAAGTCTGAATTATGGTTGTCCTCCCAGTTTGCCCTGGTGCTGCAGACCCTGTATGAAATCAAAGCACAATCGCAGGAGGACCGTGCAATTACACGCAGAGATGTTTTGATATTTTTATAATTATTTAACCAGCTAAGCGACGAGGCTTGCTGACAATCGCTGGGAGACCAACCTGAACAGGAACTCTGACAATATTTTGTTCGCGGAACAGAAAGTCGGACATCACGGCGAACAACACGCGGGTACAGCCCGCAAGTCCGTCCGAGAGCCGTGAAAACCCAGCAGAGCAGTGTTAATAGGAACTTGCAAACCGGGCGGTGGTGCGCGCCTTCGCCCGCCGTGGATCACGCGTACCGGACTGAACAAAGAGCCGGAGATCCTGTAGCGCTTTATCCAGGTCGGCCATGGTTCACGGAGAGCGGCAGAGACTCGGGGAGACCATGCTGCGGATGCAGAGTACAATTTGTCCAACAAGCACAATAAGCGCAACGAGCGCGTGGCGTCGGCCTCGCTCGTCAGAATGCACGTGGCATTCTAAGAAAGCTGCGGATATTGAGAGCGCAAAAACGACGGAGCTGCACGAGGTGGCGCAGCGAGTGCGCATTCTCACCTGTCCCCGCGCCGGTTCACTCACACGTCTCCCGAGTCGAAAGCCGCATCCGCCACCTCGATATGCACACGTGCAAACCAAAAAAAATCTACGAATTTCAATAATTGGGTCTAAAACAACAAACAAACAAAAACGATGGGGTTTAACGCTCGCGACTGTCACTCATCCGGGAACGAGAGTGAAATGTGGCTCCTTGGCAAAAAAATGGGGGGGGGGGGGGGCGTTGCAGTGTCTAAGACAAAAAAACAACACATCGTCAGATATGGACGAATGGCCCTGAAGCTGGTATTTGCAGCACTGTTCTTGCTTGCCCGTCGGCCTCCATGTGCAATTCCTTGCATATCCCACCGACAGTTATGCAGGTAGACACAGTCGTCGCATTTATCCGAACCAAACGTGAAACTGGTCCTGGCCTGCACGAGATGTGCACAAGCAGAGTTTTACGATCTACTTTTGTGCCATTCTGTCACGTAACCGTTAACTGAATTTAATGCCCATACTAACACCGGCCCTATAATTATGAGGAGCATCCTGGGAGGAGTTGCTAAACAGATCACATTCAGCAGAGTGAAGAGTCCTCCATAAAACATTGTCTTCTGGTCTATTTCAATAAATTGTGTTACGAATTAATATCTAATATTGTTGCCGCAAGCCAGTGGGAGGGGAAACCATGACTGAGAGAGAGAGAGAACGGCCACCGTGGAGATGGAGCGAATCCATCGGTGCATTGCGAGACGGTGCAGGAATGCAACGACTTGGGGATGCCTCTATCTAGCAGTGGAGAGATCAAGTTCAAGTTCATTTATTAGGTATAGCCCTGTGAACCATTCGACGCTTGAATCAAGGCGGATGACAATGATAATCAGCATAAGCCAGTAAAAATTAACCCGTAAAAACAAAGTTTTTCACTATAAATCCTGTATATGCGTGGCATCGGTTTTATTTTATTATTCATTTCTGTTTTTCTTGAGTAAGAGTTTCATTTTTTTCACATTGGTATTTTAAATTAAATATGAGGAAAGTCGTATATAAGGATTATAAGGTTTTCAGTTTTTGTATGATTGTTTATATTGTACATTTTTGTTGTTTTCTTGAATAATTTTCTGTGTTTAGGAAAAATATATGATTGTGTTAGTGAAAATGTATTTTTCCTAAAAAGTGGAAAATTTTGGAAAAAAATTTTCACGAAAATAAATTGTCACGCACAACGAGTCTGTGTGCACAATGTCAGCTCGATTGGATCACGGGAAGTGGGTTAAAAAACGACAGAAAGATTTGCACGGTCGTAAGCGCGCAAGCAAGCAAGCAAGTGAACTTAATATAAAGGATTTAAAAAAAATACCCCGATGATTGTACCCAGACAACGGTAACTTAATATGAACTTGGAAATTGCCCTGCAGAACCTCACTCAATCTGGTTTCAGTTGGCCCTCCTGTTACTGATATTGGTGATGCTCGTTGAGGGCCTTCACCTTGTCCTTCGGATCATATACCAAGAGTGTCGTTTGTGTCGTGTCGTCAAATAAAGGCACCATGATGAACTCTTTTTCAGGGCAGTGGAATTCTCTATGTGTGGAGAACGACACGCGAGCATTGACATCACGGAATATTTCCGAGATCCCTTCAAGTGACCCCTGGTACTCAGGGCAGCACTTTCTCCCATACCCTGGTGCAGAGTAATGTCTGTGGGATGATAGTCAAGCTAATATTTTTTTTATTCTCAAAGCTGGAAATTTTAATTAGCCAGATTCATTTACGGAACCAAATTTTATGATGGCTTTTTGCGGAGTGATTTGTGATCAGGCGCAGACCATCAACTCGCTACACTTGAGAATCAAGGTTATACTGGTAGGAACCTCCTAGTTACACCAGCCCACAGGGGATTATTGTATCCGTCCGTCCGTCGTGCAGGGAGGGGCTGGGTGGGGAGGGAGGGGCTGGGTGGGAGTGGAGGGTGGGAAGGGGCTGGGTGGGGAGGGTGAGGCTTGGGTGGGGGGTGGGAGGACTGGGGCTGGGTGGGGAGGGGCTGGTCACCCCGTGGTGCCCTTATAAAACTCAACGTTTAACCTACTCACGCCGGCTTGTGTCCGCCCTCACAGTCGGGTATATTTGCGGAATACACCACGCCGCCGTTGACCCTGGCCATTGACCGAGCAACCCAACGTCCCTACCAGCTCCCTCCGCAGGAATGTGTTACACAGGCAGCTGCTGCCTGGATTCGAACCCAGGATCTCAACAGTGCCAGCTCAGCACTCTGATCCTATGATCTCTCAGCCACCTGGCCACCCAAATACATTTGTAATGAGAGGACAAATATTTAAGTTGGTTGGAATAACCGATTTCAATGCTTTCAATTAAAGCATTCTACATTGTTTAAAAATTACTATTAAACTAATATTTGGTAATATATACCTGTTCATACATTTTTTAAATATACAAATATCCTGTGATAAAGGTACAACATTGTAAGATGATAATAATGCCATTAATTATCTAGAAAATTCTCTAATTTAGGATAGTCCTGCATTGGGATGTTTGGTCAATTCATTTTAATCTAGTGGTTTGTTCGTGAGAGAAAATCGGAGTGGCGGGAGTAAAGAAAACATTCACTCATCCACACAGATGGGTTCACGATCCCACTTGCTGTAACTGCCATCTCCTAGCCATCTCACAGCCCAGGGAAGTTGGAAGAACTGCTGACCTTCTAACCATTTAAACGTTGGCTCCTCCAACTATTGTACAATATTAACGCCCTCTCATTACTCTACGTATTGTAAGGCGCATGAAACCTTGGCCCTTTGCATCGTCTCAGTTGTAAGGCAGCAACTCATAACATTGACGGTGGAATGCTTTTAGATTGGTGCGCTTCAGCCACCGTGGGCGTGGGAGATGTGAACTCGCGGGGAGTCGCCGTGCTGCGCCGCGCTACCGCGCCCGTTGTGCATCGACGCCTCGTCACGCGACAACCACGCTTTCGCGACTCTGCATTCAATTATTTCATGAACAAAAAGTCAAAACACCCGCTGCCGCATTGAGGCGGAGAGATTGACCGCCTCCAATGAGTTCGAGCGGCCCGCGGCTCGCGCGACACGTTCACGGAGCGGCGGTTTTATTTTGTCCGCGAGAGAAGCGCGCTTTTGTGTGTGCGGCGTGCACGCTCACCCCGGATTCGTGTTTATGCAACGCGCCAAGATTCTTCAACTCCCTCTCGTTGGCTTGTCCGTAATTTAATTCTATCCCGGGATGAATCTCACCACGGTGGAGAAATGTTATCTTTCTTGCCTGGTATGCAGGAGGTCATGGGTTCGATCCCGACCCTTACGCCTGTATATTTGGAGTTTGTGGTGTCTCTCTCCCTGTGGTTGAGTGGAATTTTCTCCGGGTCCTCCGGTTTTTCTCTTCCACATTTAGAAGCATGCGTTTATATAATTTTGCTGCGATCAATTTCCACGTAATAAGCCACTTTGTTGCGCTATCATTTTTGTCCAGTTCGCTTCTGAAGAAAGAGCAATACAGCTCAGCGGACCTTACCTGGTAAAATAAAAATAAAAAGTTTTAATTCGATTTGTCCTGTGTGTGACTCACGTATCTATGAGGTGGCCCCTGCAAGTTACTGCAAGTACGATTTGGAGAAAATATCTAATTGCGATTTCTCTGACATTGCGATTTGATCTGCGATTACATTTTTAAAAGTCAAGCTTCAGTTCAATATTCACTGTGTAATAGATTTAAAACATGTGATGGAGCATTACCACCTGATACCATCAAACTATGAACTGCTGTATACTGTATATTCTAATGCAAGGATGAGAACTTAAAATAAATTAATTGCTTCCAACATGCATTTATTAAAATGTTCTAATTGAAATAGACAATCAAACACCTGATGACGATTGCTTGTGTTGCGCTCCAAACGTCGTGATCTATTATTTTTCTACCTACGTGACTTTACCGAAAGAACCAAAGAGTATGGATTCCTGCAGTCACGAAAGCTTCAAATCAAGATCAAATCAAGATAGAACAATTGTTAAGTTAAATAAAGTTATAATAATAAAAAATGAAACAATTCAATTTAGAAAGTAACAGGACTTTTCAAATCGCAAAAATCGCAGCATTTGCGATTTGCTAATCGCATTGTTTCAAATTGCGATTTCGATTGGAAATCGATTAATCGTTCAGCCCTCGTCCACACACAGACTTGCGTTGTTGACAGCAGACCACAGTCAAAAACGATTCAATAAAAGAGGGGAACGATAATAACAGTTTGACGTGGTTTTGAAAAAGTGAACTTGATAATGGAACGCAATGTTTCCATATGTACTAAGGAGGATGCTTACAATCAGTGTGCATCACCTGCCGAGGATACTGACAAAGGAAATGGAACAAAAGCTGAAAAATTGCGCAAAGCACGGAGGGTTACGTACTGAGAATTACACCGACCGACGGAAAAAACCAACACGTGGATCAGGCAATAAATACGAGATATAGTGACTGTTTAAAAAGGTTAAGTGGGCTTTTTGGCAGGACATATCACTAGAAGAGATGACGGACAAGACTAGTGTCAGAATGTCAGCCAAAGGAGGTAACGTAGATCAGCAGTGGCACACCAGGGATGAGTCAGTTCGTGTGCAGGAGTGAGCTCGATTGTGAACATTGCAGGACTTAATAGGGATGGTGACGGTGTTGGGATGCCTTCATCCGGCAGTGAATAGACCATGGCTAACGATGATAATGATGACGCATGTGTGTACGTCGAACTTCTTTTGCACCGTACGCAGACAACCACGCTGATCGGAGGCGCGGGATGATGATGATGGTGATGATGAAGAAGACGATCAGGCGAGCGGCTCCTTGCTGACGGAGCACATTCGTGAAATGGCTTTCACGCACCGATGCCACACGGAGTACACGAGTGCGGTTTGCGTTCGTGAAATAGGGGTGGTGGTCGTGGTGGGGGGAGAAGGGTGCCACCTTATCAGCAACACCCACAACCCCGCGAGGCAGGGCAGCGTGAAGAGTCGCGTCCAAACGCATCTGCGACCGCACGTCTCGCGCCCAGTGAGTCAACCGCGTTACAGCGCATAGCTGGGAGAGTAGACATTCCATCTATGCACACACACACACACGCGTATGGTGTTGATATATATTACAAATTAGCAGATGTTTAAGCAGCTCATTAAAATCAATTGTTACGCTCACAA